TTAAGTTTTTTAAATTACATGCAAAATATTTTTTTCCATTTTTTCTTATTTACAAAAATATATTTCATAATTTCAAATAATAGAAATTAATATTTAAATACTTTTTAAAATAAATTTTTTATAATTAAATATAAAATTGATATTTTATTTTATTTAACATATATATATTTTTTTTTCTGAATTATGTTATAATTATAATGCATATGATAAAAAAAACATGTGCTGATTTAATTATGTATATATAATTATAAATATTATCATATTAAATTTTAAATCTATTAAATATTCAATCACTAATTGTTACAATTGATATGAATGATATGTAAAATTTTTTTGCTTCATGACTTGGAAGTTTTTGATTCTAATAATGAAACAAAATTGCTCTCGAGTTTATGAATGAATCATGATTTAGATTATATTATAAAATTTGAGTTTATCATATTCTTTGATGGATGTTAATTTATTCTGTATGCATTGTTTTAAGTTTTTGAAATTAACAAACTATAATTTTTGACTATAAGGTCTTAAATTGAAATCACAACAAATGTTTTGCACTGATGACCCATGCAACTATTCATGTTTGTAAATATATACACCATGTATTCTTCTTATCGATCTATTCATATAAATAATTGTTCTTTCATCTTTGCATTGAATCTGTATGACTACAAACTTTGAAGTCTCAACCCTACGTTTCCAATGCTTCAACGTTTCCAATGCTTCTCGTGCCCCAATTCTTGAGGCATTTGTATTTCAGTGCTTGCATGCTCAGGTTTGAAGGAGGAAATGAATATTGTGAATTATATTCCACCTTGAAACACAAATCTAAATTAACAGTTTGAATTTATATAATTTTATTTAGTTACATTATTAAGACAATAAATTATCTATATTTCATTCTTACTAATCTATCACTTCCGTCTCAATTTTCATTGTTGTCTCATAAAAATTTGAAGATAAAAAACAAAAAAAACGATTCACTTTAGAATTAAAATATCTATTATGTCTTCTGCAATTTTGAAATTATAAAAATGAAGCACACTATCTCCAATTTCAAAACAATAAAAAAACACAAAATCTCCAATCTTGAAACACTAAAAACCAAACGCATTGAACATCCTAAGAAGTGCACATCATCCAGATAGTTTTTTTTTACTTTGGAGCTTTTGAAACATGTAATTCAATTAAATGTTTAGATGTTGCACATAAAACCTGTTAGGTTTTTGCCCTAGTATCAGCGGTTGGTGCACATCTGCTGTCCACTAAATGATATGTCTGAGGAGAGACCTCGATCTGCTCATGGAATCCCATACAATTTTGGAGTATGGGCCAGATTGGCCTGTAGGCTACATTGACATCTAAATTGGAGTCGCACTGTCTGATGTAAAGAATTTTAGAGATTTCTATTGGCGGATTCCGAATATCTCGCATTGCCTAATTACATTACTTCTATTGCCTCTCACTCTTTCTCATAACATACGCAATTTGGACAACGCTGAACCGTTGCAAAGTATCTATGATTGATAAGAACAAGAACTATTGTTTGTATCACACGTAGAACAGAGTATTCCTTGTACATTTTGGTACATAAAACACTTTATAAATGTGTTAATTCATGCGACGTAAATCTTGAATATGAGTTTAATGAATACATATAGGCAAACCTCGTAAGAATAAAATCATGATACTCTTGACCTTGCATAGTGCATGTTTTTTGATGTTGTGACTACAACTATACATGGACCTGATTTTCAAGTGTCAAGTCAAGAAATGAATTATTCCAAGTATATATTAAATTTAATACATTAGTTTTTTATAATTAAATTACAAGCTTTTCATTTTCAACAAATTCAACACATTAATTCATTTTACAATTATTTCGACTACAAATATTAAACATACTTTCATGTTGATGTACAATAATAAATAGAATTGTAATGTTTCAACACATCACATTTGTAGATAATAAAATTTGTATTGATATTTACTGCTTCAATAAATAACAATGCACCATTTTTTTATTTATATAAATTAGCACATAGAAAAAATTTACATGCATGCAAGTGTCAAAATTTTTAAAAATGCATATTGATGTTTTTAGAGCTTTTAAAGTTATGTTAATTATAATATTGAGCTTATATTGTAAAAAATAATATTGAGCAAATATTTTTTTTATTTTCAAAAAATATCAATATGCATTTAAATTTGCATATTGATATTTACTGTTTCTGTGTTGGTTGTATTTAGAGCTTTTAAAGTGAAAGTTTTTATTTTGAACCTGTAATTTTTATGACATGCATGATTCAATTTGAAAAGATTTTATTGTTTGACAATAATTATTTAACTTGAAAGAAATATTTTAATTTATTTCAATATTTATTTTCAATCATAAAAATATTAGTTTAAATTTTTTTTATTAATATTGATATTGATATTTAAATTTATTAATTAATCAAGAAATAATAAAATAAATATTCGATTATACTAAGAATCAAGATATACACAAGCAAGTATATCAATGCAAAAATGTTAAGATAAAATGTTCCAAACCTTATCAATGAGTCAATATAATCCAACCAAATTGAAATATATAAACATATATATATTTTTAGAAACATTTAGAATATCAATTGTTAAGCATTATATTGAAAATATAATAATAAATTATCATTCAATAATTATTTCAAATTAAAATATGTTAATGGTAATTACACAATTAAATTACAAAAATAATAATCTAAAAATTAAAATTTCATGCAATATGTTGTAAATATTTGATATTAATCACTTTTTTTGTTAATGCATAATCTCATTTGCATCTGAAACATGTTCATATTGTATTTCATGAAAAACTTATAAATAGTATGATAACTTTTTTAAATCCTACGTTAAATTTTTTTACATAAATCAATAAAAAGAGAAATTGTCAAATAAATCCTTTTTACACAGTTTTTTGTCAACATAATTTTAAGTCCTAATAATAAAGTTTTTTTAAAAAAATTTATATTTCACTTTGATGACATTGAAATTTTTTTAAATAGTTACAAAAAACTCACAATAAATTTTAATGATTGATATTTTGATTTGTAAGCATAAATTTTTTAATAGAAGTTTAATTTGAATTTTTTCAAATTATGAGAATTTTTTCAAATTTAAAATATTATTTTCACTTATCTATGATGAGATTTGAAAAAATTTCCATGATGAATGCACATGATATATTTTGAAGCATTTTGATATAAGTAAAATTCAATTTATTAATATACCTAGCCATGTTTAATAATTAACTGATTTTGAAGTAAGTTTGATAATCTCAAATTGAATTTGAATGAATTGATGATGACGTTGTTGCATCGTTATTTTAACGAGATGCAACAAAATTACTTCATGATAAGTGATAATAACAAAATAACAAAATAAAAATTTACATCTAATCAAAGCTAATTCATGAACAACAAGTTATTTTCTAAACTAATTGATATAGTATATTAATTATAAAAAGAACATTAATTTAAAAATCATTTAAAAAAACATAATTTCATTTATACGCAATTTTCTAACTTTTTTTCTTGTAACTCTTAGATTGCAAATAAAAAGAAGCAAATTTTATTCATCTATTTATGGTGATTATTTTGATAAATAGATAAATCTTATTATATCATTGATGAATAAAATATATAAAAACATTCATTTGTTTCAAAATTTTGTCTTGATTCTTCATTCAATTATACTTTTTGAACTGAATCAAATCATAAATATCATATAAACTCAATTTCAATCAAATTAATTTTTACAAATTTAATTTGTATTGGAAACTAAATTTAAATTTTTTAAATTTAGCTGTTGTTTAATCAAGGCAAACATGTCAATTTTGTAATACAAATACATCATTATTGTATTATGTTTTTTAATAATTTACCAGTTTTTATTAAAATCAATTTATCAAATGATTTAAAAAAAAATATTTGTTGCTTATAAAAGCATAATGAATAATTAAAAAATTACTTTAGATGTAAATACAATCTAAAAAAGTTTTGAATTTGAAATAATGACGAAAATTTTATTCGATTTCAAGTCTTAATAATAGAAAAACATTTCAATATTGAATACTTATTTTCAAATGAAATTTACTTTTTGATATTATTTCATGTTCAAAACTGAATGATATCAATCATGTTTATTTAGAGATAAAAAGAGGAGTCTAAATAAATGACACAGCACATCACAATAGATTGTTTCATGAGTTGAAAAATAAACAACAAAGAAATAATAAAAATACATATCATTTAATCATATATCACACAAATCATATTTCTAGATCTTGAGTAATCTTGAACAAGAACATATGATACTAGGTTTTGAAAAAGTTGATTCATTTTTATGTATTACTTGAGGAATAAATTATACCTGAAGTAATTTTATTATTAGTTCAACACTTTGAACTTACAATTCTTCATTAGCATTGGAGAAGTACGTTACTGGGCATATTTTTCATGTCAATGAGACCAAAGAATCAATTTTATTATCTTATACGGTAGCATGGATATTTTCTTTTAGTCTATTTGGTAAAATTATTTTTCAAAAAATTTATCATCCTTAGGCTGTACAACTTCTGAATCCCACTATCATATGAAACCTTTAATTTCTTGGATTTAAGAAGAAATAGAAGAAGGAGAAGGTGCATCACTCTAAAATAAACACTAGATAGTGTTCTATATAGAACCAAACTTCAGCTATTGAAATAACATATTCATGTTATTCATATGCTTGTAACATTTGATATATTTCTTTAAATTTTAGACAGAGAATCTCATTGAAAAAATATCATATACGAACATTTAAATCTAACTAAAAAACTTCTTATTTCCAGGTGCTTTTTCATGTGTTAAATATTTGTAAAAGAACAGAGACTCCTCTCCATATCGCTCCCGCATCCGCCCGCGTGGTGGATGTGACAGCAACCGAGAATTATTAACTCGTTCGCTTGCGAGGGGTCGGTCGCCTTCGTGCTGTACCTGGGGATCGTTCAATCATGCACGATGAGGCTTGGCAATCTAAATAATTAATGATCGTCACGGCAAATAAGTAAGGCCAGACAAGAACTCAATCATTCTGCAAATACACCAAACTCGACATTGCTTCTCATTACCACTTTCAAATCGCTTGCCTGGAAATCCATACTTTCCATAACGCATACGAAACGCACGTGATTCTGCTGATTATCATTTTTGTCGAGAATGCACACAGAGATCCATTATGCTGCAGGACTGGAATCGTAGGGGCCGTATTCGAGCAACTTCGAGGATGTGTTGCTCTATTTCAAGCATGCTTGCACTTGGAGCGCAACTAGAAGTTGTGGGGGTTTCTTTCCGTGGCATTAATGAAGCCCGCAAGGTTTATTAAAGGGGAAGAGGGAGAGACGGCCGAGGCTATTTGAGCACCTGTTTCACTTGGTCATATTTCACCGTTTTCGACATGGTTCTCGTTGTTTGTTAAAATCCACACCATTGCTTCTCTTCACGGGAAACGAAACAGAGGACACGAAATCGTCTCCCCGTGAATGTGCGTTTGGAAGCACCGAAACGAGGTTTATCAGGAGATGGCAGGATTAGTCTGTAGTGCAAACCCTAATGGTTTAGCAGACAACAGAAGAATTTTGAAGGGCAGTAGTAGGCGACCGGAATCTGTTTGTAACCAATTCATCGTTGAGCATTCACATTTTTGAGGTGATGGGGAAAGTCCGAAATCTGAACAGAGCATGTGAAAACTGCGTTGGATTTGCATTTACAACTTCCGAACGCAGGAAACCCTACTGAATGTCAGTCAGCCAAATGATTGCCAAGTTCGAGTAAGAACATTCCAAACTTGTAACATCTCAAGCTTCAAAAGGAGCGCGATGCAGGCAATGCACTAGTATTTGACTTCGGTGTCTCGGTTCAATCGGGAGTACAATTGTGTTCAGTAAGAGAGGAAGGGGAGAAAATATCGGAAATTGCTGTGAGAGATCATCTCTTACAGCAACACTCATGCTCTGGGCTCCATGATTTGCTTGCGGCCTAATACATGCTCCAATTGTTTTTGAGAAAGGTTTTCCTCTAAAAATTCCTCGCTCGTTGTCGTCTGCCATAGCTGAGCTGGAGCAGGTGTGAAATTGCCATGAGCGCAGCCTTTTGGTTGAGGAACTTCATTAAAAGTGAGAAATTACCGAAGCAAAAGAGGAAGAAGATTAAAACCTACTTAACTTTCGGAGGCATATGGACCTGGGTGAACAATTTTAACACGAAGGAAGATGAGTCTGTGGTTTCTATTTGGTGTACTTCAGGTGCTTCGATCGAAACAAGCAGCGTTGTGAGATAGCTGCATTGAACGTGACTGGAAGAAGTTACAAAAATGACTAAGTCAAGGCATCGTAAGAGCCGATGGCAGGACCCTGTCTTGGCTGCGGGATTGGTCAAGCAGATTCAGCGAAAATTCTACCCACTGTACGTGACCTTGATATCATAAATGTTGTGGGCCTGATAAGTTCGATGGTTGTACAAACAACTCTAGAAAAGACAGGAGAAGCCACAGTGTCAGTATTCATGCTGCACGCAGATTGACAAGAAAAGTCACAGAGATTTACTCCCGGTGCTTCATTTGATTGCATGGCAGGTATGCGTTCGGATTCGAAGGCATTCCTGGTAAAAGGGCACAGATTGCTTGTGTGGACTCGAATCTCATCGCTTACGCGATCGGAGGGAGTCTCGTCTTCCACAAGTGAGGATTCGATCTTTACCTGTCCCACCGAGTTCCTTCTGCGAAAGTGTTCTACATGAGCTGGATATGTTATAACTCATCAAACCGTCATCTTTTCTGCAGTGTCTCCGGTGAAAAATCGATGCGGTTCTTTTCATCCAGTGTTTCTGTTGAGGCAAGTTAACAGCTGAACTTTGAGTTTACCTTAATGGGTTGTTTATTGAATCTTAGAGACAAAGGAGAAATTTACGCGAGTTTGGATAACTCTTCAGTGGGACACTGAAGAGTTATCCAAACTCTGCATAAATTTGCAGAGTCAAATGTGCTCTTCTGTCTGCACCGACAGAAGAGCACATTTGTTAAAGCGAACGATTCTGACTTTCGGTGTTCTTGTTCAGTCAATTGTTTGGGTAACGTCATCACCAGGAGGAAATCTAGTTGCAGCATGTGAGAGGTTGAAGACAGGTCATCATCAGGTACTTCTCGCAACTCTTGCATCCAAGCGTGTCCTTCATTTTCATTCAGCTGCTTCTAAATCATATAAGAATCCCCTAACTTCTATTTGTCACTTAATGACTGCGAGATTTGCTGCAACGGGCTCCATTTTCTAGCTGATATCCCACACATTAATCAACCAGACTATGTACCCAATTACAAACGTATGATTCAAGTTTTCATGCCTTAAGACACTGTTACTGCAGGTTTCCATAATTGATGTAAAAAAGCTGGAAGCTGTTCAGACTATTGGAGGGTTGGTTACGGGAGGTTGGCAACAAACCTCTTACGGGTATTTCGTGCAAATTAAGCCAGGAAAGGTTGTTCAAATAAGTTTTCTAATTGTTCTTTTCGTCCACTTTCGCTTTGACAGTCAATGGCCGGAGTTAGAAGATCGATTTCTCTTGTCTCTTCTTGATGAATAGAAGATATAACAATGTATGTTGTATTGTGATGCTGAAGAGTACGGAGCCTGTGCATTTTCGGAGAATGAGAGGCTGGTCATAACTGCTTGCAATATTGACGAAAGTGCCCAAGTGGACTTCTGGGATCTCAAAGAAGGCAGGGTATGTTCGACATCTGTAGTGACCGTAAAATCTTGCGGTTCTTAATGATAATCATGAATTTTAAATTTAGATTAAACGTCATGTGAAGACTCGAAAAACTTCATCCTTCTGTACACCTGACAGGCTGAGAGTGGATGTCAAACGTTTATTAATTGTCTAACAAGCACACAACATACCTGTTAGCTGTTTAGATTTTGTGTTCCATCTCTATTAAAGACTGGGTCTTATGCTTCATACGAACTATCATGACACAGAAATACTGACAAGATAAATTTAAACATGAAAGTCGTCTTAAAGAGTACAAGTGTTTCTGAGTTTGTTTCACTTCCTTGAGCTGTATTAAACATTTAAGTATCTCAGTGCCATACCATCGGTGCGTTCTTAATCTCAAACTAGTCATGCTTTCACATTCTCTAGGTTGTTGGGAACTGTTTGATTGGATGTATTTGAATGCGGAGTTAGTAATCTACTTTACTATGTCTAACCTCGGAGATGAGTAGTCATATACTCCCGTATATCATAGTCTGGGGTCTCAAGCCCCAACTGCTTGTATGTGAGTACCAAGTTCTAAGTAGAGGTCGTGTTGTTTTAGGTTTTGATCACTAGTTTGGTTCCATACGCAGTCAACAAAATTACGATCAATCCCCTTGATGATGAAGAAAGCGCCATGAGTGGTACGTTCTGCAAGATTTAGATGTACAGGTGCATGACAATGGTTATAGCATACTCTCTCAATGCCATCTGTGTTACAATGCCTGCAGTGAACAGGTGCATCTAGGTCATCAGCTTAAGAGAATGTGTAGTGGTGTATTCGCGAGGATGTCTATTCTGAAGAGTTTTCCCTAACGGTTTTTGAAGGTCCCCTGCATTTTAAATTTTGGAGCATCCAAGGAGGTGTTAAAAAAGAAACGAGCATTCAAGGATTGAATGGTCGTCACGATCAAAAGATGACGATCACAGACCACGTCTGGTTGGCTGATACTAGCGTCGCAATATCAACTGCTGAAGGATTTATATTCATCGTGAGAGATAATGTTGTGCAACATGTACGCATACTGCAAATTGTAACACACCCTCTTTCCTGGCTGTATTGTGGAAATGCCAATATTCCTCTCTGACTGGATCTTTAGCAATTCTCTCGAGATAAGAAATGGGGAAGTTGTGTTGCAGTGGTTCTGAATCATACGCACACTCGTTGCGATGTACAGAAATACACAGATACCGGCCACACTATATGTTTGTTGAGCATTGGCCGCGGATTTTTCTGTGGACGAACTGATGGAACCTTAACACAGTTTATCGGATTTGAACTGGCGAAGGTCAAGATGCAGGTAATATTTGTGTCTTTGGTTGAATTTTCATCATGATGCCTTTTTCCATCTCACATTATCAGCTATAAACTTCTCTCTGCTTTCATACGTGCAACAAGCCTGCCTAATACTCTGCCTTTCTTGGCAGGAGAAGGAGAGCCCTTACGCTGAAGTCAAATGCGTCACTCTACTGAGGTGCCTTGTTTTCATATCCTGGGGTCATTAGGAACTGTAAGTTTTTGTCGCTGTTCTACCTTTATGGAGTAGTTGCGTAGGGTTTGAAAGCAGATATGAAATGTCAATACATATTGGGACCTGATTTGTGTGATGTAATCGAGCTGTACATGGGGAAAAATATTCCAGATACAAATGTGAAAGCTTATTTCTCAGTCCAGTACATCATATATGTTCTTGTTGAGGTGGATCAGGTTGTGAAGGATTTTACAAACAAGAATATTCAAATTACAAGAATAACTCTAGAAATATATATCAGCGCTGATTTTGTCTATCTCTTTACAGTGGATATTCGCAAATCTCTTCCATTGCTATGCCGCCTCATGGAGAAAAGCTTTTGTATATTGTTGAGGTATATATCACCAATTGCTTTGGTTTTGATTTTATCTGGAACTTATGAATATCATTTTTTTGGTCAGCATCCGTAAGAACCATTCAAACCAAGCGTCTTGGTCAGCTCTCTCTTTTCTTAACAAAATTAATGACCTGAATGAAAAAAACTAAAATTTTTGGATGTTTTCGGCAAGTTGAGAGGGCTTATTTATGGGATGAGGATGTACTTTCTCACACGTGATCTTGACGAGAAAAGATTCTGGCAGGGCGAGACCGTGCTCAAAGTTCATCTGGACATCTCTGAGGATGAAGATGCAATTCTTGGTTCTGAAACCAACCTGGCAAGAACCGTTCATCTATCAGGTTTCGCATCCTTCCCCTGTCCTGATTTTGGGTCGAATATGAGTGTACGACGCAGGAGTTTCTAAACCCTTATCGATACAACCTTTCCAGTACCTAATAGTTTCCACTGCAATGTAACCATCGGATATAAGTACTGGTCTCAGATAAATATCCAAAATATCAATTAAATTCAGTAGAAGTCATACACTAACGGTTTACTTATGTGCTGTGTGCAGTCTTCACTATGAAAGGGATTACTGGGATTGATGTTTGCGAACAGCGCATGATTGTAGTTACCTGCAGTGCTGACAAGATCATACGAGTTTGGAATTACAACAAATTGGTTTGCGAGATTGCTCATTTGTAAGTTTTTGCATCTTTCTGGAATCAACCTCCTCTGCGGAGCCTGTACATCTCGTTCTTAAACAGTCATCTCATATCCTTGTAGAGGCACGTATCTATGATAGTTTTCAGTATGTTGAGGCTCTCTATGTAAAAGTAGGTCAAATTACCCTGACCAAGCTTGTAGGTAGCTGGAACACTATGCTTAGTCCAGTAGAATACATCGGAAAAGGATTTGCAGATAGAAATACCATCCACATAGTCAATGCATATAAACTTTTAGAATGGACTTTTCCCTAAGTTTGATAGCTGCAACCACGATGAATGTTTGGATCCAGATGTGATGAGGCGCCGCAGCTGGTGACAGTAAGCCCTTGGGGCCATTACCTGTTCGTCACGATGGCACGGTGCATCCAGGTCTATCGCATTCTTGGTTACAAGTGAGATCCAGATCCAAGCAGTTTTCTCTTCGTGAATAGCATTGGAGTACGAGTCTGCAGAGTTGGAAAGAAAAGACAGAGTAATATTTCTTACATCACGATATCTAGGGACACCATAATTTTCAAGACTGCTCACGACTATTTTTCTTGGATTTAACCCTTTGTTAGGAGTCTCTGAAAACTCGAGCTGGCTGATCTTACCAGATCCCTAAAAGTGTGATAGAAAAGAGCAGTATCTGATCGCGGTCATGTAGGCAGTTTACTTTTTTGACTCTAGTACCTTGAAAGTACGAAAGTCAAAATTTCTGATATACAGTGATTTGCTATGTACAGACTTCAACACTGTAAAGACATTAGTTCAATGAAGAATATCAGGCATCTAAAGTACAGTCCGAGTGGTCACTTGGTAGCAGCTGCAAACTCTAGGGAGATAGTGCTCATAGATGCCTATACCTGGAAGGTTTCCGCCATTCTTAAGGTGCGAACCACAGCTATAAAACTGCTCCATTCACGTGCTGAGATCACTAACCAGAGAGTTAGATATCTAAGCTTTATCTCAATCTTTGGCCTCACTGTCTTGATAGGGTCATACTGGAGTTGTTACAACGCTCGCGTGGTCCTCCGACTCTATGTATGTGGCATCAGCAGGTGCAGATGGTGCTATATATGCCTGGTTCTTGGATGGTGGGCATCGCTACCTGGAATATGTCATCAAGGGGTCTATTCATACCTGTCTCCTCTTCGACCCGGCACGGACATGCATTATCTCATGTGGGCCTACGCTGCCCATACGAGTGATAGATACAGACAAGAAAGTTGGACTGTCTTATGGGAGGGAATTTAAATTTCTCCCAGAGATCTTGGCAACATCCAGTGAGCTAGAACCAGATGACTCTCCTCCTGGGAGTGAATGTAGCTCAGTACAAGGGACAAGTAAAGGGAGTCAGCGAGGGAGTATTCAGGAAAGTCATCGCGGGAGTGTCCGAGGGAGTATTCAGGAAAGTCATCGCGGGAGTGTCCAAGGAAGTATTCATGAGAGTCATCGAGGTAGTTTCCATGACAGTCACCGAGGAAGTGTTCAAGGAGTTCATAAAGGAGATGCCCAAGGGAATATTCATGAGAGTCATCGAGGTAGTATCCATGACAGTCACCGAGGAAGTGTTCAAGATAGCCACCGAGGTAGTGTACAAGACAGTCAAAGAGGTAGTGGACAGCGTGGACGTACTCAAGAGAGTTACCTAGGGAGTCAAAGAGGGAGTGTGCACGGATCTCATCGTGGTAGTCTGCAAGAGAGTCAGAGAGGGAGTGTACAGGGAACTCATCGTGGGAGTCTACTCGAGATTCAAAGAGAGCGTGCAGAGAGATCTAATCGTGGGAGTTCCGAAAATGTTTTAGAGACTTCTACGTATGCTGCAAAGGCTCCAGAGAAGGTGCAGGAAAGAGTTGAAGCCAAGAAGGGCGACGGCACAAATTTAGAGGGTAGCTGGGTGCAACACAGATATAGGTCTAACTGTATATTTGAGTTAACACTGGAAAAACCTGTCAATTTCATAGTCGGGTTGTTCAAAAAGGGATTGCTCATTACAGCGGCACCAAATGGAGACCTGCGCTTGTATGCGTACCCTTTTTCCCGAGATAAACCTAATCTTCTCAAAGAGGTGATTCTTTTCCCATCAGGTAAAACCGCATATCAGGTCCACGTACGTCGTGCACCTGTTTTAAAAGTCCGACTATTGCAAGTCGTTTTCAGCAAAAGTATGTTGTGATATATTCATGTGAACAGATTCCATATGCTTTTCATCTAAGAGGTTGACGAAGCTACTAACAGGCCGGAATGTGCCTGAAGCCAGAACACCATTGATGCTTCCAGGTGAAATTACTGGTCTAGGCCTCGACGTGGAGCGAAGTTTGATTTTTGCATCTTCAAACAGCGGTGCTTTGTTCGTGGCAGCGGTTGAACAGGACATTGTGGGTGCAAAAGAAGAGGATGCAGATGGATATGAAACACCTCCTCCAGAAGTACCACCACCAGATATGCCTTTAATAAATCTTTATCTGACCGACGCTGGCTCTGATGCCCATAACTTGCTATTGGAAAGAGATGAGGTGGATGAAATGAAACATGATTTGATTGTGAGTTTCGTTCCCCACAGCTGAAACATCATTCCCTGGACCCCGAAGTTTACATGTCAACCAGGTCTGGTCCGTCCGAGGTATTGAATTGTATGTATCAACCCTGTTTAATACAGCCTCACGCAGTATTGATACAGGGAGTATTTTTTTAATTGATTAACTTGCGTCATGCCGGCTCAAGGCCCGGCTCGGCCCAAGAGGCCGTGCGCAACGCAACGCACTGCGCTGCAGCTGCAGCAGCTGCAGCGCCCTGGGATGAGGGATTCATTAGCGATTTTGAATACCTCTGGGATGCGTTGAGAATCGCTCGTCAAGAAAACCCCCTGGCCGAAATTGCCGATTCGCAGTTGTTTGATGACGAAGAAGGCATGGTAGATTTGCAGAGCAATTGAATCATTTACTCGCTCCTTTGCCCATACAAATTTGATCGTTTACGCCTAAAATTGCAATTATACATTCTTTGATACAATTATACAATATTATACAGCCTGTACAGATGACTGGCTGTATACTACAATTCCATAGTCCGATGCACTTTTCTGCCTTTTCACTAAAGTTTGGCTTTGGATCTTGGTCGTCAGGAGTTCAAAGTGAAAATGGCAAGGGAGGCTAAAGACGCTTACTTCAAACATCAACGGGATGAGTTAGACTGGGCCTGTGAGATGAAGGAGAGGGAGACCGCGTTTTTGGCCAGAGAAAAAGATTACATTGTGAAGGTGAAAATTCTAGAACACAACCTTCATACTGCTGTAAGTGAGAAGGAGGCTACAATTCAGAGTCTCCTAAATGCTCACAGCGAAACCACTCAGCAGCTTCAAGATTACTTCCAGGACAAGGTGAACTCTTCACATCCTCAGAATCATTTCCCTGATTATAGTACTTTCAGGTCAAAGCAAATCACCGAAGTCAACACGTTGAAGAAATCTATAACGTTTTTCTTCATCTGCTTGCATTTTCGTCTTTCCCTTAAGCACCTCGGTTCCTTCCCTTTTCCTGTCACTTTACCTCCAGGATTTCTCCCTTTGAATTTGGAACTATGCTCCTTTGCAGCTAGCACAAGAGTTGGATAGATCACACATCTCTAGGAAGCAAGCGCAGAAGGATAGAACGACTCTCGAGAATGAAATGAGGAGTAAAGAGAACATTTATCTGGAGAAGCTCGTTGCTTTGGAACGCCAGCTGGAAGACGCAGAGGCCCGTGCAGATGAAAGGGTGCATAAAGTTAGGGAGGAATGCAACAAGGAGATTGAACATTACAAGGTTCCTTCCAACTCTGCAATCCAAACACGTCTTATATGTGCATCTGATTTTAGAGGGGAATCCCGTTTCGGCTTACTTGCATAGTAAAGATTCTCGCTTGGCACTCGATACCAATACCAGTCAATCCAACGATCCCATCTGAACCGCTCATCCCGCAGAAAGATGATCAGTCTGGGGAGTGAGCTGTTAATATACATGCTTGCAAAGCTCTCTTGGCACCAGAAGTATAAATGAAGTACTACAGGGGAGCCTAGAATTGTAGAGGACGAAATTAGCCTTCTGCCCAGTAGAGAAGATTCATCTTCAGCAGAATTCCTTGTTCTTCTTGTATCATGGGTTACGTCTCGTCCTACGTTCATAGCTGACGTTTTGAAAGTGCCCACTGTACTGAAAGATCATAGCGAATTGATCGCAAGTTCATTTTCCGACCTAATGTAGACTCTTGGCTTCAGCTGGAAATGGAAGAGGATCTGCTTATAAGTGACGACGAGCTGAACAAGGCATTTGAAAAGCTGAACCATGATGTGAGTGCCGAAAAAGATCGAGCTGACAGCATATACCATTCTTTGATGGCGGAGAAGAGAAATGTCATGCACATTGAGAAACAGATGAAAGAAATGGAGGAAGCTCATATAGCTCACGTCACTACGATAGAGAAACTAAACAAGGAAGTCGGAGTTCTGAAAAAGCTTGCCACTGAGCTCGACTTTGAGAAGAGGACACTGCGACAGGTCTTGATAGAAACAGAGGAGAAGAGCCAACATCTTGTCTCCGAAAGAAAAGATCAGGAGACGAAGACTGTCGTCCGAGACTTCAAAATCAAGCAGGTGCACACCATTTCGTACAAGCTGTTTGTGGCCTTCCTTGGATCGATTGAAGTTTACCATCTGATCCACAAGGCACAGAACTGAATCCCTAGCAATGACAGGAGGCAGTTTATGTGACTTAAGATTATGTATAAGAGGTGCCGAAGAGCTCATATGTCCGAGAAATGATGGCTTGCAGCTCAAAAAGGTCGAAGGTCCGTTGAAAGAAGCGACTGCTGAATTGCGCAGCAAGCTGCGGGAAATGGAGAGCCATCAATTGGGCCACGTTCTGGAGATGAAGCGGCAAGGACTGGTAGCAGCAGCTCTGAGAGCCAAGATTCAAAATCTCGAGGAAGAAGCCGAAGAGCTCGAAAACCAACTGCACGAAAGGGACTCTTACGTCAACATGTTCACTCAGGCCTTATGTCGCTTGGTACAGGAGCATGAAGTTGCAGAGTGGCCGCAGCTTACGAAACAGCTCTATTTCACTTACGTCAAGGACGTGCATCGCACAGCTGTTGCAGAAGGGTCCGACACCTACACTCACCTTCTGCATCAAAGGTACGTGCTGCAACTGAATCTTGTTTCCATCGAGCTCTTTATCCTCCATGCAATGCTTGGTCCATTGTCTACCCCGAGGTGAAGCAGTTGCCAGGTACCCGCTTCTTAGCTCATCTTCATTGAAGGCAGAGTGGCATCTCTACTCTTCTCGCACTGGCGTCGGGAGTCGAGCCATCATCACGCAGATTGTGGCGCTTCCAGCTCACCACAATTTGGAACTTTCGGATTCTGGAGCCGCCTTTCTTTGCCTTCTTCTCAGGAGCATCAGTCGGGTTCGATAATGTTTTTGTCTGAAACCAGTGTTCTCCAAATCTTCGAGAGCCGAAAGGAATCTGAAAGGAATTCTGAAACGGAAAATCCGGCTCACGCTGCAGCTGTTCAGTGCTAAGAAGAAACGGCTTAAAATGATTTCACTGCTAACGACAAGCACTGAGAAGCGTTCTCCACGTTAGCTTAATTCTTCTCGAGCATGCTGAGTGAGTTGCGTATCTGAGAGGCGAACTACCCGGCCGGAAAGGCGACTTCGATTGGCACGCTGGCAGTGAACCGGGAATACTGATGCTCAGCTGGACGGTGTGGCATGCAGAGAGAATCTGGAAAAATTCGTGGCGATTCTTAAACGCGAAATTGCCAGAAGCGAGGAACGAAATTGGAACGACTCGAGGCACTACATGCAGCAAAACATCGACTTGCTACACGAGTTTGGAGAAGCGCAACGCAACGTCAGGCGCTTAGCTTTTCTCAGTCAGAAGTATCAGGTTCGTATCAGACTGACAGCTCGACGAGCTCCCGTCCCAACGTACTGGGCTCCCTTCGTTACTTTATTTCAACTCGAGTTTGCATTTTGGCTGCATTCTGCACCCCTCGCCCCCCACTGTACAAATACGAGCTATGGTGTTGTACTCGTTCCTGGAGAAGCACATGAAGTCTAATATACGAGTCGATTACCTGATATATGAGGTAGAATTGCGTTCTTCTTCATTGGGTTCTACTTACTTTTTGGTTTCCTCAGCATCTCGGATCTGGTGATGGATGTGCCATCGTGTCCTGAATATCGTCATGCAAGACCACCACTGACAGAAATCCTGGCGTCCCCGTTCCAGACGAGCTGATTTATAAGCACGGCTTTATTTGCCTCCAACATCCTCCTCGTTGGAGGAGGATGTTGGAGGAGTGCTTGGACCCCAGATTTTATGAAGCTAACAAAGGCATATGTCGTAGTCTTCTAGTATCTGTACAATAGTTGAGCTGATGCTTCAAGCATAACGATCGCGTCCTCGATCTGAGCGAGTAAAAACTGAGCACAATGGTCACCCAGGACCACGTTCAGGCGGTTCAAATTGCTACACCAACCAGAACATTCGGATGTGTGGGATTATGAGCGCTTGGGATCATTGACTGAGGAGGGAAGGGTGCGTGTGCAGGGAGAAATGGCGTACTGGAAGTCGATAGCAGCGAAGAAGTGCCCGTCGGTGTTCAGTGCAGCGAGAGCATCGCTGGTGAGCCCGATGCTGGATCAGAGGAGCTCGTCCATCTCCAGATGCTCGAAGAACACGCCGTGGGCCAAACACAGGCAGACGACATCGGCGCATGTGACGGGAGACTCGGCAGGATCGAATTCGTCCAGAAGAGGCTCGAGAACATCGACGGCCAGCGCATTGCAGCAGGCCAAATTCGAGAGCGCGCTGCTGCACGATGCGGAACGAGTGCGCGAGCAGTCTCGCTCCAGCACGCCTCTGGCCAACATCGTCAAACCGTACGCCCACAGGGGCTCGGTTCCGCAAGCTGCGTCGTTGCGCTACAGCTTCACGCAGCAGCTGCTGGGCGAGCAGCGGCAGTGGTCGTCGTCGTCCGAGCTTCCGGACGAGATCGACCGGGCCAAAATGCTGGCCCTGAACATCGAGGTCATCGACCTGCGCAAGAAGATCGCCACCAAGGACAAGGAGATCCTTCGCCTGACCCGAGACCAGCGCAAAGTGTCGGGCGACTACCTCCCTCGATCCCGCAGCGCCAGCATTCTGGTTCACGCCCCTGTGGACGACGCCACGGCCATCCCGGCAGCTCAAGACCCCACGACTGCTGCTGCCATGCCCCTCCCACGGCGGCCCAGCACCGCAGCCGCACCCAGGAGGCGTTCCAGCAGCAGGAGCAGACTCGAATCCCCGGGCGGTGTTGGTGTTGGTGTTGGAGCTGGAGCTGGAAGCACTACTGACTTGGCTCAGAAATTCCCTCAAGAGAATGAGATTATCTCGATGGATAGTTCTGCAGGGATCACGACCCCCAGCAGTGCTACGGATGCTGCAGAGCAGGAGCAGGGACGAGGAGAGCCTATGAGTGCAATTGCGCTTCTGGAAGAACACCGAGCCATTGCTATGGCAGCCCAAGCCGGAAAGGCCGGAAAAAGGAAGAGTGTGACCTTACAAGTGGAGGAGCCGAGCGCTAGCGGTGATCGCAGAGCTAGTGGAGGAGCAGGAGAACGAGAACGAGAACGTCGAGGCAGCATCATGGCAGCTCTAACAGAAAGACGAGCTAGTGTTGCGGCAGCAGCGGAACAGGTACAACGAAGGGTGAGTAGCATCGCTCCTGCCATTGCTCCTGTTGTTGCTGCTGCGCCCATTACGAAGGAGCGAAGGCCTAGTGCAGAACGACGTCGTAGTGCTACCCCTCCTCCTGCTGCTCCTGCTGCTGATGCTGCTGATGCTCCTCCTCCTACTCCTGTGGCGCCGATCGAAGGTCAAGGAGTGAGTACAATTTCTTCTTCCTCCTCTTCTGCTCAGCCTGACGAGGTGGTGGTATCGGCGCCCGTGGCTGTTGAGGAGAACGCCCCACTTTCAGCAGAGGTGAGCACCCCGGCGCAGGAGGTGGTGCAAGACGAGACGATACAGCCCTCGAATGCCACCGAGAGCGTGGACACTGAGAATAGTAAACAACTTCCCTCCTCCGAAATCTAGACATTATTTTCCAATCAGAAAGAGCATGAAGAACGAGAGTTTTGACCATATTCATATCCCGGCCACCACTCAAGGTAGTCTCTCGGCTGCAGCTCTAACATTTGAGCACTACCTTGAGTGTGAACCTCCCGCAGCTTAAGGTCCATCAATATCGAATCGACTAGTTCCGACTTAGTAGTTGTCCTCCACAAGCTCCAAACTCCGCAACAGGTGAGCAATCTTCGGGTTTCAGAGCCTGAGAACTCTTAAATTGACAGATTTCACCGTTGTGAATCCGAGTCAAAAATCACAAAAGCCATGAAAACCACGAAAAGGCCTCCAAATGCTCAGTCCGAACATTCGGTGTGATTCCATTCAGAAACCATATTTCCAGAAAAGCTCACTTCACGTACTGCACTTCCCACCGCAGCTCAAAGTTTCACCATTTCAACCCAGTGCAGTTACAGTGAAGTTGTACAACAGACAGCAGACATACTTTCATCAGCCTGACGAGACCTCGAGGCAACTGTATAGGACTGAGTTTCTACCATCGCTCCTTCTCTCCCTCCCTTTCTCGTCGATTGAGGTCGTCTCACCGATCCAACCAAACGCAATCGGAGAGAATTTAGCTGCAGGAAAGTCAAAACCAAACCAACAATTTCCTCGAGTTGGGCCTCTAATTCAGCAGCAACAATCAATCAATAGGACTGTGGGAGAGCAGCAGACAGACCATGCGCTCGTCTCTGGTTCGCGCAGGCAGAAAGAATTCATGTACGAGGCTTCATGCGCATCAAATCCTCTCGCAGCCAAAGCTGCCAAACAATCATACGATCCATCCAAATCGCGTGTCTCATCGCTCGCCATGTACATCACTTGACAATGTCCAAAGTTCATTATGTGAGCTGAAGCCACTTGGAATGGCGGATTTTCTGAATTCTGATCCTCGGTTCAGATGTGAACGGACCGACCTCCTGCTTCGGATCAAATTCACCTCCGAACTGCTCCGAAGACAGGCGCAAATTGACCCGAAAAGCATCTCCACCCCCACCCAACGCACTCATTAGATTTCAGTGCAGCGCTATTTGTTGCAGCTCTCGATCGTTTTCTCAGAATCTTTAAAGCGCCCACGCTAGATTTGATGTGACAACAGGCCCGAAGCTGAACTCATACCAGGCGACATTAGCTCGTGCGAATTGTCCAGAGCAGAAGATTTTACCAACCTTTGGAGATTTTCTGTCACCGAGCCATTTCCTGGACATAAGACCGGTACTCGTGATAACCCACTTCGACGAGGGACCCTGGCTCTTTCCGAACGAGTTTTATTCCATTGCACTTTCGATTTGGCACGTTCCTGATCGACTGGATCGATCGATGTATCTTTCTCGTTCTCTCTCCGTCTTTCGATTCATCATTGCTGCGAGTGGGCAATCCCAAGAAACAGAAGCTCCCTCTGCCTCTGAGATTGGAATGTGGACGCGAGTTGGGCTTGTTAGATGATTTGGAAGGCAAGAATTGAGGAGGAGTGCAGTGGATTGTCGGTTCGATCGAGCGAGAGAGCGATTACAGGCGGGAAATGTCCACTCCGTTTGCGATGACTGCGAGCAGCGCCAACGAGAGCAGCAGCAGCCACGGCCATGCGTGCTCGATGCCTGCTGCTGCAGCCATGCCCGGATTCGGAGACTTGTACGAGGGATACAACGACATTCCCTTCGGGCCAGATTCTCAAGCCCTCCGGGTACCCTCGCAACCTTTTCCTGAGGCCGTTAATTTCTCGCCTCGTCGAGTTCTGATTCGGCAGTGATTTTATTTGTCCTTCGGAGGCTCTCTCTCTCTCTCTCTCTCTCTCTCTCTCTCTCTCTCTCTCTCTCTCTCTCTCTCTCTCTCTCTCTCTCTCTCTCTCTCTCTCTCTCTCCAGGAGAAACGATGTCCCATGTCTCTCTCGTTCGTTTCGTTTGAGCCCTGATTATGCATTCCGCCCAGCATTCAATTGCTCGAGGAGATTTCTGAGTTGCCTCTTGTAAGGCCTCTCTCAATTTCAGATTCTTGTAAGGTCGTAGCATGTTCTGGGTCCAAACCCTGCGGCCATAAATGGTCACAAGGCTGCACCATCATGACATTGATCAGAAGAGTTGCAAAATGCTGTCGAGTCATGGCGTGAGCACTACTACCAATTCGACTAGTCCATAAAGCATGCGTGCCAACGGAACACCCTCAAACTTGGAGCGAATCATGAGTTTGCTTTTCTGTTGTGCGTGCAGTCGATTGGAAGCAAATCGGAATCGGAAGTGGTCAGTTCTGTGAACAAGCCCGAATCGTTCACGGCTTACGATCCCATAGCAGTGGGCCACAGCCAAACGTCGTCCATGTCAGAAAATCAGGTGCGTTTACTCAGACGATCGTCACCTCAACCACCAGAAGACTTGGAGACAGGGCTGCTCGTCAGGATACGATAGTCTGCAGCACTAAAATTCCAGTCATGATCCATGGAGTAGAGGCTGATTTCGATTGAGAGTTCGATTGGATGCTCCAATCTAGGGAAGAGATGAAATCTCGACGAGTTTGATCACGAAGCAATGGATGTGTTCAGGTTGGCAAGTCTGAGGCATACACTGTGAGAACACCGACTCCCAATGTCATGATGGCCTCGCTGTGGCGGCCACCGAGCACGGGCATAACCTCTCGTGCGCTGTCGGGGACTGCATCTGTAGCTGCAGTCGAGCCTTCGACCCGCCCCATGACTGCAGTGAGATCTGCAGGCTACTCCTCAAGGGTACGTACCTCTCACACAGCTCTGGGATCGCTCGATCCAGATCAATATAATCTCGAATAGAAATCGCGAGCGAGCCCATTGATTGGCTTAGTATGGAAGCTCGAATTTCACTCAAGTCGCAGCTGGCAGTCATGTATGGCATCATCACTTCAGAGCCTCGAGATCCAGGCACCAATTGCCGAATTCATTCGAAGAATTAATCATGCCAGCAGGATGGCCGTGATGTTTGCTTGCCTGATAAACTTCGAGATCAACGAATATGCACCTGTTTCATAGACTTTTAACATTCTAGCAAAGGTCAGATGAATTTGGGCCCCAGGCCTGAGGTAGGGAGTGGATGGGGGAAATCATGCAGGGCAGTAAGTTCGATCCGTTGAACCAAGCAGCAAGGGCAATGACGCCTGCCCCTCCTAAAAAGGAAGAGAGCAATCCTGAGTATCAGAGTCGCGAAATGGAGAGACTCGTCAATCAACTGCTGGAAGAGAGTGCAGCTGCGGGCCTCGCTGTAAGATCTTATCCATTAACATGTGGCAGCTTTCGATGGATAGATGATCTGTAGCAGCTGATTCAGTGAACCGGTGCAAGAGACGGACTTCGATGTTCTAATGTTCAGCAACCAGTTGTTTAGTGTATGGGTGCCTGTATGATGTGTGCGAAAGCAGGGAGATCATCAATTAGCTCTGGAGAAGGCGAAGGAGGCGGGACGAAGGGAGAGACTCGTCTGTAAGCACAGAGAACAGGCTGGCCTGGTACTGCAATCTTATCATACTCGCCTCCAGTGTCTCAACAGGGCATAGTACTAACCTCACTGGAAAGATGACAGGAATTCGGAATCCATGCGTGGATACATTACATTACCAAGAGGTATTTTAGCATGCTTAAGCAAACATAGCATAACGATGTTATGGATTATATCATTATTTGATACTGATGTTTAGTTTTTAATGTAATTAAGCTAAAAAATCCCCTTTTTTATTTTTTATCATGACATATGATTTTAAATACAAAAATATCTCACTTACTGATAAAAAATAAGATTTTTTAATTATTTTTTGATAGGAAATATTTAGATTTTGCAAATCTATTTAGTTTAATATTTATGAGCTGAAAGTATTTCCGATGTCTGGGGTATATGTTGTCTCTAGTGTGCAGATTGACCAAATAAACCTGGAGCTCACATTCGCTGTGTGTTTCAACTTGGGCTATCAATATCATGCCAATGGCCTCCAACAGGAAGCCCTGAGTACCTACTCACAGATCATGAAGAACAAGCAGGTACTACACAACTCTCTTCAATTTCTGATTTCTCACGATCTCAGCTACATTCAGCAGGACTGTTCCAACCGACCTCAGATAATTTACAGTGTACGCAAACCAGAGTTTTCTCCAAGCAACAAGTGGTTTCTATGTCATCGTCCTCTACTTTCTTCTTCGATGATAATGATGAGCTGTGAGAACCTCCACTCTGGATGGCTAAAAAATGCCGAGAAAATCGCTTTTCCTCGTATCATGTGGAAAGTGGACATCATTGGCATGGTTGCAGTTTACGCAAGGCGGCCGGCTGAGGATCAACATGGGCAATATTTACTACGAGCAGAAAAAGTACACGCTGGCTGTGAAAATGTATCGCATGGCTCTGGACCAAACACCCAATACTCACAAAGAGATTCGATACAGAGTCATGCGCAATATAGGCAATGCTCTGATGAGACTCGGTAGATATCAGGTAATGCTGCCAAGGAGGATCCAAGATATTCAAGATCACAAATTCTTGTCATACACTAATTAGAACGTGTGGTTGGAATAATAGCAGTGTATAATAACTGCATATAACTGTGTTTGCTTACAACTCCACAATCCATAACCTGTTGTGTACCGTTGCCTTCCCCACTCCTGTCTGAATGGCATCTTCTTGAAGTTAGATTGATTGAACTTTCTGTGGCTAGAAGGGTGTCTGGAAATACAATGAGTTTATCATGGCAGAGGTAGAAATCAACAAAAAACAACGCATGTCCTTCAATATCCTACAAATATAGAAGGTGAGTGTGAAATTTCAACGACTGTATGTTCATGAGAGAGATTGAATCGTTCATAATTGTTTTCATTGCTGAGATGGAGGCAGGATGCAGCTCAATCTTATGAAGCAGTCATCGAGATCAAAGTTGACCATCAGGCTTGCTACAACCTGGTTGTCTGCTACTACATATTGGGTCACTTAGAGAAGACGAAGAGTGTTTTCACCAAGATGCTGCTCGTGCGACACTACGACTCCGACGATGAGGATGATGACATTGACGGCGATCATAGTGTTGTCTTAAGGGTGTGTGTGTGTGTGTGTGTGTGCATTCAACCTTTCATACTTCTCTGCACTTGAGACTTTCTGGCCTGCACCCGGAAAATTGAGGATCGCCTTGTGTATGGAAACAGAACGACGGCCTGCGGGAAGAGCTACGCACCAAACAGAACCACGCCTTCAAATACATCTTAACTGCAGCCAGGCTCGTGGCTCCAGTGCTGGGGAGTACGTTCGTGGAGGGATACGATTGCTTGATAGGTATGCTGAAAGATCAGCACTACGTTGCCCTCGCAAACGAGATGGAGATGAACAAAGCCCTCCAATTTCTTCGCCGACAGGATTTTGTCCAGGTGTGGACTCGCGCTACCTTCGTTTGCAAGTCTCACGTCACGAGATTGCGGCACTTCGGATGGTGCTTGTGGAGGTGATGGTGGATGTTGGTGGAACGAATGAATGGACTCCAGATGTTAATAATTAGGCAATGACTTATGCGTCATCCTCTTTTCCCATAAGCTTATCGGAAGATCATCTGTTACCTTCTCTCCACTCTGCTTACTGATGTATACATTTAATTAATAAGTTGTTGAAAACTCTAATCCACATCGTTCCTTTAGCCTGCCACGACAGATTTGATTCACGATGGCACACGAATGATTTCAGGCCATCTCGCTGCTGAAGAATTTCGAGCGTAAGGAGAAGGATCTGAAAGCTCGGGCGGCAACGAACTTATCCTTCCTTTACTTTCTCGAAGGTGATCAAATCAACGCTGAGAAACATGCTGAACTTGCAGTGAAGACGAATTCTTACAATCCATGTGCTCTGGTCAACCATGGAAACTGCCTCTACTCCAGGGTACTCAAAACATGCTCACTCTTCACATTCTTTCGTCCGATTTCGTACAGACTTTTCATGGAGTTATTTTTCCAAGAGTGCCCATTCCCTGACCTGATCTCTGGCATGTCGCGAGAAAGGGTGACGTTGCCGGAGCTCTAGCCCGATATACTGAGGCAGTGGAGGTTGAAGCTGATTGCGTGGAAGCCATCTTCAATACTGGTCTCTCTCAGAAGCGACTCGAATCACTAGCAGAAGCCTTGCAGACGTTTACAAAACTCAGCTATCTGCTTCCGAACAATGTCGAGGTTTTATTCCAGGTAACTGTAACAATGCCTCCCCGTTTCCTTCGAGGTGTTTCCCAAGTCCCTGGACGACAGTTTTCATGGGCTAAGAGAGTTCTGGGAAAAACAGTGACCGACAAGGCGTGACGAATCTGAAGCCATATGGAAGTGTTTGTAAATTTCGAGTGGCTAAAACAGCCAAACATAATAAAATAGTAATTACAATCCATGAAGTTATTAATACTTGTGCATAACCTTGAAAACTACCTAATTGCCAATAAAAATGTTGACCTACTTCGACACTTGATATATCTTAAATGTTATTAAAAGTGCTAACCATTTCTGCAGTATGCAGTATTTCGTTGAGGTGTTTTTCCACAGACTAACCATATTGAAATAGAACAAACCTGCGCTGGGTGACCCTCTTGCCACCTGACCGATACATCGTGCTGTGATTTCTGATTCCAGATTGGGCATGTGTACGAATTACTGGGAAACTATCATCAAGCCGTAAAGTGGCTCGAAATTGTGAACACCAGGGTGATGCATGACGCCGGAGTTCTGGCCATGTTGGGAAACTTGCACGCCAAACTGGACGATGAGCCCAAGGCTGTGCACTATTACTGCGAGTCGCACCGAGTCTATCCGACCAACATGGACATCATCTCATGGTTGGGCGCGTTCTACGTTAAGTCTGAAGTTTACGAAAAGGCAATGCCGTTTTTTGAGCTCGCCTCGAGAATCCAACCAGCCGAGGTGAGCACAGTTTCATGAATGATCGATCATAGCTCCAAAGGATTCAAACTCCAAAATAATATCAGAATTTGTGATGTCCTTTCTAAATCAGACCCTCGAGAGATGAAGCTCTTGGGTGTATGACACCTCAATCAGCAGACGAGTATGGATGAAATCAATCTCATCTCTAAGGTGGGAGGGAGCTGCAGGTGAAGTGGCAGTTGATGGTGGCCTCGTGCTACCGCAGAACGGGGCAGTACAAGATGGCATTGGCTAAGTACAAGTCAATTCACGCCAAGTATCCAGAAAACGTCGAGTGCTTGCGCTACTTGGTGCACATGTGCACCAGCCTCGGAAGGAAGGACGAGCTGCAGCAATACGAGCAGCGTCTTCGACAAGCCGAGCGGTCGGCGTCCAGAGGCTCGACGGGAGGAGACTCGCGAGCACAATTGCCACGATCCGAGAAGGTCGATGGCTTCAACCACCACCAGCAGCAGCAGAACGTGCCGTCGCCGAGAATTCTTCACGATGGCAAAAGAGGACAAAGTCCAGACCGCTTTTCCTGTCAGATCCAGAATCAGAATCAGCAGCAGCAGCAGCAGCAGTCGTCCTCCATCCCCAGAATATTATCGGCGAGGAAAAGCAGGATTGACGACGAGGAATGGCCCGACTTGGGCGATGATCTCCTGCCTTTGTAGACAGGCTGCTGCCTCCCTTCTGCTTGTCCACATCCTCTGCCTGTGGCTCTGGCTCTCACTTGCATGCATCGATCGACGTCACAGCAACAACAGATGCTTCCAGCAAATGTCTGCAATAGGCTTTTCACTTTCCAAGCTATGAACGACATTTGCAGCCCTTTGGAGACAGACAGAGGATCGGGCCATGTCCACTGGCCCTCCCGTGAATCTATCTATGCCAGATGACACCTTTCGTTAGCAATCAGAATTGTTCAGAAGTAAATATTCGTTGACTCGACTTGCTCTGTCGATGGTCTCAAGTCAGATCTCGAGTCGAGTCGATGAGAGATGAACGACCATCCACATCATGAGTGACCTTTTCTTCACCATTGATTGTATGGGACGTCTCCTGAGAGAGTTCAGAAACAATGGTGTGAGCTAATCGGCACCTTTCTTCTGATTCCATGTCCAGAAGCGCCATCGTCTGGGCACCAACAGCGACCGGACACGAGCAGTGGCAGTGGCAGTGCCAGTCGGGGCAAAAGTCATGTCGTCGACATCCATCACCGCTCGAGGTTTGAAACAAGAGCACGAAAGAGTTGCAGTCGTCGGCTCAGACCTCTCTCTCTCGGCGCCGAGATTCTGTCGTCCTTTTCGGAAGAACATCGATCTCTCCTTGGCGAGGAAGTCGAGGAACGCCTTGAGAGAATCGGCGGAGATTTTGCCTCGATCGATTCGCTCGACGGGGACTGCGAAAAGGCCTTCGTCACCTCTGCTGCTCATCCACATGCTTCTCGCGCCATCGCCAGGCTCTTCCTCCAACATAATCTTTCCCACCGTCAGAACATTGTACTGCTGCCCATAGCCGAACAGCGACCCCTTCTCGGCTCTCGGTGCCAGCGCGAATTCTGAACCCCCGAATTGGAATTCTGGAGCCCCGATCTTCGTGGGACTGCGCAGAGGAGAGGTCGCTGCGTCGATGGTGGTGGCTCTGTCAGCTCTCGTCGTCGTCGGCTGTCCTGAGGCTCGACGATGCATCAGCTCGTCGGCAGATTCGAGACGAGGAGCAGGCAGTTCTCTCGGGCCATAACATTGTCGAAGGGGTTGGAGTCCAGTGTCCTCGGACCTGTCACGATGCAGGCCAAATTTGCCCTCCAGAAATTTGCACTCCTCTGTGGCAGAGCAGCAGGGCGTCGTTCCTCGCGAGAGCTCTCGGGACGTGACTTCGAGTGCACTCGGTCTGTAGCACTTGACTCTGATGACCCTTTCGATACTCTCGGTGGCTGCAAATCCGACATCGTTCGCCCGATTCGACGTCGATGCCGGCCTTGACAATCGCACCTTAATCTCTTTTTCAGATATTTCTTCGATCATGGCACTTGTCAATTCGCTTTTCTTCTTCCCCGCCTCTGCAAGGCATACTTGTCAAGTTATGAAGCCAATTTCTACTTCTGCTTCGTGGAATCGCTGTCTAAGAAACACCGAACGATACGGGGGCCAGATTGGGCTTCGATTCAATTGTGGTCTGACTGAGAGTGAGAGTGAGAGGGGGGATCGGTAAGTGCAACCAAAACCTGAGGAATTTGCAAACGCCACCGAGCGTCGATGAGAATGACGATGATGAGCTGGTTTGTTGAATTCGTCGATCGGCAGCAGCACCTTCGGAACCTACCACCACACCGACAACGATGGCGGTCACGATATGGTGAACCTGGTCGTTGTCAGTTTAGAGGAAGATGTGACAATCACTGCCAGCGGACTGACGGGTCAGAAACCTGTCAGATGCCACTGACATAGCTTCCAATGTGGGACGACCTCATCGTCGTGCACCAAACTGGCTTCGGTTGATGATTCGAGAGCAGAATTAAAGTTGTCTAACTGCTCTAATTCAAGGTCGATGGGATGAATGGTGAGTCGACGACCTGTCGAATTCTCGATGTTAGCATTCATTATCATCCTCCTCCTCCTCGTCATAATTATGGAGTAAAAGCAGGAGAAATTGCGGCCACGACGATGTGAGCAGGCCTCGCTGTGAGGAAGCGGTTTGGGCCGTTTTGCGTCAGCTCGAAGCTGAGCCACGAGGTTGAAATGAAGAGCGATGTGGGAGGAGTGGGAGGGCGAGGAGGAGGAGGAGGATTATTAATCTGGATTGCATAAATGTCACGCCAAAGATGCTGCAGGAACAAACCGGTCTTCGATCGTGCTGCTGCTGATGCTGCTGCATCATGGAGCCTCGGCCGAGCCTCGAGTAGAGATCCGAGGCATGACTCGATGGCGCCGAGGGGGCCTCGTACTCGGCCATGTCCGGAGTGAATGCTCCTCCTGCTGCTGCTGCAGATGACGACGATGGCGATGGCGATGGCGATGGGTTTGGTGGCACCCGATCTGCATCATCATCTGCATCATCATCTTCTTCTTCATCATCTCCTTCATCTTCTCCTTCATCTTCTTGCTCTGGCTGCTCGTGCGGGAACAGGTACGTGGTCCAGAAGTGGTAGGGCACCACAGTCTTGAGCACGAGCCCGTCGCACGCAAATCGCCATTGCGTATCTTGCTGCTTGACTGCAGGTTGGTACTCGATGCGCACTTCGTGCGCGAAGGCGTTGTACACTTGCAGCACGACGTCGGCAGCGTCACCGCTCCTGCCCTTCTCCTCCTCCATCTCCATCTCCATCTTCTCCATCTTCTTCTTCTTCTTCTTCTTGTGCGTGGGGCCGATCTCCACCTCTCCGTGTTTCAGCTGCACTGCTTCCAACATGTGCAGGAGGACGAAGCATCGTGAGAATCGTGCTCTCGTGCACTTCCAATCCTCACATTACAAAGTGCTATGGATCGTTTGATAGAGATTTATCAAAGATTGATATTATTACTCTGCAGAATCTCTCTTCCCTTCTGATCTCAGTGTCGACCCCTGGCTGACGATGTCGAATTGATGTCCGAATTACTTAATGACGAGAAGCGTTTGGTCGAGGTGTGCGATTTGGGATTGAGGTTGTGTGGCAGAGTTGATTATGGCAACTGGGAGACGGATTTGACCGAGCCTACGAGTTCATGACATGCGTTTCGTAAGCAGATGCAAAGCTGGTCAGAGAGTGAGTGGAGAGGGTACATCTTATGGCAGCAATCTTGTACTCGCCATGCAGTCCACTCAGCAGCAATTCCTCCATGTTCAGATTCATCCTGATTACGCCTTGTCCTCCTGCTCCTGCTCCCTGTCCCTGTCCTCACGCTCCTCTAATCATGGACATGTTCTTACTTCTGCACCTCCATGTTCCTACTCTCGACCCATGGATGGCCTCACTTCACTGATCGCCAGAAACGGCAGAATCGAATTTGTGTCGTCGACGATGACGACCCTGCAGAAGCACGCACGTGCATTTAGAACAGCAGCGCCACAACTCTCCGCAAAATTATGATGTCCCATTCATGTCCAGTCCGATTACCGACCTCGAAGCGTGTTCCTCTCGATCGACGGTGGAAGAGGAGAGGAGTGAAGCAGAATGATAAGCGAGAGAGAGAGAGAGGGAGAGAGAGGGAGAGAGAGGGAGAAACACACGTGACCCAGAGCAGCCAATGTCGAGTTCAGAAGGCAAACGCTCGCAGAACTTGGCGCCAGTGGACAGAACTCCGATTTTATTATTCCGATTCCTGCACAATTATAGACTTCATTCAGGCATTCTCGCGCACACGGTTTCCAAATCATCGCACACCTTCAAGAAAAACTCTCTCCCTGCAGCGGACCCACATCCGTCCATCCTTTTGTTCGTTCGTTCATTCGTTTGTTTGTTTTGCCACTAGCATAATGACTCACTGAGCCCTAATGAGCCTAATCCTCGTCTGTCAGGCTTCCGTTACCATTGGCTCTCAAACCGTAAATGCCCTCTCTCTCTCTCTCTCTCTCTCTCCGAGTCTGTCGGTTTCGTGCATGGACACCGTTACCGTCAAGAGAAGAGAAGAGAAGATGAGATGGATCATGGAAGCTCACGATGAGACCAGACCAGACTCAATCGTAGAATCGTCGCGATTCGCTCTTGCGCTCATGATGCCGCCCAGAGAGATATTCTATATGTGGGACTGCTGCTGCTGCTGAAGTGCAGCACACGACAAACAAACCGGATTCATAAAAGTGCCCGAAATACTCATTCTCGACGCAATTCCACCCCATTCCACTCCATTCAATTCAATTCAAGTCCATTCAATTGCCATTGGCATGAGGATGGTGTGTCACCCGGACGTCATCGAAGAGTCTGAAGAAGGCGAAGCAGAAGTGCCGTGGAAGAAACAGAACCTTCACCCTTCCACTAGATTCATCCCCATCCGCCCTTCGTACCCCCCCCCCCCGGGGCCCTCTCTCTCATCCTCCAGTAGTTGCAGTATGTACTGTATCGCAGAACTGCTCCGTACATCCATCCAACATTCCATCCATCTATCCATCTGGGCAGCCTGACCGGCCCTCAGGCCCTCATTGGCGGGTCCAGGACCGGTCCGTCCGCGCATGTTTTGGATCCTCTCCGTAGATCTGACTCATCTGGATGGGGAGGGGAATTTAGGGACGGATTTAGGCGCCATGAGTGAGGGCACCTTTCCGTCTAGAAATTGAGGGGAACCTTATCCCGGCAGCCCGACAAAGTGCGAGACAACCGAGCCCAGAATGAATGAAGGGTGCATGAAGCACGACAGGGTTGTGCCAGATCTCCACATACGGTCTCTCGCTCATTCTCGTACATTGATTGAATACGTTTTCCTGAGTACTACTACTAATACTACTACGGTAGAGCAGTTGCCTCAGCATCACTATTGTCTCAATATCATCGAGAGCTACTTGCACACACCTCTACACTTCGTTGTCATGTCTGAATATTTCAGATATATTTGTATAAGAGCGAGCGCTGGTTATGGAAACCAACTTTGCGCAATATTTATTGTTTCTTAATGAGCACATGCATGTAATCGAATTTTCCACAAAAAAGTAATTATTCACTGAACGGTTCTACCCTATTCGTTTCAAGTACCAAGGCATTGGGAGAGTTTACATGTTTCATTCGCATTACTAGGCACTGCAGTTCATAAGAGACACAAAGTAAGTCGGTTTCTCCTTTATTCTCTTTAAAAAAAATGAAGAAATATTTTCTTCAAGTCTTCAAGTTTATAGTTATATGGACAATAACAAAGCTGAATTGTTCTAAATATAAAATTTTTTAAGTAATCCATAAGATACCTATCATATTTAGTCTGACGTTTTGAATATTTCAAACATGAGTAAATATTATGTCATGGACACTCTATTGGTATCCTGCCTCATTGTAGCCCATTTGTTTCATCCATGTATTAGTATGTGATCTTTTATCATTCATTTCATATATGAATATGTAATTGTGAAATGCACGCATGTTTTACACACAAGTGCAATATTTGGTGTGAGTCCAACATCAATTGTGCGCATGTTGGTACAATAGCTTGCATATTCACTACCAAAAGTTCGAAGTGGTTCACTTTCCAACTGTGTCTTGATTCTAATTATATGGTGAAGATATTTTGTTACAGATGATATGAATATCATACAAGACTATATATCAAGAAGCTCATCTGTAATGTTACTCAAGTAAATAACTCAAATTGATCTCCAGAAAATTTTATTAGGATTGTGACAATATTCAGTTTAATATTAAATATTATTTCCAAACCAGATCAAAGATGAGAATAATATTTAATAATAAGAAATTAAAATATATTCGAAACTGTTTATAAGCAGCCAAATGCTGACAAATAAAAATTATTAAATGAAACGAATTCATTCTATTTGCAAAAAAAAGATTTTTTTAATGATATTTTTTCAGATGTCATGGATATATGACATCTGTTATTCAAATTTAAAATAATTTAATAATAGAAAATCTCAATAATTCAAATTTTTCAATATTTTTCAAATGGATATATATGGCATAAAAATTATGCATTTTTTAAACATATTTAACATGAAAATATATGTATACATTGTGAAATATACTAACATGAATATATCATTAATAAATATAGATATAAATTTTATTTGATAAATAATTATTAGACGTAAAATATAAGTAAAAATGATGGTTAATTATGTATATATGACCTTAGATTCAAAAAACTGAACCTTTTTTACTATGTTATCATTATCACTTAAAATAGATATAATGGATATTGGAGTAAAAAAGCAATCATTCAAAGTACACATGATACTTCCCATTTCAATATATCATATGTAACCAAATAATCTCAATAACAAGGTAGAATATTCGATATCAGTTGTGTGAAGACAACCACATAATTTTTTGGAAACTTAAAATTTGAATAACTTGTAAAACTTGAATTATAATTTGGATAAATTTGAAATTTTTATTTGTGTGATATATATATATATAAATTTTTTTAAAGATGAAATATTATTCATTTATTCAAATGATTTACTTTATTCTACAGACATGGAACTGAAAATGCAACTTTTTCAAGAATATTTATCAATATATGATTCAAAAATTTTGATTCATGATAGTAGTTTTTTATTTTACATCTAGTCAAAAAGTGCTTGAATTCATGAAAAAGAATTCACTCTACAAAGATGCAATTGTTATTTAGCCTCATATTTATTTGTACATAATTAACGGAGTCATTTAGCACACATGTTAATGTACAATTCAGTTACATCCTCAATGAAATAGAAATTTTAAGCTAATTGAGTATGATTTTGAAACTTGACTACATAATTTTATTTTTTAAACTTATTTTTTTGCAAGTAATTTTTACCTGCAAAAAAAAAATTGTTTGAAGTAAATTGATATTTATTTTAAAGATACATTGATTACATCTAAAAACTTTTAATTTCTGAATGAAGATGTTCATAAAAAGTTGCAATTCGAATAATTGAAACTTTTTTAGATAGAAACATTATTTTATATACATAATTACAAGATTATGCCTGGAAAATTTTAATGTTGCTATGATTTTGATTATAACTTAAAAAATTTAATAGATTATCAGAAAATCATCATGCGATCAAATTTGAACATCTTAGATTTAAAATTCTTATCAATTGATTCAATATGTTATAATTTTTTCAATTCATGTTTTTATTTTTTCACCATGTTAAGTACATAAAAATGAAATTATAATATCTATAATGAAAAAATTTCTTTGAAATTCAACAAAATTCTGAAAATTATGATCATGAAAATGATTGAAAATAAGTTTAGTCAACTTGATTTATAAATCTCTCTTTATTTCGGGGTATGTTATTATCGTGCATATGCACAAAAATGTATCGTTTTGAAAATTTCATTTGGTACAATTGAACACAATTTGAATATTTTTTATTATATTCAAATTAATCTATTTCTTAGATTAAAATGTTAAGATTTTAAATTAATTTAAACATAATGAATTTTTTATTCTTTTACTTACAAATGAATTATTTTAACCATTTATCTAAGTTAAAGCTTAATAATTCTTAGAAGTCTGAATTTTGATTTATATTTGTTTATTCTCTTTAAAAATATTCTCTTGTACATATTTTTCTATGTATATATACATGTTATCAGCGTTTAAATTATAGAAATGTTTAACTTATTTTAAAAATTGATTTTTGTGTTCTAATAGTCAATACTGAGTCCAAATATGATCCACATAATTCTTGATTTCAACGAGATTTTAACCTGTTATATGGATTATATTATGAGATATTTCTACCATTTGCTTAGTTTTTCTTCACAAGTTTACTTCATCAATTATTATTATTATTGCAGCTAAATCCAACGGACTTATATGATTTATGTGAAAAGAATGAAAGCAATTATGATTTCTGTTATACAAATGTGAAAATAAATGCCATTTAAAAAACCAAATTTCAGTTTTTACAGATTGATTGCATACGATATCCATCTGTACACAATTTTGTTATTACGTATTACTTTGAGCTTTATATGAATGAATTTATGTTTATGGAATATAGATATTCAGGAATGATAAATAACTAGATTATAGTCTTTTAGATAATTTTACTAGGATGTAACGGTACGTTGAGTCTTAATGCATATTGATTTAAAATAATAATGTATTGATTTTCATTTAAAACTTTAAACATTATGTTTAACTCTTTGGTTCCAACAAAAAATCGTGATAATTTAGAATTTAGAATTAAAGTATCATCGTTAATCTAATTCACTTAGCCTGTAAGGTTAGCAAGGATAATATCAGTGATTTGGATAATTTGAGTTCAAAAAAATTTGAGTGTTGAAGTACAAAATGAAAAAATGTATTTTTAAACGCTTGAAATTAAGTGATGTGCTTTGTTTTGTTCATATTATTTTCACATGTTTTTAATCAAAGTATTACTTATTGATACAGGAATCCAGTTAATGTTAGATTAAATATTTAGATTAATGTCAAGAGATTTTGTCAAACTTAAAAAAATGTTACAATGACTAGATATTTCAACAATTGAAATTTACGAATGTACTATATGGATAATTCAAATTAGACTGAAACATAAATTTTTTTGAGTTCCACTTGTTGATGATTTTTATCTGATGGTGAATTTTGGAAACGTAAAAGAACTTGCAACTTTGTAATGATTGATATTATACATTAGAGCTAGGGGACCCGTTACCTACGGGTCCCCTCATCCTACTCATCACTTTTCATGCACAAGGAAGGATTGTGCATTTCGTGCACAGTGTCAAGCCCAGGTGTATATGGATTCTTAGGAAAGAATAAAGGGAAAATGAAGACTATTGTCAACTACAGGAGGATTGTGCATTTGTGTGACATGCCAAAGGGTGGCGTCTATCTGGACTATTCTGAATGATGAAGGAAACTAGATCAAATACAGCGACATGAGTAATTTGAAGTTTGTTGCTGCCATGTCAAGCCATGTCAAGCCACGACATCCGTGAATTCTGCAGGAAATCAATGGGGAAAGAAGAAGGAAAGGAAGAAAATTCACATAGCGATGGTGCACACTTCCGGTAGCCTTCGAGGGTAGGAAACTAAAGTGGCCTATCTAGTCGGAGGAGGAAAGGTTATTCTTCTTTTGGGAAATAAGAGGAGAAAAAGAATGGCAGTAAAGAGCGATCATCATTAATGAGTGTGATATGTGGGTTTTGCTTCGCTCGAGCTTTTTGAGCCCCACTTTGTTGGACTTGTGGTGGTTATGCTATCCAGATCTTTATCCCATAGGTGGCACACGACTTGGATTTTGCTTCTCGTGACCTTTTTGGGCTCGACTTTCCATTCTTTGTGATGGTTACACTCTCCAGATTTTTATCCCTTGGGCAGCAGCTTTCAACCCAAAGTCAAGTCGAGGATATGATCGCGAACAAATGTTATCATGTTCACGACAGTGCAAAAAAAAAAGCTTTAGCTCCATGAATTGGCTGAAAAGGGTCGGCACTAGGTTAATACTAGCCTACATTCTTTCACCTGCGTGAAATTTTGACCAAAATAACTATTTCCGTCAATGGTCAAAAGAGCATGTTGACCGCAATGGGCAGCTTCTCAATATTCATTCCCGTCCAGGAGATCCTTCCAGGTGATCGACAGACAGAACGCAGTTCACCATGAAACCTGCTCGCAGTCACTGCAGTAGGAAACCGGAAACTGCGTAGCGGCAATCAGGTGGAACCCTGTCCTATATGCAAGCCGCATACGGACAGGCCGAACTGGATACGGTAGGCTGCCATCGCTTATCCGAGCTTATATGACGTTATGGTTGTCGAGTCTACTGCGCTGGCTGGAGCGGAGTAAGGCTCGACGTCGTATACCGGTCCAGCTCAGTAATGAGGCGATGTGGTTGGTGTCTTATCTGTCAGATATGGGAGTATTCTAACAGATGAGAGCTGTATCTTCCGGTCTGATAGGGCGGTCGCAAGGCGACTTCAGACTGATGATGGTCAGGAGAGTCTCGGAGCGAGCGGGTGGCCACAACCCTTTCTGTGGCTGCCACTGTACAGCCGGTTACACCCAGAAGGTGATCTGGCTCGTCCGGCCGACGTGGAACTGAAGATTCTCAGCGGATCGGAGCATCGACGGCCGGGAGCATCTCGCAGGCTTCCCATCTCCGCGACCCGCGAATCTGTCGAGGATGACGAACTCGATGTCGCGTCGCAGTCGGACGAGGGGCGCAACTCCACCACCTGTGCGCTCAGCGGCCTGCAGCCGTCGATGCGCCGATCTGCCAACCCTCCGGGGCGCGGGACTGAGCAACGTCAATTGCTAATTCTGTCGCGAGCCTTTGAATATTAAAAACGGCATGACGGATGGAGGGAGCGAGCTCGGGAGCGCGGTCTGTCGGTCGGTCCGCTGGTTCCGCGGCTGGATTTGGTGGTACGGCGGACGGGAGGGAGGAGGATCTGGAGGCCGCTCGTCGAGCGTCGTAGTAGTGTAGTAGTCAGTGGAGCGTGAGGCGCTGAGGGGGAAGAAGAGGAGGAGCGCCTGCCTGCCCGCGCGCCGTCTAGCAGGCCCCCCCCCGCTGCTGCTTCAATTGCCGGACGAAGCGAGCGAGGCCGAGGCAGCAGAAGCAGAGGCAGAGGCAGTGGCCCCAAGGCAGCGGAGCTCGAGAGGATGGATGATGCGCTTGTCGGATTAGGTCGCTCGACAGGTGAAACAAATTCCTACTCTCCTCGGAGTGAGTGATTGATTTTTGCAGGTCGATGTGTTACGGTGATGGCGTTTTCTGCTGCTGCTGGTGGCGGTGGTGGTTGTAGAGTGGGAGCTTGCTCTGAGGAATCTAGATCGAAAATAGAGTAATGTAGAGTGATGGCAATGCGCGACGGGGGAATTTCGTGGGCTCCAGAGATTTATTTCGTCCTCACGGACGAAATCGTCGTGCTGCGTTCGGTCGGTTTGCTTTGTCGTTCGTCGTTCGTGGTCGTCTCGTGCGGTCGCTCGAGGTCGTCTTGTGCGTCCCGGGGTTTTGGGAAATGGCAAGATTGAATTTCTGGGGTTGCGTTGTTTTCGAGGTTCTGTGTTTTTCCGTGTCCAGTTCGGTGCGTCCTGGTCTACTTGCTCATTTGTTGGGGTCCTTTCTTTCTTACAGTGAGAAGAAGAAGAAGCTCGGATTTGAATCATTTGCCTTGACCGTGTGAAGGAGAATGTCCGTCTATTCTCCGCACCATGATGAGGTTTGTAGTTTGAACAGACTGTCTGCCTGTCGCGCGCTTCTTGTCTTCTCTCTGCACGCGTTTGTCGCCAATTTGATTGCGCTTCATTCGGACCTTGATCTCTGCCTTGAAGAAGCAGGTGCTCGTCGAAGCCGAAGCGTGCAAATTGTCGCCCTTTTTCTCATTCTCGCGCCATGTTTGCCGCAGTCAATGACCGAGCCGGCCCTGACATTGCGACGAGGGAGCGCGCCTGGTATGGGAAGCTGCTGCGTGGGAGCTCGGCGCTGAAGGAAGGAAGCGGCATGAGGAGAGGATTGCGAACCCTGTAGTCCCTGTAGTGTGGGCCTGGCAGGAGAGCAGCAGCAGCGGAGTGGTGCGCGCGGCAGTGAGCGAGCTTCACTTGCGCAGGCTCTCTCTCTCGCTGTGGGCGAAATCTCTTCGGACCGTCTCGACAGACAGACATGGCAGAGAGGAATAGCTGGAATTGGAACTCGTCCGTCGAGGCCCGGAAGGCATCGGACGTATTTCACGGAGACACATACGACGAGATGGCGGGACAAGGCCAGCAACATCAACATCAACACCAGCAGCAGCAGCAGCAGCAGCAGCAGCCTTCCACTGGCGCCTATCGGACGCAACCGAGTCGACGAGTGTCTCTGAAAGGAAACGCAGGGCTGACGAGCAAGATTTTGACTCTCAAAGAGAGGCTGGCCAATGCACGCATGGAGTGTCTGGAGCTCAGGCAGGAAGCGAGTGACTTGCAGGAATACTCGACTGTCAAAATTACGCGAGCCACTCGGTACTTGGGCGTGCTGTCGGACAAAGCTCGGAAACTGGACCAAGTTGCGCTGGACTGGGAAGCTCGCGTCACTCCGATTCGGGACGAGCGCAAGAAGCTGCTGAACGAGCTTCTGAACCAACGAGGAAATGTGCAGGTCCATTGTCGAGTGCGGCCGCAGTTCGAAGACGAAGGCCCTGTCATCACTTCGTATCCCAGCGATAGCACGATCCGGCTCACTCCTCCGGCGACTCCCGGCTCCACCCTCCCGGGCAAGATGGAATTCGAATTTGACCGCGTTTATGGTCCGCACATTGGGCAAGTGGACATCTTCGAGGATGTGCAGCCCATGATTCAGTCTGCTCTGGATGGGTTCAATGTGTCGATTTTTGCCTTCGGTCAATCGGGCACGGGCAAGACTTACACTCTCGAGGGGACGAGCCGGGATCCAGGCCTTTTCTACAGGGCAGTGGAAGAGTTGTTTCAGCTGTCGAATGTCGATGCTTCTCCTGCGTCGAGAACCGTGTTCCATGTCACCATGTTTGAGCTGCAGGATGAGCAGTTCAAGGATCTTCTCCAGCACTCGGTGGATCCCAGCAAGGCGTTCCAGGCCGAGATGGGCGAGGTAGGTCGAACTCTGAAGCTCGTCGGCGAGAGGATTGACAGTGCCCGAGACTTCTCGCGTGTCTTCAACACGGGCACGAGGAATCGTGCTGTTGAGAATTTCAGCTTCGACCAGAGCACGACCTCGTACTTGATTCTAACGATTCACATCCACCACACGAATATTCTGTTGAGGGAGAAGTACCAAAGCAAGATATCTTTCGTGGATATGCCCGCCAGCGACCAGCATCTCAGGGTGGAAGCGTCGATCACCGTTCTCGGGGATGTGCTTGCAGCCATTACTACTAAGGAGGATTATGTGCCCTACAGAAATTCTCTGCTGACCAGTGTCCTGGCCGACTCTCTCGGCGGGGATAACAAAACTCTCGTGATCGTCAATGTCAGCCCCTGTTCGCTGGATCTAGCCGAGACGCTATCCAGCATCAACTTCGGAACTCGAGCCCGAAGCAAGTCGGCGGCTTCAAGCGCTCAAGAGGATGCGCAGCTGGAGCTTGCCGAGAAGCAGAAAGAGATTGCAAAGCTGGAGCAAGAAAATCAGAGGCTGGAGAAAGCATTGAAAGAGTCGGACGAGCAATGCGCCACTCTGTTGAGTGCACTGCAGAAGGCCAACTCACAGGAGAAGTCCAAGGAGGTGGACGACGGAATCACCAGGTCTTCACAGGCTTGGGAGCTTCAACAGGCCAAACAAGCCATCTCGGAGGCTGTTCTGACCAATAAGAGACTGGAAGAAGAGCTCGCGAAAAGGGACGAGCTGATTGAGAGGCTTCACGAAGAGAATGAGAAACTGTTCGAGCGGCTCACCAAACCAATGGAGAGCGCCCGCAATGCCGCATTGGCTGAGCAGCAGCAGCAGCAGCAGCAGCGAATCAAGGATTCAGAAGACAGTGCCCATCGTTCTCCCGGTGGCCACGGGTCTGCCATGGACAGGGAAGTATCTACTCCTCCCCGTCAGGATCCTTCTGCTGGGACCATGGTCACCACTCCACCATCTGCCCTCTTGAGTGTGAAGAGCACTCCAGCGGGCGAGTATCTGAGCGCTGCACTATTGGATTTCAATCCCGACCAGTATGATAGCCCTGCTGCTATCGGTGACGGAGCCAACAAGCTCCTGATGCTAGTCTTGGCAGCGGTCATCAAAGCCGGTGCAGCAAGAGAGCATGAAATGCTGGCCGAAATTCGTGATGCTGTGTTCACTTTTATAAGAAGAATGGAGTCCCGGGCCGTCATGGACACCATGCTCGTGTCTCGTGTGCGAATTCTCTACATAAGATCACTGTGCTCTCGTTCTAGTGAGCTGCAGGCGATTCAGCTCCCACCTGTGGAAAAGTTTCTCGAGAGAGCTGGTTCAGGAACACCAAGCCGGAGAAGTAGCAGCAGAGAGAGCAGCCCAGGAAGGGCTCCCCTTCTCTCTCCCAAACTTTTTCATCACTCGAAATCCAACGTCGATGATCACTTGGCGAGGTTTAAGGTTAACTTAGGGCAGGAGAAAAAATCGAAAATTTCTTCGTTCTTCGGCAAGCTTAGGGGTGGTGACCAGCAACATGCGCAACAAAATTTGACCGGAGGTAAGCTCCGAGAAACGAGTGACGATGCCCGATATTATGCTATTGGGAATAAAGCTCTAGCTGCTCTGTTTGTGCACACTCCTGCTGGTGAGCTCCAGCGTCAGATCCGGGCTTGGTTGTCCCAGAACTTCGATCCTCTTGCTACTCCCAATGGCGAATCAGTAGAGGCCCAACTGGAGTCTCTTTCAACTGCCATTATGGACGGGTGGATGTCTGGTCTCGGTGTGCCTCAACGTCCCAGCACGGATGCTTTGGGACAGCTGCTTTCAGATTACACGAAGCTTGTCTACAGTTCAGAATTGCAGCACTTGAAAGATGTGGCCGCAACTCTAGCAACTGAAGAAGCAGAAGAAATAGCGCAGGTCGCACAATTGAGGTCCGGGCTCGAATCAGTAGAGCACAAGCGCCGGAAAGTTATGCAGCAGATGCGTTCCGATGTAGCTTTGCTGACCAAAGAGGAAGGTGGTTCACCGTTCCGAACGCCCTCGTCTGCAAACGAAGATGCACGTATAGCGTCACTCATTTCTCTCGAGGATATTTTGAAGCAAGCGGATGACATTATACGAGAAGCTCGGCAGAAAGCTGGAAGTTCAAGTCTGAAGAAGTCTCTGTCCGGTCGTATGAGCACTCTGTCCGAGCGAATGCCCACTCTGCTCCCCATAGATTATGCATGTGCACAAAGGGCCATAGGAGAAGCCCAGAAAGCTGTCGAATCTATACAGGAGGTTGGGAACGACCATCAGCACAGGTCGCAGTCGTCTATGTCTGAGTCTTCTGATGCACCTCCAACCTCTGGCGATTTGGAAGATGCAGATGGCGATGTCGTGCAGTGGAGTGTTCTCCAGTTTAACAACGGGAGTGCCACTCCGTTGGTTTTGAAGTGCGGTGCCACACCATCCTTGGAGCTCGTGGTGAAAGCCACTGCGAGGTTGCAAGATAAGAACGGGAAAGAGGTGGTCTCTGTTGTTCCTTCTCCCTCGGCCTTGAATGGACTGTCACTAGACGAGATCAGGCAAATTTTGTCTCAAGTTCCAGAAGCTTTTAGCAATCTAGCTTTGGCAAGGTCAGCTGATGGGACTCGTGCAAGATATACACGCCTCTACAAGACCCTGGCTGTGAGGGTTCCTGCGCTCCGAAGCTCTGTGAATAGTCTCGACTCGGAATCAGCAAAAGAACTTGCAAACCTTCAGAGCTCCTCCACGAAATGGCAAGCTCAAAACCACGGGAGGAGAAAGTCGGACGTCGATGATTTTGGTGGAGATGAGCCTCATTGACAGAGCAGTGTTTGGTTGACATTTCTCGATTCGAGTGGATAAAGCCTGTAACCTTAAAATTCGTTGACTTCCCTATATGGGAGAGTACTGTGGTGTAGTAGATCCAACAAGGATTCGGATAAATGTACAGACACCAGCAAACTTACCTGCCTCTGGTGACTCAAATACAGAGAAAAGCAGAACTTTTAGAGCTCTACGTGCAGACCCTGCTTGCCAGCGGATGAAGCATCAAGCCTAGGTTTCAGGGAACAACAGTATGGTTGTCCTGAGAGAGTCCGTTGCTCCATCTGTGGAAAGGAGGTCCTTCGGTAAGTCTCAGTGAGTGGCTTGGAATGGAGAATCATAGATCGAAAGTATCAGATTTATTAGCCAAATGGCTAGCATTTTTCCAAGAGGCAGTTGTGCACAAACTGGGCTAAATCTCGTCGTCTGTCACAAGAGGCAACAGCCAGTCTTGCTAGTATCGCAGCTGGATTTTCGACACATCTTATGCTGTAAGTCACACCACGTTCCTGGTGACCGAGTGAAGATGTGTTTCTCTTTTACAGAAGATTTTTGTACTTTTAATACTGTAGTATGTGTTTTGAACGATCTCCTTGGGAGGGGATAGTCACGTAACCACCATCTGGAAATATACTTTGTGGTTGTCAAGCGGCCAGCCTAGTGTGACCTTAGCTGATAGATTGAACTCTTCTTCTTTCTTTCTCTCTCTCGCGGAGATGTGTAACCATTTGTGCACGGTATCTCGCATGGAGAAGGCTATTAGTATAGGTTAGTGGAGATCGATAACATTGATATTACTGTCAACGTATGTGCAGGCCACCCCTCCCAGTTGCCGTTGATCATGTTGGAGAGTGTACTTGACTTTTACTTCTACAGGGTAGATAACTTCTCGTCGTGACGAGCTAGGAACCGATTAGAATCTACTAGTGTACCATTTGAACAGCATCTGTATTGGGCCCTTTCAGATCTAGGTTTCGATTTATAAAACGGTTGTGCGGGTATGCGCAGGCCCGCTTTCCTTGGCAGGTTCTGATCATCCTTTTGTAACGTTTTGTAACAGTTGTTCCCACGCACTTTTCATGTGTCTCTGATGGTGTAAATGCATCCTTCCACCTTGAGGTGCTGTGCTTTCAGATCTACGTTTCTATAGTCCCTTGTGGACATCCCATCGTCTGTAACCATTTTGGGTGGCACACGAATACAGAACTGAAAAGCTTTGCTGAAACTGACTTCTCATGCCCACGCTGTGTCTCTTTAAACGTTATCTGGTGATTTACAAAGTAACATATGGGCAGCATGTGTTTGCTGTAACAAGGGTTGTCAGGGGAACTTTTTTGACTAGAACTTCTTCATTAGGATCTGGCTCTGGTCGCATATGCCAGATCTAATGATCGATGCTAAGGGACTCAAGACCGTTATACCTTCTAATCCCTGAGAATGTTGGAATGGCTGATCTAGCAGAGGAGCAATTTTGAAAGTCCTGTTGGATTCCCGCTGTCTCGATAGCGCGCAGTATGACGGAATGCTCTTCTGCAGTGACACGAATGGTATTGGCCAACTCTCGAGATATTCAGACAATATCTTAAGATGTGGTCAATGGGGACAAGACATGGATTTCTACTTGTTCTTCCAGGTCCAATCACGAGATCTCGAATTCGAATATCTTCCCCTCCTAAAAATATCTTTGTGGAGGATGAAACTATTAGAAAAGACATGAATATGATTAATAAGACTATAAAACTCGTGTAGAACCTCAACAAAATAGATTGGTAGAATAGTCTACGACATGAATATGATTAACAAGACTATAAAACTTGTGAAGAACCTCAACAAAATAGATTGGTAGAATAGTCTACGACATGAATATGATTAACAAGACTATAAAACTTGTGAAGAACCTCAACACAACAGATTGGTAGAATAGTCTACGAGTATCCAAACATCTCTAAGAGAAGACTAACATAGGAAAAATTGATATTTTTAAAGTTGATTATCCATCTTCTAAGCCTGCCCCAAGGTCTAAGGCCAGAGCCCAAAGCCGGCAAGCCTCCTGGACGAAAAACACAAAATCGGCTAGAGGACCCGTAGAAACAAATAAATATAAATGTAAGGACTATTCGGCCAATCAATAACATGTTTATATTTCATAGTGAATGGGTTTTTAAAAAAAATTCTAAAAGCATCATCTATCTTAGACGTCATTATATACCATGGTCATTTAACGCTATTCAATGGTACAATGTCATCAAGAAAGAATTCAAAATGTATAAATAGAAATTTTTCTTTTATTTCTGACTAGTCATAAATCTGCAGAGTTGCACAAGTCTACATTGTTCACGTAACATCGTATATAGCTGTATTCGAGTTTGATGAACATAATAATTATAGTTGGCTTTATCACTATTGCTATGCTACTATAATTACATTTAAATAATGATGAGCAAATTTTATTAGAATTAGTACTTAAAATGAAAAAAATCCCTTTTATTTTGCAAAAAAATGAACATATTTTCTGTGTAATTAATTTAGTTAGAAATTTTATTTTAATATTTTCTTAACTTCATTCATATTTTTATAATTAAATTTTACATATTTTATGACAAAAATATTTATAATTAACTTTTTTTTATATTTCTTGAATCTTGAATGCTTGATCATCAATTGGATTTGATGTGTAGAGTTGATTATGTAGTATTACATTGATTGTCATGTTATGAACGCTTTTTTGAAATTAAAATTTCTAGATGTTTTTATGAATAATAATAATATTATTACTTTATGATATTTAAAAAAGTTAATCTAAGTTTTGTTTTGAATATGATAAATGATTCAAGATGTGTTGCAAAAGATATAAAGTTTGTTACGGTAAATCTCGATAATTACACAAAGAAAGAAATAATGTGATTCACATTCAGCGAGAGTGCTATGTCCACCCATAACTCTTAGCACTTTACTCCAGGTCTTGTGAGAAAAGATGTACTTTACAAAGTGAACCCCGAGTTATTTATCCCTAGTACAAACGACCATCCTAGCTATAAATAGCTATGATCCGAGATTACTCCTTAACTGGAGTTAAACTCTAACAATCTCCTACTTAACTCACGTTAAGTAACAATAACCTCTATAACATACATTACTACTCCGCGGGAAGTTTTAGACAAAAACTTAACATAAGTTACTCTAGTTAACTTGTGTAAAGAGGTGCTTTATGTTAGGATACTATTTAGAAGTTCCCGTGGAGTAATAATATATGTTATAGAGGTTGCAAGTCTACAACCACGTAACGAGATCCTAATAGCAATAGCACAATCATAATTGATCACTCAACTTACTTCGTGAATTAAGGGGGAGATGTTGATTTTAACTCAAGTCAAAGAGTAATCTCAGGTTCTAGCTATTTATAGATAGGACGGTCGCTTGGACTTGGGATAAATACCTTGGGGTTCACTTTGTACAGTAAGTATTTTCTCACAAGACCTGGAGTAAAGTGCTGAGAATTCTGGGTGGACGTAGCCCTCTAGCTGATGATGAATCATGTTATTTCTGTGTTCGTGTAATTATCGAGTTTTACTGTCACAAATGGTATCAGAGCTAGTTCTGCTTTGGACTCTATGACTGTGACAAATTGTCAACTGTTTTCTGAACAATGATTTCTTCGACGATTTTCAGAAGAGTTTATGTCGACGATGTTTTGAACGATGATCTAGTCGACAATGTTCAGAAGAAGTTTAACCTGATTTGGTTGTGACATAAAGTTTTCAGTATAGACCGACAAAACTAAAAGAATTTATTCGTAGAGAGATTTTTCACGAGGTGATAAGCAGAGAAATTTGGTACGAGTCTTGTGATCAGACAGATGAGGGAAGTAATTGCGTGGTTAGCCACCAAGAGTTCGTACAATTGCAGAGCACCGGTTGTCCGCCTGGACTGTCATGGTTTCAGCGCTCCAACGAACTTGAGAGGTTGGTTAGTAGTAAGTCGAGAAAGTCGAGCGTTTTGATGATGATCAGCTTGTCCACGAAATCCTTGATCAAAAGGGCTAGTCTACGTTGTCGTAGTTGCTAAGGTCGGGTTTGATCACGGTGATGAATTCCAAAAATTCCATGTCGTTTTGTCGATGGTGGGCGCCTACGTATTCCTTCACAGGTATCGAAACCACTCGTTTTGCAGCGGCTAGCGCATATTCACTCGGTCGCTATCCGAGTCCGGCTCCAGATCCAACTCGTCAAAGAGCATAGTCTACAGGCAGATGGCTTGTGACGTCGACATGCGCCATTGATCTCGGCTTGCCAATCAGACGAAGCACGACTTGTAAACCTTCTCATAGACTTCTGTAATCCTGAGTTGAAACCGAATTTGGAACAGGTACAGCATGCCGACCACAAATTCCCGCAACGCCACCTTGCCGAAGCACTTAACTTGCTCTAATATCATATGTGACGGTAAAACTCGATAATTTCACGAACCAGAAATAACGTGGTTCACCCTCAGCCAGAGTGATAAGTCCAGGATAAGTCCAATCAGCACTTCATTCCAGGTCTTCTGAGAGAAAACTTATTGTACAAAGTGAATCCCAAGGTATTTATCCATAGTCCAGACTACCGTCATAACTATAAATGATCCGAGGTTACTCCTTAACTGGAATTAACCTCAACAAAGTTAAACATTATGAAATTTTTTGTTTAAAAATTAAAATTGTGTTAATATTAAAAAAAAAACTAAAAATAAATATATATATGTTTATTTTATTCATATTTCTAAGATTTACTAATGCAAATTTATTGAAATTCTGAAACAACCGAATAAAAAAAGGTGTCTTTAAATTTCAATATATGTTAGTTAAAATAAAAATATATATATTTTACTTGAGTGTCCAATGAACAAACTTCATTGTAAATTAAAAATTATCTTTTGACACACATGATCTTGCAACCATTTCAAAATTACTGTCATTTTAAGAATACAAAATCTATGCTAGAATTTACACGTCTAGTTTGAATTATATATTGTAAATTATTTTGCACTTATTATTGTTACACTACTTTCTGTTAAATTTTAGGTAGTTAAAATGGTAAAAAACACTTCATCTATATTTTTTTTAAAATTTTAATATAACTATAGATTAAAGTACTATGTTAGAGTACTACTTCTTGTTAGGAGCTTGTAAAGAATGAACTTCAATCAGGAAAGGAGAAGCTGATTATGTATATCATACAATGTATTTCATTACAAAAATTAATCTCTATGAGCTGTATGATGAAGTAATATTTCTGTTGAGGTCTAAATATACTCATTACTTATAGAAATCGGAAGTCATTATTGAATTTTATTTTTTTTGTAAAACCAAGTTCGAAACATTCAATTCAAACCTGTAGAAGTGGAAGCCAACTAGATGTCAGAAATGATGGTGTGAAGTCATCAGACGTTACAAAGGATGAAACAAAATGGTAGTAGATGTACTACCATTTTGTTCCAGGTACTATGTTCCATAACATCAAGTATATGATATACTGTATATCCCAACTATTAACAAATGTTGTACAAACAACCGAAACACACCAGAAGTCTTCAACTACCGACATTGTTCTCTTAATGTCGAAGTTCCTGCTTGCGAATGGACAATAATAGAAGTCTCCAAAAATCGGTGTTCTAAACAGGTTGAGTCGAAAGATACTACTTCATTTACGAAGACTTTGTCCAACTTCCGGATGCCAGAATTAGTCAAAGCTCCTCAGAACTAAAATTTTATATCAGCTGAAGTTGATCAAACTCAAGTCCGATTCTCAACCGCTTTGCAAATAATTATTCGCTCTTCTTGTCCTACCGCCTTTGTAGTTTACACTACTCCAAACACAAGCATGATGGAGTACTCATTCAAGAAGTTGCATTTTCGTTTCAAGGCTATAATAAATCGTAACGAAAAACTATAAATATATATGTAAATTTATTTTATTTTTGGGTAGCTTATCTAGCCGTACTAAACGACACACATGCTGAGGCATCTAAAATGTTGATTAGAACTTGGAATATATTCTGTGGAGTTCGAAATGAGGGCACATGAGGAAAGTACTTCAAGCACATTTATTATTAAGACTTGAGGTGACTTTGCATAATTTGTTTCTTCTTTCCTCAAATGAACTCAACTCACCCTGAGTTTAAATCTTTACTTCCTCTTACCTTCCCGGGTGCAAAGTGGTATTTTGTTGATCATGTTGAAGTATTGAAGATGTTCGAAGTATAGGATTCAGTTTTGATCAATTTTGATAGTATTTAATTTAGTTAAAAGGAATTTTTTTTGGGAATTAACTTATAAGATACTTTTCATAAATTCTGTTAACATGAAATAAAAGACGAAAGCATGTACAGACATGTGAATGTTCATGAAAATTATTTGATAAATTTTTTCAGATATTATTCGATATATTTTTTCAAAATATATCGAATAATTTTCATATATTATGTATTTTTATGTCGATACTCTCTTTTATTTAACAAAATTCGACTTAGCTATACTCAATATGAAAACTGAGAAATAAATTCTTATATTTTTCAATATATAAGAAAATTTTTTATTTGATTTTAAGTTTCTGTATAAAGTTTATGAATTCAAAATTATTTTATATATGCTTGTTCAATTCAATTTTCATGATTAAATTCATAAAAGAAAAGGGAATAAAATAATTGATACAAGATTTATGTGATTGATATTCATCACGTGAATATTTATCTACAGAACAAACATATTAAAAAATACAAGAAAAGAAATACAAGGAGTGTATGAGCATCATGTTACTTCTTTCAGCCGAAAGAAGAAATCATCTTATAATAATTGTTTAATTTTTCCGTATAATTCATAAAACAATGAATGATTACAATTTGATAATTATTTAATTGAAATAATTTGAAGAGGAAAATTTAAAAGAGTGCAAATTTTTTTTTTTAACATCCTTATAGTAAAAAAGAAACTTTATACCTATTAGCCAGTGAAATTATAACAACATAAGACCTTTATAAGTCTTACTAAGTAAAAAGTGAAATCTCATTCTGAATGGAGTAGACTTGTACTAGACAGTATGTGCGGCAATAATCATAAGGTGATAATTTTCGGATGATTAAGGATAATGCATAATTGTAACCGATGAGATTTTAACCGCTAGATTTTCTCTTTAGTTTAAAGCAAAGCGTGTCGTTGGTATAGATGTTTCTTAGATGGTGATCATCACCATCTAAGAAACATCTGTGCCATCAACACGCTTACCTAAGCACCACTATCATCAATCTGAGAAGATGATTGAATATAAGCTTTGGAGTTAGAATTTAGGTTATAGGTTGAATAAATGTAGGTTGTTGAATTTCAATGGCGTCTACATTTTCCTCCGAATTTATATTTAAGTTTAGCCTTCCTGTACTCAGGTTTTGTACCTACTGATGAGGACATGAAAGTTTATGTGCTTCGTAGTATGTAATGCTGTCATTCTACACGTGTAATGTTAAATTCTTAGACTTTCCATGATGATGCAAGATCTACCCCCAAAGGTGTTGTTTTCTCCCTCCACCAGATCCGTGTTCATGTTTTCGGTGAAGAGATTAATGACTAGATTTGTGTTCACAATGTCTACTAAGTGGACACAAAGTTCACAGATATCGAGCTAACGCACATACGGTGTGAAAAACAGTAATTTAAATTTAAATTTAAGAGTAATTAAAGTTGTATTTTTCCAAACGTGTATGGAGCAAATATATTACGTGGCCAGTGTAGACAATCGTCAAGAATGGAACCTTCTGGGCAGCCGGTAAATTGGGCTGGTCAATTTGTACTCGAACTGTATGCCAACAAGACTTCATCACCATGTGTTCGAATCTGGACTCCAGATTAAATTGTAATATTAATGAAGTGATGAAGATATTTTTTTGGTGAATTATGGTAGTCGAGCACGCTAAAGAGGTAGTCGAACGATCTTCCGCTGTTCTGGATCTTACTCGTGAGATCCCAGGAGAATACATTGATCAATTACGTGAGATTCGATCTGGCGAAGAGATGGGAGTAAATTCTGCTGGGGGATGTGATCAGTTTCAGTTGAAATATCGATTATTATCGATAATGTTTAGACTCACTTGCATGAATGAGAAGGGTTCTTCCCACTTTTATGGAGGCCCGTCAATTCGCGGAAGACGATCGTGAAAATTCATATATGCATATTCTGACTGCGTTTCCTTGACGAAGAAAAATTTAAATATTTGAATTTCTTACTGTTGATTTTCAGAGGGTCTCGATATCTGCATGATAAAATATACATCTATCGAATTAGTCGTATAATTTAGATGTCATGGTGTATATATTATAGTAAATATTTTCAAAATATATTATTCCATTCATATATATGATTATTTATTTCAAACCATACAACTAATTCCAATTTGCATATCATTGTTATTTGATAAAAAAATTCTATAGTTCTATCACCAAACGAAAAGTTTTCCGGACATTACGAGGAGATTATCTTTTTTATCACGCCCTTTGAAATGGACGCTGAGAAGAAGTGGACGCTCTAATGCTCGAGCTATCTTGAATAGTCATCACTCGGCAATGAAGCTCGAGCTTCTTCGTCCCGAGTCTTCTCTGGCCTTGACTAGACAGATGCAAATTTCTTCGTGCAAATGCAAGCAATAAACTCCGTCCGGGTCGACAATCCTCTGGTTCAAGTTCTGAGGCAATTCAGAGTCGAGTCCAATTAATGGGCTAATCTACTAATTAATTGTATTCAAAGGGTCATGAGATCATATTAACGACACAAAACAATACTATCCAGATTAACATATTCGAATGCTCAGACAGGACTCAACAACTCAAGAACTCTGCATTTTGTTTGGAAGTTTGGATTTGACTTTGATGTTGTGGTAGTGTATTGTTGAAAATACTTATGAGCACCATTTATATGCTCGTAGTATTGGAACCTGAACTCGGGGATCGTTCCAATGAGAACGATTGAATCGACAGAAAGGTAATTATGGCGAGAATGGGTGAACGACGAGTCGAGATAATGAGACTCCAAGCTGCAGAGCATAAGCTCTGCAATCCCATCGACCGATCGACTGCCGTGATAATACTAGCGAGTGTTCAGGTGGAAGAACACTCGGACTGTCATGATGAACCGACTCCCTCCCTGCAGCCAAACGAACGAGTGACTTGCGAGTGATCATGATCATTTTCATCATCACCGACACGGCCGTCGTTGCGGTGATGTGCTTGGACAAACTGGGCAATGCTGTGCATGCTCGAGTGAAAGAAAGGGTTATCAGAGCTACGTTCTGGACTGGAAAGAAGGAAGCGGAGTACGACGAGAAATCCGATGTGCGAGAAGGAGCTGGAGCAGAAGAAGCCGATGGAGTGAGCGTCGGGTCAGACTGAGAATTATGTCAGACACATGACCATTAGGTGACCGCCGAGTGAGTGAAGGTTGGCATATATGCTGGATCAATCGAGGTAGGTGCGAGTGTGCGTGCGGGCGGGCGTGTGGGTGGTAGCTCCCCCGGGGGGCATGATTCTGGTCAGAGCGGTCAGATCTCACTCACGCTCGCTAGATTTGCTAATTCTGTCATTTCTTCATCATGATTCTGGCTCGTCGAGCCTCATGCTGCCTCGTTGTCCCCGTGAGTGCCTGACACACCACTTCGCACTTCTGATTATTGCTCCCCGACTCACCACTCTCGGGCCTCGACCGCCATACAGAGTGGCATGAATCTGAATCCACTCTGCACTGAATGCCGAGTCCCGTCAAGACCAGGACAATCCCAAGTCGGCCCAAAAGTAAATGTGAGCCTAAATGGAGGAAGGCATCATGTCAGTGGGTCGGTCGGAGGGGGTTGGTTGGCCGAGAGCTCCCAAATCCGGCACTGGATGTCCATCTGTGTCCGAGATGATCGACATGAAATTTGGGGTGCATTATTCGAGCACTGGTTCCGAATGCCAGAGTTTGATTTGATTCGGTGTAAGGGCATGGCGTGGATGCCATCGGTGGTGGCATACGCTTCAATGATTGTTTTGACGAGGACCGAGAAAGGTTGGAACCTCCTGAAATTTGTCAAATGAGCTGCGGCTGCTGCTGGCCGCTTCTCATCTCCTCGTGCATGCCTGCCATCTCCCTCAGCCCCTCAGCGCATGCTTCCTTCGCTCCGCAGGCAAATTAAGCATCGCTCTCTCTCGCAGGCCTCGATCGTTTCAAACATGACAGTCATATTCAGCGACTTGATTCTGGAAATTTTACGCTCGATCGCTGATGTTGCGTGGACTCCTTCCACTGCTGACTTTGAAGACGACAGAAAGGTGCATATAGGCCCGACGACCTCCAGCTCCAGCTCCAGCTCCAGCAGCAGCACTCGCAGTTCACATCATCGATCTGCTCCTACAGAGCGTGTGACGTACTGCGTGTGGGAAGGCGATGAGTTTTATGCCTACTCTCGTGACGGCTCCAGCTCTGGCGACCAGCAGCATCTGCAGCGCTACTTCCAACTGGACTGGTGGTCAGTTGATCGATAAGGTCTAGCTTTGAATCTTCTGTGCCTGTCTGTCATGTCACTGACGACATAGCCAGCTCGGCTGCATTGCCCAAAACCCCACTTTGACTGTGTGTGCACAGATGACAGAATTAAACTCTCGATTTACACGTAAACTTTAGCTTTCATTTTACTCGTAATTTCGGCTAGCAATAAGCTGCTGCTGCTGCTGCTGCTGGTGGTGGTAGCATGATAGATGTAGATCGCATTACGTCCCAAGGTGCTGCAGGCCAGCCCTGAATTGGCCCGGAATTGGCTCGTCTCTCGTCTTTGTTGTCTAATAATCATCCGACATCGGACAATGTCTTTGAAGCCGTGAATTCATGTCGACGAGTTCACGTTCAGTCGAGAAGCTTTCAGCTGGGAAGCTTGCCTTGCCATTCAGTAGACAGGCAGACAGTCCGATGTTGATTGAATCCGAGCTGACCTCTCATGGGACGAACATGATCCCACCTCCAAGTGTTGCCAACTGCGTCCCACAATTGCGAAGCTGGTGAAATGAAGCCCGGCACTCAGTCCAGCTTCCTTCCTGTTTGCTTCTACTGCTTCCTTGTAGCCCGAGCACGAATGTAACGAGGAAAGCTGATTGAGCTGTTCATGCAAGGAGCTTGCGCGAGCTGCTGCGAAAATGGACTTTGACAGTTCCGTGAATCTGCCACGGTCGCGTTCTGAGGGTGCAGAACGAAATGGCAATGGGCATGGGGGCGAGAAGGATCTGCCGTGTCCAGCCGATGTTGCAGCAGCAGCAGCAGCAGCTGCTGAGCCACAAAGGGTCGATTGCGGAATGGGGATAGATGGTCGCGTGGACCTGCAGCCGCAGGTCCAAAATCCTCGGCAAATTGCAGGCTCAGACGAGGAGGAGAAGCTCAGAAGGCTGAATAGAAGGTCGCAAAGTGTGAAGGAAGGAGGCGGCGGCGATGGCGTCTTGGGCTCGGCCTGGGGATCGAATGATCATAACAACAACGGCGGGCGACGACCGACATCGCTGGCCACCTTTTTCTCCCGAACCAGGAGCCTGAGCGAAGCCAGAAGCCAGCTGCACGACGATGGAGTCAGCCGCAGCCCCAGATCGATACCATCGTATTTCTTGAATGCATCGAGGTCCAAGAGAATTCATGCGCTGCTCAGCGACAATGATCTCGAGGCCAAATCATCCTCGGGGGTGGTGGATTTGCCGGCACTAGCAGCAGCAGCAGATGCAGCAAATGGAGGTCCGAATGGAGGAGGAGGAGGAGGATTGGGGAAGGTGTCGGAGGTGCCAAAGCAGTCGCCGATTGAGGAGGTGGCGCTGATAGTGCCGACGACGGACGATCCATCGCTGGCGGTGTGGACCTTTCGGACATGGACTCTGGGGCTAGCTTCGAATGTGCTGCTGAGTTTCATCAACACCTACTTCTCGTACCGGAGCGAGCCGATCGTTCTCGGAGTGACCACGGCTCTGATCGTCACGCTTCCTCTGGGCCAATTCATGGCCGCCACATTTCCCGACAAATGGATTCGTGTGCCAGGCACCAAGCTCGGCTTCTCGTTGAATCCGGGCCACTTCAACGCCAAGGAGCACGCGCTCATCGTCCAATTCGCCAGCCCTGGAGGTTCCAGGCCCGGCGGCATCTTCGTCGTCACCCTCGTCAAGCTCTACCTCAAGGGCAAGATGGAATTCTTCCCGGCTTTCCTCTTCACCCTCTCTTGCGAGGTAATCAATCCATCGATCGGTCTGATTCCTTCCACCCCGTCCGGAGCTCTGGACTCCTTGCATCATCCAGGCACGAGTGCAATTCGATTCATGGCAGCTTGACAGACCAAGCGGTCGAGCTACGTACGTACTGACAGGACTGGACTTTCAGTGCAGTTCATTTCATTCTGAGAATCCATGGCCCGGTGAAGATTCTCCAACACAATCTGGTCCTCGGATGATTCGATTGTGTATCGAAATCTGAGGGAACTCATGCAGTCGGTTGATCGAGTCTGATTCGTGCCCGGGGGACGAGATTCATGCATCGGAGTCAGCACAAGAATTCTAGACACTGAACTGTTTTAGTTGGGAACCCGAATCGAGATGAATGTGATGAATAAATTCGTTTCTTGAGTCTCTCTGGTGGTAGATGATGATGAATTCCGCGTTCGTGCGGTCGGTCGGTCGGTGCTGATGATTGAACTTCGTGTTGCACAGCTGATGGCCTTCTGTTGGGCGGGAATGCTGCAAAAGTTTCTCGTAGACCCCGCGAGCATGTGGTGGCCCGCTAGCCTCGTGAATGTGTCCCTCATCAAGTATGCGCTATTACATTCCCAATCCTGCAAGTGTCTGATTCAAATCTAGCTCCAAACTGCACTTCATCTTCTCCAATTCCTCCATATCCAACGCTCCACGGATATACAGGATTCTAGGCACCTGAGTTCTCACAGCACGTCCTGCGCACGAGTTGAACGAGACGAAGAATTTGATTTCGTATCGGGTCTAGATCTCAGTGTCGCCAGAGAAGTAAAATCTCGTTGCAGTGCGTAGATTCAGTGAGGAAGGAGTGACTCAGAATTGTCAGAATTGTTGCATCGTGATCAGAATAGAAGCTCAGGCGGGAGCAATGAGAGATCGGGAATCGGAGGCTTTTGGTGCGAGGTGGAACTGAAGGCGGTGGAATTTGTGCAGGGCACTGGAATCGGATGAGAAGGGCAAGGGAATGACGAGGATCCAATTCTTCCTCGTGTGCCTGCTGGCGTCGTTCGCGTACCACGTGCTGCCGGGCTACCTGTTCCCGACGCTGAGCGGCGTGTCGGCGCTGTGCTACGTCTTCAAGCACAGCACGCTGGCGCAGCAGCTGGGCTCGGGCAATCGAGGCCTCGGGCTCGGAGCCTTCAGCCTCGATTACGCCACCATCATCGCCTTCCTCGGCAGCCCGCTCGTCATTCCCACCGTGGCCGTGTTCAATGTCATCGCCGGCTTCTGCACGCAGGCCTACATCTTCGTGCCCTTGACGTACTGGAAGAACTACTACAAGGCCCAACATTTCCCCCTCTTCTCGTCCGGCCTCTTCACCTCCGACGGCCATAGCTACAATGTCACCCGAGTTCTCCAATCGTCCGGCAGCGGTGACTTCCAGCTCGACCGCGCTGGCTATGAAGCCCAAGGCCCCACCTACTTCAGCGCCTTCTATGCTGTCAGCACCGGCCTCACCTTCATGCTCTTCGGTTGCATCCTCTCGCAAGTCTTTCTCTTCAATGCGAAGTGAGTTCACCACTTCTGTCTCTGTGTGTCAGAGCAGCCATGGATGGATTCGAGCCATCGCAGATCTGAATTTCCATCAGGCATGATCCTCGCGAATTACAGAGATTTCAGAATTAGAGCTTCTTGGGGAATTCGGATTGCTGATTGATTCGGATTGCTGACTGTAGGGATCTGTGGCGGACGCTGAGGGCGATGACAGCGATGGAGGAAGAGCCTCCGGATGTGCACACGCATCTGATGAAGAAGTACCCGCCCGTCCCTGCGCGATGGTACGCTGCGTTCCTGCTGGCACTGCATGTCGTCTCGTGTGTGCTCCTCGAGGTGTACAAGGAGCAGCTGCAGATGAAATGGTGGGGAGTCTTGCTGGCCGACGCTGTGATCGCGCTTCTCTTATTGCCCATTGCCATAATTATGGCCACGACCAATCAGGTAACTAATCAAATGTCCTGATCTACCTTCACCCTGACGCTCATCCTCATAGTTCTCATAGCATCTTCTCATTCCTGACACTGCACGTCTTATAGACAGACGACTTCGATTCTTCCATGACATCGCCATTCGATTTCATAGTGATTGCATTGAGCCCTTTAGTTGGGCTCTTCATCGTAGCAAGAGTCCACGAAACCTCTGAACCGATTACTGGTATTGGTGATAACATCGTAAGGATGTTTTTAAGCGTAACATCTCATTCTGTGTCGAGAATCTCCAAGGTGTAGACACTTTCTGATGGGAGTAAATTGGAAATAAGAAGCTGAGCATTGTTTTAAGGTAGAGCTGCAGAATACTGCAGACGGATATGGTCATAAATATGTAGTTAGTGTTACAACGACATTGCGTTGAGAAGCATTAGTTACCGCGGGGAACAAACTTTGAAGACGTCATGCAATTGACCGCAACCAACTCCAATCCAAGTGAGTCGAAAAGTACTAGATTGGGTATTTCTCTTCTGGCTTCCTGAGTCGAAGCCAGAAGTGTTTGATGTGGAGTGAGTAGAGATTCTGTGCTCGGAGAAGAGAGTGTGCAGACCGATGATTCTTTCGTGCCCGATAATCTGTCAACAGATGTGGTGAAACACAATGACTAGTCGGTGAATTGAGCTTAGAACGAGTGATCTGAGAGCGATTGCGGTGGACGATACCACAGCTTTCCAAAGCAGTCTGGCATGGTCATGTCACTGCCGTCACGCGTTCTGGAAGCAGCTTGTGAGAGGTAGTCACAAGTTCCGTCCAAAGCTAAGCAGCATGACAATAGACGATCGAAGGGACGAACGACAATGTTCAACCAGTAGCATCAACGGGACAGTGCAGAGCAGAGGAAGCCACTTCTCCCTAGGACCTTCTCCCTACAAGACCCTGCAGCATGTACAGATTGAAGACGAACCATGGTCATCCTAACCTGCTGCACATATCACGTACTTACAAGACCTGACGACGTCTGCGAGGGGAAGCAGTAGAAGTCTTCATGATCTAACTTGCAGGCAGCCTGAACATATGAGCTACAACAAGACATCGCTGCACGCACAACGATAGCAGTAGGATTATTTGGACGCAGTATACTTTGCAATTAGAATCATATTGGCTGCTCCATTTAGCCTGATCCAGGTCCAGATGAAGTCAACTGGGGAGAAATCATGGTACTCACTTTTAAGAATAAAAGCACTGACTGACGGACTTCGGTAGCTAATTGTCCATGTACATGGCTGGATGGCTGCAGCTGCCGAATTTGGCCATAATGTCGCAGTATCTGATTGGTTACATCCGACCTGGAGAACCTGTCACCAGCGGCGTGTTCAGAACCCTCAGTACGGTCGTATGTGGCCGGTCATGTTTATATCTCACGAACATGAAATTCGCTCATTACGCGAAGCTTCCACCGCGGGCCTCATTCCTCAGTCAGGTGAGTTTGGATCAAAGCTGAAGCATAAGAGGAAGTAAGTTGAGCGATCAATTATGATTGTGCATTCCCTATTAGGATCTCGTTACGTTGGGTTGCAGACTTCCAACCAGGCCAAGTGTTTGGTTCCAGTGGATGAGAAAATTGATCGGATAGAAGCAAGCATGAAACTGAACACCGTCTTTCGCTCGGTCTGATTCTTGCTGGCAACCCTTCAAGGTAGACAAGTTCTTCATCAAAAGTCGTTGGCATATCCAAGCATTTCAAGATGGAATCTCTGTAACCGTGTCAAGCTGATTGGTTCTGGAATTCGAGTTCGGAATTGGGGTCTGTCTGCATATGATCGGGACCCTGAGTCTGACCTCTAGTTTAGCCCCACCACCGGGAGGCGTGGACCTCTGTTTCCCAATAGAGAACGTCGAAGCAGATCGACGTGCTCGGAGCTAATAGAAGAGCTGGAAAGCGTTGTAGGTCGGTCAGTCAGTCACTCTAAAGGAAGCACTGCTGCACCGACACTTGGTGGCAAAACATTCTGCGCAGCTCAGGTTCGAAAGTAAGAAGCCCAAATGTGTGTGTGTCGGTGCAGGTTGCAGGAACTGTGATAGCAACGCTGGTAAGCATGGGGGTCACATGGTGGCTCACATCCACGATCAGCGACATTTGTGACGTTTCGCGCCTTCCTCGGGGCACACCGTGGACATGCCCATCAGACAAGGTGTTCTTCGACCAGGCTGTGACATGGGGGCTCGTGGGACCCAAAAGGCTATTCGATAAAGGAGGGCCATACAACAGTCTCAATTACTACTTCCTGCCGGGCATTCTCTTCCCGATCGTGCTGTGGCTGCTGCGCAGAGCGTTTCCTCGAGCCGAGTGGATCTCGTACATCAACGCCCCGCTGATCGTCCGAGGCGCCTTCCTCATGCCTCCGTCCAGTGTCGTGAGCAACACCACTTGGCTCGCCATCGCTCTCGTGTTCAGCGTTTACGTTTTCAGCTACAAGAAGCGATGGTGGCAGCGCTATAACTACGTCTTGTCTGCAGCCCTGGACTCCGGCACGGTGATGATGGCCATTCTGCTTTACTATTCCATGGACGAAGGCAAGAAAAGGCTGCACTGGTGGGGGCGACGTGCCAATGGAGATCACTGTCCTCTCGCGTCCTGTCCCATCGCCATTCAAACGCCTGGCTGCCATGGCTACTGACTCCGTCTCATATTTACACAGGCGCCAGTGATAGAAGGAAGCATTACGTTGACAGCTACAAGCAGTCAAGTCGTTTCCTGAGTAGGATCAAGGCATTCCTCGCTGACTGACAAGTCAGGCAGCCATTCGTGGCCCCTACATGTGTTGTATAGTGCAAGAGTCAAGGAACTAAATTTTCCTCTCGAACTAAAATGTTTTAGCAATTTAGTCTGTGTCCTCTCCACTAGGTAGGTACTGTGATAGGTACGCTCAAACAAAATAGAGAATGAAAAGTGGGTCCCGCAGCTGCAGTAAGAAGAGGAGAAGAGAAATCGAGAAAAGAAGGACCGAGAGGCTACTTGCAAGTGGCGAACACCTCAGACCAAGTCACCCTCGAGTTCTAGTTTGTAGTATATCGTCTTTGACCTACCGGTGCCTGCACCTTGACTTCTGGTTCGGTGCATGTACATGTATGTCTAGTGGAGGTCGAGATTGACTCCTCTCCTCCGTTTCCTCGTTCGTCATACTTGTCGTATTCGTTATCTGGGCAGATAGCTCAACTTCCTAACCAATTTGATCTTTCATCTTGAGTTATAACTGTGTCCCTCCAAAGTAGTTGTGAAGGTTGCAAGGACCATACCTTCGACGTCATGAAACACCACACATCATGTAATCAGAGTTAGTATCCAGTTGCGTTCCAAGTTCAAAGCCGTCACGACTGTGATCTAAAACAGCCAGACACACGACATCGCATTCAAATCTGCAAGCGAAAAAAGAGGATATCGCCAGATGTTTGTGTCGGCCTGTTTGCAGATTCCACAACCGTCATGAAGTCGAAATCAGGCACAAACATTTCACGCAATAAAATCAGGACAAAGATCTGCTTGTGTGTCAGCGGTACCGCCATGTAATAATGTATCTGCGAAAAGGAAGCAGTCTCTTGTTTCTTTCCCAGTACTGATGTTACAGATATAGTGTGATTTGACAAGAACATACGTTTGATTTTCTACAATATCTAAACGCGTTTAGGTGTTCACTTCGACACCTAGACGACGCACCCAGGAAACAACCTATTTAGAATTTCAGCAGACCAAGCTAAGTGACGTGCATTCGTTTCGCTTCGTCCTTTTCTTCGAAGGTTGCCTCGAGCGAGTTGCCATGATTCACTTCCGACATCCGCACAGGCTTCAGGGACTGCCACAGGCCTGGGAGTGAATGATCTGGGTAATGGGCATTTACAAAGATGATCATGGGGTCCATCCCACGGACGACCACTTATATGCAGATTACTGAGGAGTAGGTACCCCAATGTTTGCTATATCCAGCAGGCAGCTCAGAGGACGAGAAGATGCAGCAGCAGGAGCAGCTCTAGGCGAGATGCAAATCACATTACAATACCAGCTTGGCTCTTTGCAACGCTGCACATCGCATTACCCTCACAACTTGCCCCTTTGTCATGCACCTGATCTGGATAATCTCGAAACTGTTTGGAAGACTTGACGTGCCCTGACAGGCCCAGGCTTGCAAGAGATCAGAACTTCCGGAACGAAGACTACATTTGCGTTAACTCTACTCCAACCTTGTCGCCGATCGTTCAATCCACGTTACCGATTCATCCTCGTCACTCACAACGTCCTGTAGAAAGAGAAATCCGATCAATAACAAGGATCTGTGTTCAAAAGTACGAGCATGGACAACCACTGCGTGGATTTCATCGGTGCGGCAGCAGTAAACATGTACGTCAAACCGGGACAACTTGACTGAACTGGACAGAGGAATTGATCCGTCATCTCAGAGCAAAACTAGCACAAACTGCTGGCAGGAACTCCCGTCTCTCAAGCCAAGGAAGAGAAACGGGGAGAAAAAGCGTTGCGTGGTTGGGTTAACCAACTTGCATCAATACCATTCATGTTGGTCCAGTACCAGTAACAGACTTGGGTTATAAAAACAACCTAAAACTCATGGGTCAATTATTGAGAGTTTTCTCACACCACGAGACATCTAATTGCCATACACTGCTGAGCAACTTACACCGCAGCTTACACGGTATTAATGAAAGAGAGGCAATTCTACGAGTGCGCAGCACGAGTCATCCTGGGCTCGAAGTAGTGATTACAAGGCGAATTTCCACGAGGAGGAACACAGACAGAAATCGCAAGGCGAGAACATTGATTGCATTTCAATTAGAATTAAATTCAACTTCAAATCGTGGCAGTAGCAGTAGCAGCAGAGAGGGATAGATAGGAAGGGTATTACACGATTGAATCCTTCATCAAAGGTGTCAACGAGGAACTCGGAACCACCACGATTCCATATCTTTGGATGGAAAATTTCACCACAGGCAGCAAGGCGAAGTAAAGGGCGGCTATGACGAAAGGGGCAGCGACGGACCAGCCCACGAGGGCATGCCAGAGCCCGAGCAGAACTTCCCACGAGGCCTTGCCGGTCAGAGCTTCCCACAGCGCATTCTTGGACAGCAAAAGGCGCTTGCCGCCCACGACCCATTCGCCTAACCTCAGAAAGGGAATGACCAAGCTCAGCTCAAGGGGCGTGGCTATGAGGTTGGCCAGCAGCATCGTCGGGGCGTTGCATCGGGGCCCCAACAACCCCACCGCGCAAGCGCACAGCACCGCCGTCACTCCGTAAATTGGAAAAATCCCCAACGTGATCCCCATCGCTCCACTGAAGGCCAGCGTCTTGGCGTCCGCCCCCCGGCGAATGATCGTCAGTAAGGGCTCCGTCACATGCAGCCTCACCCATCGCTGCCCCGGAACGCCCCGCCCCGCCGGCATCTCGTCGATCGTCGTGGTCGTCGTCGAGCAAGAAGACGCCCCGTTTACATCAATCGCGCTCTGGGCTTGGGCTGGGCCTGCGGACGAGACTGAGACCTGCGCCAGCGACTCGCGCTCGGGCTGCGAGAGGGCAGCAATCAAGAATGGAACGCGCGAGCTAGGGCCCGATCAGGTGAACAAGACGTCGATGGAGACAGGGCAGCACCAGCTGCTGCCACCACCCATCGCCATCGGCTTCGCCGGCAACAGTGAGCTCTGTGTCGGACAGGCCGTCTACACGCACAAGCGGACGGGCCGACCGACAATCAGAACCCAAAGTTTGAGCTCTTTCTTCCTCTCTCTCTCTCACACGCGCAAGCACAAACAAAGATAATCAACAAACCCTGCACCTCAAGATTCACTGCACCTCCATTTGTACAGTCTCGTTGATTCCTGCTCCGCGCTCAACAATGAGAAAGAGTAGAATCGCGCCAACCTTCTTCCTCCAATATATTATTCAAAGCCCTCCCTCGCTCCCTCCCTCCTCCACCTGGTCTCCTTTCCTTCTCCGTCTTCTGCTCCACTCCACTCTCTGCGCCTGACTTCCTCCTCCGCCCCAACAATCCTTCCCCTTCACCACCACACAACAAAAAGATGAGGCTGCGCTCTCTCTCTCCCTCTCTCCCTCTCTCCCTCCCACTCTCCCGCCCGCCCACGACCACGACCGCACACGCAATACTTAATTTGCCTGCGGCTGGAGCAACAAAGTCATCATCTACTCTCTCTCTCTCTCTCTCTCTCTCTCTCTCTCTCGCTTTCTTCCTCTGAGTGCAAAAGCTGATCGTCCAGAGCCCAGAACGCAAGAAGTGGATGAGGGTGTGGAGGGCCGACGCTGCCGGGGCTCTCTTCTATACAGTTGCCGTGCAAATCAAGCCCGGACAGCGGACAACACGAATCGACCCGGCACCGATGCGGAGCGCGAGCGAGCGAGCGAGAGTCGGTCTCGAAAATGTAAAAGCAAGCAGCAAGTACCGATGGGACCCTCCACAAACACACAGAAGCACGCTTCGATCCAAATCACAGTCCCAATCCCAATCCCAATCGCAACAAACAAACAGACAACGACCAAACGAACCGACCGACCTGTCAATGCTCGGCAGCTCGCCACTCCTCCTCCAAGCGCATGTCGTACTCTGACATCAATCTGCAGCCTCGGATTCGGGATATTTGGCTTTGGGGCCCTCCCCCTTCCGACCGACGACCCTCTTCGTCGGCCTCGGCCTCGAGCTCGAGCTCTTGCTTCTCGTCGCTCGCGAGCACGACGACGAGGGCCCACCCGGAGGGGCCATAACCATCGCGACACGTCACCATGGGCCTGCCGACGAGTCACGCCCGCTGTGGTTGACCGTGCTCGTCCACCGCAGCAAAGGCCCTCCTTACACTCCTGACCTGGCAGGTGTTTGGGTTTCGCCAAATCCGTTACTTCTTCTTTCGTACAACTGCCGGTTCAGACGTAGCCGGACCTAGTGCAATAGGCTGCTATTTGGACACGTGGCCCCCTCTTTCCCTCTCTCCCGGTCAAAGTTGACGCTCCTTGCTCAATGTTTCATGTGAAGCATTACTTATCGACTGAATATTGTCTCAAAAAATGATTCTCCTCACCAAATTCCCGGTGCCTGCTCTAATGTTCTATAGCAAGACTAGTGCTTTGACAGAACATTAGTTGCCTGAATTGGATGGCTCAAGGAGTTCTTACATCATGTCACCCAGCATAGCACCTTATTTCTAATAGAGAAATATTTCCTTCTTCCTTTTTTCACTGTGTTCATTCATGTCTCTTTGGAAAGTCATGGTATATTTCATATGTACAACTGTTTAAGAGTAACAATTCACAATCCCTTTTCATACTTCTTCAAAACTAGTATTATTTTCAATACACTGTAACAGGACATTTTATGTGTTAGTATTAATGATGATTCAGCTTGTTTCATTCCATCATCACGTTTTTGATAATCAATGACAATGTTAGTGTATGTTTATTTATGTTGATTATGAACAAAAATAAATCTACAACATGATTAGTGTTTATAATGTATACATGTGTTGGAAATCCATTTTGCAGAAGTGCATAATTCAATCTACTAAGGAAGGCGAATGTGAGAGGGCAACAAAAGTATCAGGAATTATATGGTTGAACAAATATATCACTGAGATAAAATGAAAACCAGATAATGTTAATTTTTATTCTAATAGTTTGATTGCAATACATCTTAGAAATTTATTAAAAGATAGAAGTATGAAACTTATTGACATTAGATTTCACTTCATAAGAGATACAATATTTGAGTGGAATGTTGACCTTATCAAGATTGACAGCAATTCAATTTAGCTCATGCAATGATGAAAACTATTCTTTTGGAAAAAAGATTGTATAGATTGTAGTAGTTTTCATGTTTTACATTAAGAGCACATTAGAGTTGAGTTAGCATATCAGAGCTTAGTTTAGTTGATCCTAGTTTTTGAAGGAGCTTATGTCAGATATCTTTGTAAATGTTCTTGCAAAATAATTATATAGATCATGGAAATTACAGTACTTAAGACATGAATCAAGGTAGATATTGTTAGGAGTTAACTTGAACTAACTAATTAGTTTAACCCTGATTACTTAAGCTCGCTAGTCCATTGTCGTTAGCCAATCAAATCTCTCGATAACACACTTAAGATTCTTATAATAAAAAATATTATGTTATTGTGGATTTAGTCTAAGAAGTTGTCCCATGTAAAATTAAATTTATTTTTCTTAAATGATGTTTGAACATTTTGTGAAAGTTAATTTTATAAACTAAGCGCCAGCATCATCCCATAGTCATATTATTGGCTATGCTTACGATTCTTTTATTTCTCATCTGTTAAATTGTTCTTTATCATTTGCACCAGAATTTAATCTATGACTTTTTGGACAAAAAATAAACTAGTTTGAGTTTTCCAAGAAATATATTTTCTTTGGTTCTAAAAAAATATAAAAAATAATAGTTTTTTATATCTTAAAAAATTGATTAAAAAATATTTGTAATGCATCATGCATGATTGAAGCATACAATAATTTATATTTGTAGTTTGTTACGTGATTCAAAATCATGGTGCTATGAATAACATTCAGTTTTAAAATAACCTAGTATCGTACGTAATAAAGTATCATATCGAGAGATTCATTTCAAATGAGATTCATACTTACAACATGAAAATTCAATAACTGATGTGTTCATACTTTTCTTCTTTAATGACAAATTGGAATTCCGTAGGTTTCGACTTGTTTCCAGACAAGTCGAAACCTTGTGAGTAGACAAGTATTCAGTAGGTGTATATCAAGATCCATACAGTATGAATTTGAGGAGGGTTTTGACATAAACTGTTTTCATCAAATACAAATATATGTGTAGAAGTATGTGGCAAATTCTTTTGAATTTGGGGGTACTCTCATCCATTAGAGTGATACCGAAGGTCATTTATCTGTTTGGATATTGAGTTTGACATGAGATCAAACACCGGAATCCATTATTGTTGGTCTCAAGCGCCATAGATACACTATGCTTTTCAATGAAGATAAATGATTCCAAGTTAAACAATATGAGACGAGTTTCAATACAGCAGTCCAAATCTTTCAACAGTAGGGTATCATTTTCGTAAATCTATACTTCCAATCAGTAAAAATCGAACTATAATACAGCAGCATAAAATTTAAAATAATGTGAATTCTAGTGTTTATTTGGTTAAAATCTCTAGAGAAAAAAAAATATTCTTCACGCTCAGAATAAAGATTAAGAAAGTTTTTAAACCGGCAGTTCATCCAGAATACCACGAAAGATTGTTCTCGTAACTCTCGTATAATTTACAACACCAACATACATTCTCGGGCCCGTGTTCGAACGCAAATTGTTACTTTTTTCCCCAATCATTCAAAGCAAGCGTAGTCGTTGAGCAGTATCGAATTTGCGTTAAATTGTCTTGATAAGACAACCATATAAATTTGAAGAAAATGATACGGTATTGTAGTTTGCAATATTCTGCTCTTCGTTTGAGACTTTCCAGAAGACCCTCAATGTAAGTGGGTTAAACACAAACGTTTCGGTTATAACTAATGGTCTTATGGTAATAATTGATTCAATCAGACAACAAACGAGAGTCGAAAGTTGCATAATGAGAATAAAATAAGGACAAGAGGTCAGTGAAAAGTTATATGTTCGTTGGGTCTGTACGTGTTGAAATCACAAAGATGCTCCGTGTACCTAGTCCGAACTTACTCTACGGCTGGTAAAAGCTCGTTCAGGATAGCATCCAATAGAAGCAGCCATGTGCTAGAAGCCATTGAGCCGTGTGCTAAACGCTGTCCAGGTTCTTTGGCCATGGGTGTATTGACCCTTTGCTGGTGCAAAGGCTGATGCAAGTTCCAGACTCCAGAGCTCGATACGTTCATATCCCACATTCACTTTGACCGGCTGTCAGCCGTTCACTACCCGGGAAGCAGGACGAACAAAATTGCATTTAGTTTGAATCTTCTGAGTGTGGTTCAGGGGATCGTGTCATACACTTACCGTTCGAGGTTGGATGAGTCTTTGCCATTCATGAATATTGTAACATGAAAAGAGAGCCTTGGTGAGATAAGATAATATAAGATCACTGCATCCATATACAGTACTAGAGTAAGATTACTCTCACATGGGTACCAAGTCTTCTACCTCGGTCAGATTGAATGTCTTTGTCGTCAACTCTTTCAAAAGAATTTCATGGTGGGTACTTTCTCTTCGTCTGAACGGTTGTGATGGACTTTCACTTTTTTTGTCTTGTACCTCTTTCGATTTTTAACAAAATCTGGATCACTGGTTGTCCCATATTCTTGACTTGTTTTTTTCTTCTTGAATAGCACAAAATTGTACTGTACATGCGTGTTTTTGTTACTTAGTTGTTTGTTAAACTGTACGTTTGTTTTGAGATGTATTTTACATGCAAGTTCTCATTACCCCATCTGCGTGACCACGTTCAGAGCACCTTCATGGGTAAAAACTAGTTCTTGCTTAAGTAACATTGCGTACCTATGATAATTGTTAGGATCTGTAGGTACAAGTTTGATGAAAATTATTCAATATTGTGGGATCAAATTTGACGTGGCATACGAAGATAATTTAGAAGGTCCATATTAGAATCGAATTGAGAAACGGGCACGTTATGGCGAAGCACATGAAATTTGAACAGCGTGTTGGGTGAGGGAAATGGCTGCTATTGTAAAAGTATATTCAGTGTAAGGTGGTTGCTTCTAAAGAGTTAGTACATTCACCTTGAAAACAAGAGGTTGTCTATATGTGAATTCTTATATAGATTTCAAGGCCCCACCTTGAAAGATTCTTTCCAAGGTTTTTGACAATCTTATGTACTATAAATCCCTCAATACAGTACACATCGCATAGTTAATAAACAATTTGATCAACTCTCTGAAACTAATTCATGTGACTGAACAATTTGCTTCAATCCACTGCTGACTTTACTATAACTTAGGCAATTTTCCAACACAATTGACAGTGGCTTTAATCCTTTTTTGTGTTTATCTTACAGGAGTACGAGTGACACAAGTTCCAGGTCACTACTGTAAATACAAGATATTTGATAAAATGGTCACAACGCATTGACAATACTACTTCACTTTCTAGGATGGGTGAGAGGATTTCCTGTCAATTAAGAGTCCAATCCTCCGTTGTTGTACCGCTGCTGATCTCTGCCTCCACTACCTTGCACCTCGCCTGAGAAATCAATAGTCCTATATCGTGATCCTGGTTCCGCACTAAAGCTACCACCACCTTGACCTTGGCCGTTGATTGACGATGAGCTGCCTCCGGTCTTCCCATTTATTTGCTTGTCAAAACTCGCTGTAGTATCTGTGGCTTTACCTTGATTAGAGATCCTCTCGGAGGTCTCTTCTGCACTAGAGTTGTTTGTCTTCCATGCCTGTTCTCCACCGAATTCCATATTCGGTGGCTGAAAATCTGGCTCCTGAATACAGAGAGAAGTGTGGAGGAGTTAGAGACAGCACAACGTCAGCTGCCGGTCTTACCCTTCAATTCTCATATACTCAAAACCAAAGATGACCTAGAGGAAAGAATAATCTTGATCCGGCCACTGGATCTAATATAGAGAGCAAATTCAGCAAGAATGATTGTCCATCAATACGCCTGGTCTGGTCCCTCTTAGTCTAAGCAATCCCGTCCATTTTCAGCCACGCAAAATCTAGACGCAGAAGCCAGTGCTGAAGATAAGAAACCATAAAAACAAGAACTATAACTTACTCTTTTGGCAGTTTCCTCCATCTTCTTCCGCAAAGCATCATGTTCAGCCCTAACTCGAGATGGCACACCTCTTGTTTGATAGACATTCTTCTGAGCGAGGTCTTCATCTATGTAATTACTGGTTGTCGCAAAAGGATGATTTGAAGGTATCCAACGAACTTCCTCAGGATCTACCCCTTCCGGAACAGGATCTCCATCATTCAGGAACACTATAGGCCGTTTCCACTTATAGGCTTGGATACGTCGATTCTGGTGTTTAGCAACCTTCTCATCTGTAAGCGTGACGGGTGCCAGTCGAAAAATTTTCCCGCACATCCTCACTATTGGATTTTTTGTTCCCATCTTCACCAACGGATTGTTGAAAGGGTCTTCGTAATTCAAAAGCTCGGAACTGCAACCAAAGCAGCACGCCGCGATGACAGTGAGCTTGACACAAATCCTCTAGACAACCAGCCTAGTATTCAGGTTTGGCATAAATGTAAAAACTTTGGCTTATATCAAAACACCTAACCTGCAGCAAAGGGATTTCAAAGTTTTCTATGTTCCAAATTACAACCTTCCTGTGATTTATTCTTATTCCGATAAAGAATAGGTAAAAGGTTAATCAAACACAAAGTCCACGCTGTTTCCCACATCATGACAAACCCCACTATGATCACTCATCCGCTACACACATCCGTATGAACCTTCCCTTCTAACAATTTGTGTCTCTAGGAATTACAGCAAGGAAAGTGGTTCATTCCAAGATGAATTGGAGTTCACAAAGAGACATACTCTGCTCCTCTGTCTGATCGGACTTGACCCCTTCGAATCAAATCAGCCATTGATCCGCCTCCATTTCTCCGTGGCTTGGCCAAGAATCCCAGCATGGCCATCATGATCACAGCTGCAGTGACTCCCACTCCTGTTGCAAGGTTCAGGGGAAGACCTCGTTGAGACTGCAAACGTGTAACAAAAACTTCTCAGGCTCAAGATGCTCTATCAAGACAATGTCAGTCAGATACCTTGAACTTAACTTTGTAATTTCTACGAGGTACAGTCATGAGAATTTTGAGAAGACCAATCCAGCAATATCAATGCATCATATGTAATGCAGAAAAAGAAGATGACATTTGAAGGCCGAACAGATCATCTACGAATGGAGAATCATGTCCTAAACAACGAGATACAGCACACACAAATTTTCAAGCAAGTTCAAATTCATAAGGTAGAAGGATCACATGTCCATATCAGTTCAGCAGCCTACCAAAACTTTCAGAGACTTATATCAACCTGATTATCCAGAAAATTTCTTCACAGTCCAAACAAAAATCTTCATATGAATCATGAATTTGAAACTGACATCGCATATCATACCCTCGTACATTTAATGACTACCGGTTCCAATCATCTTCATTACGAAATGGCCAGTTTGCGGGCCTCTAAAAACTAGGAGGAATACACATCCCAAGACTGACTCCGGACTTGTAGGAAAAGTACCAAAGCTCCAGAAGGTGAGACCGAAGCTGGATTAGTTTCTCTGACAGTCGTCTCACGCGAATCCAGAGGGATATCTCTGCCCGTGACAGAAGCATTCTTCCCATCCGAAATCCGCACGTCGGAGTCGGAAATACGGGCGACTGGCTTACAGAGCAATCTCGTCGTCGGCCTTCTTGAGGGCAGCTTTCCACCCTTTGATAAATACTTGAAAGGCATCATGCAGCCGAAACTAGACATCTGCTCTGCTACCGCATAAATGTTGATAGGACCCATTTGTTTCCCCTGCGTCGTCGATATAAATGCCATGGAGTGCAAAGCCACACGCGTGGAGCATACTGGTCGGCCGAGAACGGGGCGATGATGACCTTCAGCACGAAAGTCCAAAGAGGCAGAAAATGCAGAAACCTGCACCAAAATTCGGTGGGATTTTCTTCCAAGATTCACCGGCCCTCCGGTTCTCGTAGGGATTACTGCGAGGACATTAGCGGAGCACATCTGGCAAACAGACACACCCGGCATCGCTCATTCTCTAACCAGAATCGCAGGTCGCAGCCTTCCAAGACGCCCGACCGCCCGTCCCGCCCGCCGCTTCCCTAGGCCGACAATTCACGCATTCGATTCTTGTCTAGGAGCTCCTTGAAAGCCATTCTGGCCCGCGAGCACCTCGGAACATCGCCCGCTCAATCGCCGCCCGCTTGAGCTCGCTCCGCAAACAACACAATCCAAGGTCCGATGAATATTTTCGACTTCCTTTTCTTTGAAGCTCCGAGTGGAGAGCCGACCGACGGAGAGTGCGCTCAGAACAGCTCGGCGCTCGAGACCGCGCACCCCGCAAGAAGAAGAAGAAGAAGAGGAAGAGGTGACAATCGACACTCCGGTCCCTCGGTGCTCTCCATGTTCTGCCTCGCGGCTTCCGCTCCCTCCCTCGCAAAGCTCGCTCCAAATTGAGCTCCCGTCTCGTCTCGTCTCGTCTCGTGGCGTCGTCGCGGAACGGATGAGAAACACATGAACCCCAAAACCACCGCACCCAAAGGAGGATTTGAAAGGCGACCCGACGGCCCAGTCGACGGGTTGACGCTCTGCCTTCTTGTCCTTTTCCTCGAACATCGTCCTCGCCTCGCCCTCCCACATCCGCGAGCGGATTATTGATTCGCCAACTCCCTTTTCTTTATTTCACCTTTTTTATTTGTAATTTTTTTTACAATTTTATTTTATAGCTCTTCTGGGTTCCAAATTCGTGAACTCCCTTTCCTCTATTTTACCTTTTTTTTTGAATTTTTTTTACAATTTTATTTTATAGCTCTTCTGGGTTGCAAATTCGTGAACTCCCTTTCCTTTCTTTCACCCTTTTTTGTTGGAATTGTTTTTATATTTTCATTTTATGCCTCTTCCAGGGCTGCAATATTCGTGAACTCCCTTTTCTTTATTTCACCTTTTCTATCTGTGATTGTTTTTATAATTTTATTTTATGGCTCTTCTGGGGCTGCAAAATTCGTTCTTTTGCAGTTACCGCAGACTTCCCACCTGGCCTTGAATATGCAGAGCTCGATGTCAACAGCTTGAGAGAGTCATGATGGAATTGGTCATTTCCTAGCCCCACGCGAAGTTTAGGCTGCAATATTGGCGATCTTTGCTTGCTATTTAAAATTATCTCCATTTCAGTTTTTTCTTTTTACGTCAAGCTGGCTCGAGGTTTTATTGTGACATGCAGTGCAATAAAACCACCTCTCCGCCTAAACCTTTGACCTAACGTTGAAAAAAGGATAAGCCTGTGTATTTGTTTCGTCTTTATCTATTATTTATTCCATCAGATAGATATTCCATACATATGTGTTGTGAAGCAAAGGGGAAAAAAGCAGGACTTTCAGACTATAGTTTTTATAGAAATTGAAATGATTTGGATATTGTGTTATTTTTTTAATATTTGATATAGATGACTCTGATATTTTTTTATTAATAAATAAAATATAATTTGATATAATTATGGAATCTAACCCTTGCTTAGATTATTTTTCTTTCGTGTATGCTAGCAAATTTTTTTTCATCCACATGGCCTCCTTTTCTTCAAGGTTTGCAATATGTACATATTAGAACCTTCAACCCCATTTTTTTTTCTGGGGAAAGTCTTCCATCTCTTACTTTGGCATGCTAGGTTTCTGGAAGAACCCTTACTGACCTGCCTTATGCTTTGCGTGATATGTTCAGGTCTCAAACAGACCTTATCAAAAATTTATGCATAAGAAGCTATTTGTATTATTGGCATTCACTCTCCCTAATCAAGTTGTTGTGATCAAATTTCAGTCTGCTTCTCTTGCTACGCAGTTTGTATTACTTACTCTCAAACTTTACGCTAGTTGAGTGATTATTAGGATTTAGAGTTGATAACCTTCAATTTGATTTGGAGATTTAGAGCTCCACTTTAATCTACATCAAAGAAGTCTTGAAATACATGCTCAAAAGAAATTGATGCCATCTATATCAAACAGTCATATACATTGATCAAACTGAGGAAAGTGCTATTTTATGAGTACTATACTGTTACATTAGTTTCAAAATATCAAGAGGAAATAAATACCACAAACCCTGAGCCAATTAAATGGGCTACTCTCACCAGCTAGTCCCACCAAGACTCAGTGTTATACTTAATTGTCATTTCTTGTAAGATATTCGAAATAAATCACATAATGTAGTGTCGATTTTTGTTGGGACAAGAGTCTTAAAATTTTGAAACAACATCATGAATATTCTCAAACTTACATTTTGGCATTACAATTTTGGAAACATGTCTGTTTATTGATCGTTTATTTTTTTAATCTTTTCTACAACTTTTATGCAAAATATGAGGAAGAGAAGTTTCTATCACATTTTAAACCAATCCAAATTATTAAAAAAATCACTTCAAATTTTTTCAATTTAGATTGAAAAGGTTGAGATATGAATAAGATCAATTTTTTAAGTCCAGAGTACTATAACACATGATGTGCATTAAGCCACAACAATACTTATGTGAGCCAAGAAGTCAAATTTTATATTTGAATTTTTTTTAAACAAATGAAGAAATAAAATAAACAAAATGCCCTCAGTTAATATTACTGTCAACTCAACGCATCATTTCTTCTCCTTAATTTGTTTAATTGCTTAGAAATTTTTTTAAATGTAAAAATTTTGAAGATTATTTCTGTATTGTTTCTATTCGAAGTTCCAAAACCTGAATCGTACAATTGAATTTACTGTCTTTTAAAGTAAACATTTGATAATTCTACTAAGATGTAAAATGGAAGAAGATGAATTTTCATTGTAAAATTAAAGCATGATTAAATAAAACATGACAGTATGAATTCACTAAACTTGATTCCTGATTTTTTTGAAAAATAATGCTTACTTAAACGTGTGAGTACTTAAGCGGGAGTCTACTGTATCATTATCACAAGTTATCTAAACGATTGAATTCCTCTATTTAGTTTGATTAGAATTAAGAATATCAGATTAGCTTATTTATAGAAAAGTGTGAACATGAAATTTTCATAACAAAGAATATAATATTCAAAAATTATTCTGTATATTTTGTGGATGTTTTATAGCAAAGAAAAACATGTAAGTTTCATGTTGAGAATGCTCATCAAAACCAACACATGTGCACTGACTACAAAAGTTAAAAAATCATCTGCGTTTGGTAGTCAGGTCGTATTTTTTAAGTTTACAAAAAAATCAAATTGACAGCACAAAGCTTTCAAAGCTCCAAAAGGGAAATAAACTCAGGAGATTGTCAAAATATATATAGTGGCTTACTATGGTATGCCCAATGTGAAAATACACACAATACACAAACGATAGTGCGATTGGTTCGTGTCCTTAAAGTAAATATGTTTAGATACTTTTGATCTTATAGATTGAAATATCTACATATCATCCTTTTTGAATAGTACAATTGCGACATTTGTGTGTTAGTACACGAATACCACAATTGTAATTATCCACAACCACTTGTGAGAGGTAACTTTTGGATAAAAAGGTTTCAACCATCGTTAAAGTATTAGATGAAGAGGAGATACTCATTGATATTTTTTTTGAGACAACAACTACCAAAAGATCAGCATATTTAGTGACTGGAGTCTACAGTTGAAGACCCAAGTCGCAAGTGGCAGATTCATCAGCAATTTCAACGACACCTAGACGTTTGGAGATGTTGAAACTCTGGACGACGAACATCAAGGGAGATAACGTGTGTAATTCACGTCGATGGAGATTACTTTACTAATTTGGAGTCAACAGAGGAGACGCTAAATTGGTTGGATTTTAATCATTGTGAAGATACGATCGGCGCTGGATAGTGGCGTACATTCCAGTCTACGTGGTTCTCTAGTCGATTCGCTCTACTCTTCACCGGCAGGTGTCCGTCGTCGACAGAGCTGATAAGAAGACTAACCGTGTTGCGTGCTCTACCTACGTGGTGGAGAAACACAACCACGTAAACTTGGCTCCTTTCAGTTCATACTTCAGGCCGAAGATGTTCTGAAAGAAACGTCTTGAACATCCCATCCCATCCCAGGCAGAGGTTCTGCAGGCTCGTCTATGACACAGAGGGCAAGCGAAGCAGAAGGGCAGAGTGCCAGATGTGATGAAACCTCGTTGATAGATGGCATCGAAGGACAGCAGAGAGAGCCTGCGAATCTGATATTTATAAGATCTTCCTACTGAACCATGAACTGCTCGGAAAAGAGAGTAGACAACAGGGTGGACGAATTTCGGAGAGCCATAGAATGAAGAAGCATTTGCATTTCCAGTTGTCTACGACTTGAGAATCCTGGCATCCAGATTACAGATCAGGGAATTCAATTTACAGTGCTCCTGTATTTACACCAACCACGTGAGGCCTTTACAGGTAGAATCAGACAGTCACGACAGCAGACGCAGCTTCTTTGATCTGTTCAATACTCTGAGTACCGAAGAATGTGTCATCCTTGAAGGCTTTTAGAGCTGCCAGAGCCACGTCCTTCACACTAACTGGTGGTGCAAAGAGAAGATCAGATGCAGGAAGCTTGGCGAAGGGTCTTGTGAAAGTCTCGGTTGCAGCCAGTATTTTTTCCAAAGGTTGGCCGACGAAATCCAGCGGAATGTCTACACCATTCACCCTTCTCTTGCCGTATATGAATCCAGGTCGGAGGATTGTGCCTGCGACCACCGGCCAGAAACAGTCCATTGGGTTCAGAAGTTAGCACTAATCACATCTTTCACTAGTAGGGGTCAGGCAGTTCACAAAAGGGTTCACAGCTGATTCAAGGATGCCCCGACGTCAAGTTCTTGACTTGAGATAAACTCCCTGTCTATAAATGAGGCACGCTCGAAGTGATGCCAGACTTTTGCCCGAGGGAATTTGCCATCTCAGTTGCAGCCAGTAGGTTTTCCAAAGGTTGGCCAACAAATCCAATGGACTGAAAGTCCACAACATTCACCCTTCTTGAGTGGTAACCACAAAAAGAGCAAGACACAGACCACCCTGCCACTTACAAATGTGTACGATAAAGGACGAAAAATTGTCCATCACAGTGTGCTTAGATGCAGCATCTCGGAAGGCAGTTGGTGGACGACAGTACACTACAAAGCTTGAAGCAGCTGTCATTCTTGGCTGTCAATCCTTATGGGGCCAGCGTTGTTTAGGGTGGAGAACCTTGTGAGGGATATCTTGGCTGACATCTCAACAAACCCGCTTTCCGGAGAAAAAGACTAGCATAAGATGGACGCTCTTCACTTTACCACAGTCCTTCAGCCTCGACTTTTATCACATCTTACATTCTTCCTCCCAGTCACACCATTCAGCCAGGTTAACATTTCAGGATCTATGATCTTCAGGATATGACAGGCAGAGAAAAGAGTCTTACAGTGAAGATGTCCATCAGAAGAACGAGAAGTAGGGCGCACAGTCCTGAGTGATCGTGAGTGCTTCGCTACATACCAGATGATGGATATTTGTTGAGAATCTCAGCCTCCGCTCGTCTCTTCCCTTTGAAGTAGCCACTGTCTAGAGCAAATTCAGGTAAGTTGTAGTCATGAACCGAGACGTAGATAAATTTTGGCACACCTGCAATAAAACCAGAAAGGATCATCAAAGAGGTAGAATGGTTAAATTGCAAATTCCGAACTTCATACAGCTGGCAACTACAGCGACACAACAAACGAATATTGAAAAGGACAACTTAAGTGACACCATAAGTCGAGGACTGAGTCTTCGGGAGCTAGTCGCTAGTATGTGAAGATATTAGCAGGAAGAGAAGCATGATACTGGAGGAGTCATCGAGCGTCTGTCTTCTGGTAAAACACTGAGAAAGGTGCCTTGGAACATGACATGACAACTCTCTAGTGATGAAGTCTGAGCTGCCTCCAACTTGAGCAATTGATAACTCAGGCCGACATCAGCAACACTTTCTGGCTAACTCCGACCCAAACCAGTAAAAATTGCAAGTACAGATATCACAGACTATTCTTTTGATCGGTGTTTACTAGGATTTCAAAATAACTGATAACCGATTGCCGAGCACGCCCGAGCTTCTATCACTGCACGAGGTTTCGGCCGAGAGGCTCCCATAGTCGACTAAAAATGCGACCATCTTGACCATATCGTATTCATCTGAGAGAGAGAAGAATCCACTGTAGCACTATCCAGTGATGATTTGAGAGGATGAAATCATCTCTACTGGGAAGTTGAAAAACTAAAAAGACGGTAAATATCAAGATACAAAAGGATTGAAGAACGTGCTCGTATGTCTAAGACAAAGCTGAGTGCAATAGTAGAACCACGACAGGTGAGTATTTCGACGTTGGAGTCACTACCTGCCTTGCTCGCGGCATCAACTGCAATAATGTTGGCATCACCGTTTAACTTCTCCATTTGCTCATTTGTGCCAAATCCTCCCAAAGTTGATATCACCGCAGAACATCCATTCAGTACTGAATCCCAGTCTGTCATGAATACATCACCTGAAAGTAGATGTCTTACATGTTAGTTGTCTACTCGATCCGCTGTTGCATCATTAAGGTTTCTTCTGTTTCCTCTTCCTTGAGAGGGGACATTAGGACAAACAACCATTGCTCTCACTTCTCTATGAAGCCGGAATTCCACTGCCAGTACGAGTTCACGAGGTGTTACATGCTGGTGAATGGAGTCCTGAGTTTCCAATGATCACCCACTCTTTAATTGCTACAGATTGCAGACCGAATAGGAGCAGACACCACTGATTGAGCCATCTCTAGGGCAGAATTTGTTCACCTGAAACCCAGACGACTTTGTCCACCCAAGATTCACTGTAAGATGGGCGACCGGACCTGTATCCAAAAAAGATGCCCACAATTTATCTTCGAGGAAAAGCCACATCACTGCGCTTACCAATTTCATGAATAGGGCTTCCAATATTCCATTTTGCCTCAGCTTCCCTAGCATTAGTCTCTCCGTGGCAGCTGTATTGGGTTACCTGGCCGTTAAGATCCTCATAAGGGCTGAGCTTCTAGTGATGCATGTGGATAACTGTAACTGATAATCCTGTGAATCCACAACCTGTAACATATGTGATTCCAAGTGTGCTCAGTTTTGTTTGGATTCCTAGAACCAGAAACCTTCCAAGCTGGCAGTGGGGAAAATATGTACGGAGTAACATACCGGCTTAAGCTAATAACTTCAATATGCCTCTTGACTGCCTGCTTGCAAATTTCAGAGCCCACGAATCCACTCCCACCGAGAACCAGTATCTGCATTACCGGTCAATATTTAGACACGCAATTGAATTTTCACTTCCACCAAATTCCCACGTTCTCGATGCTGCATTCTGTATGTAGTCACGAACTCAAGATGGGCAATTCTCCTGAGTAAGCCACAGAAAGAAGTGATGACTGAAAAAACACCTTCTCCGATTTTACTTCGGCCACGACATCGATAGGTGCTGAAGAGAAGTCAGTTCCAACGCCCGAGTAGGTACATCTCACCTGCCTCCTGTCCGTGGTTTCGAAAATCAGAAAATTGGCAAGGCTTATACTAAAAATTCGAAGGAAGTGAGTCTTATCATGGCATTGCTAGCAGCTGTACAGAGATGCAAATGAAATTCAGAGCTCAATCAGGATCTGCTGTCATAAAAATTTCAACTGTCAAAGATTGATGCAGTCCGATGCCTTCTGGACTACTGGAGAGTGCAGCTCCCAGAGACTCATGATCAGCTGGAGAGCATTGAACATTGCGTGAACCATGAGACAGAGAGAAAGGATGTGATTCCATGTACTGGAGTGATGGAGTGAATGAAAACACACTGGTAGAGACTGGTTCTGCTGAGGACGGAGGTGAGATGCTGCTGCGGCAGCTTTCTCTGAGGAAGAGCTATGGAGATGGGACAGAGAGCTGAAATTCTGCCTTTCGCCACCGGTGGAAGCGCTGAGCCCGCAACGGCTGTGCTCAGGGGTGCCAAGGCAGCCATAGCCATGGTCATGCGACCCGACCTTCCGAAATCGACTTCTCTCGCTCCCGTCTCTTGAATCACAGCTCGTGCTTTCTTCCTCTCCTTCTTTCTCCTCGTGTCTTTAAATTCTGTCTATTTTTTCTCGTCTCGTCATCCCATCTCGTCGTAACACCACTCACTTCCAGGATCACTGGTTCACTAGCTTCATTCCACCTCTCCCTGCCTCGCGCATGCTCCCCAGCGAGAAGCAGCCTCAAGTCCAACTCTTTTCCTTTTACTTTTGTTCAAAGCTCCTCCATTCTGAGAATGTGAAAGGAAGACATGAACTATACTTTGTCGGTCTCTATTTGCATTTATTATTCCCTCCATGTAAGCATCGGGCTGCTACTCTTGTCACTGTGTCTAGCAAGCCATTAATTACACTTTGATATCAATCTGTAGAGTTTGCCTATGATACCCCGGCAAGCCAACAGGATCTTCGGCCCAACCCCCAATCTTAACTCGAGTTCGCTTCGGTTCCAGTCGGGTCGGTGCAAAACTTCATTGCCTGTCCCATTACGTACCATTCATCTCAAGCTGATTGGAGCAGGCATTGTTTGTTACGAGCCCATTCGCCAGGTGGTGGGTCCACGCGTGGATATTCCCCTTCTCCCTCCTCCTCCTCTGCATGTCCACGAGTGTCACTTCCTCCCTTCCGTGCTGTTGGAGTCAGTTGGACCACTGAGCCGTTCAGCCTCCATTCCATTCTATTCCAGAAACCAGCCCCATGTTGTATTTGCAGCCTGATTTGCTCGCCTCGCTCAGGGTCCGTCCACCTGCGAGGTCTATGTGCATTGTGCTTCTCTATTCTCACAGTTTTGCAATCCCCTGCGTTGGATCAGAATTGGTCATCCATCTTCGACTTTTGGTACTTTTCCTCTCTTCTCTTGAGCTGTACTCAATGTAGTCATAATTCATTATAGGATATTAGTAATATTATATCACTGCCAATTGAAAAATGGTTCAATAAACTACTCACATGAGAAACGCACACGTGAAAGATGTCTGACGCCTATCTGCGCACACTTGTCTCACCAGTGTGAGTTATTGAATGAATGAATAAGGACGTCTACCGCATGGCAAGTGTGCTTCTGCACCACCCAATTTCGAATGCACTGATATACTAACCTTTGATGAGCATCCAGGAGGCCAGAGTCAATAGCTTGCGAGAAGAGTGGCCAAAGCAGAAGTCTAGACACATCCAGTGAGACCTGACATTGACCAGCCGTTAGTGCACAATACATTCACCGAATGCACTTTTTCATTGACCTTACAGTGAACACATTCCGTGATATAAGAGCCCAGGCCCATTGGCTAGCCAAGGAATTGAGTGCCAGGCTCTAACGACGAGAGCTTCACTCGAAAATCTAGTGACGTTGTCAAGTATCTCCAAATGAACGGTCCACCAGACTTTGTGGCCCTCAATCTTCTATATCTTGGAGCAGATGGCCTGAAGCAACACTGTCGGGATTTGGAACTGTTTGTATACAGTCAGGCAGATCCCACTCTGAGCTTTAGAAATGAGTTTAGAATTTCGTATTGCTCGAGCCTCTCTTCGGGCCTTGTCTACACAGACAAAGCTGATGATCGCTCGGTGATGGCCGATGAGATGGAGACGCATGGAATAGAGAATAAGCTGATGCAGTCAAGGCGCGAGTAAAAGGCTCCAATGTGAATGCCAAAGAGGCCGACCTCGGTCCAACAGAAAAAATTGCTCGTGCTTCACGTTTTAAACATGTGACTCTTCTCAGGTGTTCATTATGATTCGTGATTCCTGATTAACTACAGAAAGACTGTTTGTCCAGCGTAACTTAGTTTTAAACCATTGTTTAATATGATCTGTCCAGGTTCATTATTGCGTTGCACTAACAATGAGAATTGTCGACAAATGGCTGAGCCCGTCGTTCCACAAGAAGTCGTGTAGTTAAATCTCAGCTTGCTAGCAAAGTTCATCTACTTCAGCTAATCGATAGTGTTGGTAAATCCTGAGTTATACTCAGCACATTCTTCTGAAATGTTTGCTTTTCAAGATACAGTAATTTGCCCCTATAGCTTTTGAAAACTTTCAGCTCCAGGGACCCATTCTAGTACTGTGGTATAGTAAGAGAGTTGTGAACAGTGATTTCTCAGGCGTCAGGTGCTCATTCAACTCTCTTTTTCTGGTCAAAAATTTTGAGAACTTCACTCTGCAGTTTGCTGGAAGTCACAGGCTTAAGAACTCGAAGTAGGAAGAATTTCCCTTTCTGAACTATTTCTAATTTTTTCCGAAATGAAGGGAATGCAATATCACGAGCCTACTGCATACAATATTGAAAAGTCGACTTCTTCAGCTTCTGTAAATCATGGAACAATGTGAGTGATGCATTAGGACGTCGAGATGTAGTATGAATGGGGTAACGTTTGCGTCAATCTTATGTCAAGCTGGGCTGCACTCGATCTACACCAGATTTGGTGATAAATGAGTCGTACTCAGTGGAGGTTATTCGCAATTCTTTGGCAATGAATTGCAAGATAGGCATAATACACACCATCCGTCCTATATTGGCAACGCTTTCTGCAGATTGAAAATCATAACCAACACTTTCGTTAATATCATCTGAAACTTCTCTGTCTTCTAGCAGTTTGATAACCACTTTGGTCCACTAACCATATAATATTTTCCCTTCCTCGACAGAATTTGACTTCACATTCCTTTCGACCCTCTTATATCCTAAAGGTAGATTTGGGCAGGCTTACTTCGCTAAAATATGTGAGGGAGGTAAAGGTCAAGTGAGGGCAATCGCATAAATCTTCTCAGACTAAACAAGGTGGATATATTATCTCTCCCGGATTATCTGAAGGAATCTATTCACTAGTGCAAGCTAGATTAATCCTACGACACACAATGACGGCAAGATGTTGTGATTGGCATAGATACAGCATTTGTAGTCTCTATGTAACCACTACGCACGTCCTGCGAGTCGGCACAAACGATCTAGCGCTTTCGTAGCGCTAGCCAGATCGATCATGAGACTGAATACAAATCTGATCTAGATTTGGTGCGGAGAATGCTCTAAGCTTTTTCTCGTCTCGATTGCAAACAAGGGATTCTACGTCAGTTGATTGCATTTTATCTGTGAGATCGAATGACTTCCCTTGGTGAAACAATTTCCCATGAGGAGTTTTTGCACTGAAAAGGGATATCTTCAATTACATAGATGATATAATTCCTTACTTTAGCCTTCTGCGGCTTTTGAGTAGATTGCAATGGGGATAAAGTAGTTGAGTGAGGTTGCATCCAGTAATTACCAGGCATTCGCGCGAGTTGCTCGCACAAGCTTAACAGGAGGTCTGACTGCAGCTTTTGGCCATTCTCCAACATTCTACACATAGCTCCAATGCATAAAATGATCAAACCATGTATGAGAAAGAACTGATCTGTAGAAGGCTGTTGCGGACATCACTCCAAAGTTCACCGACATTTGTGGAAAACAAGACACTTAGGAAAGAAGAACTGACGACAAACGTATTTCAAATTGGTAGTCGATATAATCCACAAATCCAGCGAATGCAATAACCTAAGACCTCAGATCAAGTCTTAAATCTCCCTTGTAATTTATTATGTAGGATCATACCATATCAAGGTTTAAAAGCAAAGACCGTTCAGCTACAGTGAGATGTTGTAGAAGTTGTTCTGCGACAAAGTTATAAAATCAAACTTACTCTCTCAAGAGATAAATAAGCACATCCATCAACGGATCTGCCATTTTTTGATGATCGATGAAGGTACAAACACGTTCATAGAATCTGCGAATTGAATAGGCTTCTGACTCGTAATCAGGGCGATCATTTTGCCTGGGAACGGGATGAAGTTCCTGAGCAGTCTTCCTGAGAAACAAGGACCGTAGACCACTTCATTCAAATTAGTGACGATCCGCGTAAAGCTCGTATTGCTCCTGAACATAACAGGGTTAAATAGATTCTCTGAATTGATATGACGAGTATCAATCATCCTAGTATTACTCCAACTGAGTGTTATGAGCTAAAACGAACCGCGTAAAGCTCGTATTGCTCCTGAACATAACAGGGTTAAATAGATTCTCTGAATTGATATGACGAGTATCAATCATCCTAGTATTACTCCAACTGAGTGTTATGAGCTAAAACGAACACAACGAGCAGAATTTGGTTACGAACCATAAGTGCTTTGTGCTTGGGGCCCTCCTGCCTTTCGTACGAAATAAGACAGCCTCTAGTCTTTTACATAGCTGCAGGAAGAACATACAAATTAAAGAACTATAGCTATAACCATCCGAGCTACAGTATTCGAATTGCAGATTTTAGAATTTCCCTCTATTTTTAACTTAAAAAATCCTGAGTGCCAGCCTCAGTTTTCACCCCTCTCAATAAAGCTGTCCGTTTTAAAAGTATTATAGTTGGAGGAGAAGAAACGAAGAAGCTGAGTCGCGGGCATAAGCATAATCTGAGTTTGCTCCTTCAAGAGCATCTAATGTTATCAGAGTGGCGAAGGTGAGTTTGCCCTTGTCCATGATATAGTGCGTCAACTTAGGACTTTACATTCTTTGGTCAGTTTACCTCAGCAGACATGTTTGTAACCCCTCTCCAATGTTCTCGACGATCAGCCAGAGAAGTAAGTTTCAGGTTCAGCTCATAAAGCATCTTCTTTCTTACTAGCAGGTTCCTCCTCTTCAAATTGAAAACCTGCAGAGCCAACTTGACTTGAAATCACCCTGTTGCGTCTTGAACGTGCACGTTTGTTGGTGAAGTTGTCAGGCAATCTAGTTGGCAGCCCTGTTAAGGGTGGTCGAGCTCTGCAAATTAGTCTGTCCCAGTTAGAGCGATCGTTGTGATACTTTACCAAAGATTGATTTGCTTTCCAGTCGATTGATTCAAGTCGTTCTTCCGGTTCCTCAGGTTCGGCGAGCTGATTAGCACACAAAGAGTAATACCATTATAGAAGATGAAGCTTCTATGAGCATTTCAATGAAACTTCTGCCAACCAGTGTACGGTACTACCTCTTTGACTGTTTTTTCGAGGTTATTATAAATTCTTCTGAACTAAATTGCCATGAAGACATCTAAGACAGTAGACTAGATATCTATTACATATCGGAACCAAAGATTCGTTTATTGACGATTAAGTTGGAGCTGAGACTTTACTTTACAAGAAGTATATGGTCTTCGGCAACGATTATACACAAGTGAGACTTTACATTTTACTGTTTATAACGTGATAAACACTTTTATTTGATAAATCAGCATACCTCCATGCCGCAAGCCATCTACCAGGATTCGACTGACGAAATACTGAAGAGTAAGAGTTAAAATCTTTGAAATCATACCTGCTTCGTATCACTTTGACAAACCATAAATGACTGTTCCGTGTGCTTGTGCGATGGTCGTTGTAACCATGGTAATTTCACAAGAGGTTCAATATGCTCTGAATGCCGATGTGGTTCTGGGGAAGGTGCTGATGGCTCTTTGTTCTCATCTCCGCTCTGAATATGCATGATTTGCTCCATCGTGTTAGTTCTTGAGAATCAAGGACTATCTGAACCGTTCGGCAACCAAATACCGTCGTGAAACGTAATGGGCGTTCGGTACGGTTGAAACACTCAGTGGAAAAACTTCTCACATTCTGACTGGGATGTGGCAAGAACAAACATGGGAACATCTAAGAACTGGTTTTTTCAGTGGTTATGTTGACTACACTCCATGCTCCTTACTGTGAGTTAATGCGTAGTTCGTATTTCTGTTACTTAGAGATAAGGTGGATATACATGCATCTGATGCAGCCTTGGAATCTACCGAAGACACTACGGTTTGAATCGTTCGAAATTATCCAGATTAGCAGTTGATTTGAGTTAAAACGTAAGCCACATCAATTTCGCAGCGTATCAAAAGAAATAAGGGCCTTTGCCCCTGCGTGTGAACTAGACAGTGACTATGTAGGGGTGTTCATAGATCTCAAGAACGTAAACATTACTGAACCTTAATGACAAGGCTGAAGACCGAAAGTCATACCTCGTGAGTATGGGAAGAAGAAGAATCAGATCTGCAATCAGATAAGACAAATCCAACTTCGTTCTTAATCCTCCATGTGTGACTGCATCTAACTTAAGTGATAAAAAAGCTGTCTCCAATTCAGCACTCACTTCTATGTTCTTTGTACCACTAAACGACTCCAGAACTACCTTGCTCCATAGAGAACCTTTGAGAGCGTGTACCTAAAATGCTCAACGTTGCCAGCCGGACCTACAATAGTTCTGCCTGTGAATCCATCACAAGGAACTCGATTAGACCCATGGTTAACATAGAAATGTTTTAACAAATTTAAGAATGAAATAAGACTTATATCTGAACACATTCATATCAATCCCCAAGATGCAATACAGTGTGCTTCGCATCATTAACTCTAACATAGTCTTACAATCTACTCCATGCGCTATCTTCCAACTGGGAAGTGGAAGTGACAGGCGATAGTGAGTCTTGGTAAAATGTGATCATTCACAGAGATTTCAAGCTAGAAGAGTACTTTGTGAGTTACATGTAGCAAAGTTGCCAACAAATGTAGAACGTGCGGTTCCTAAACACACCGGTGTATGCGGCTACTGAAAGTTCCCTCGGAGCAGACTTCATCATTCCTTTGTCAATATCCTCCAGCCAAGCACCACCACCCTGTGAACTTTTAGAAAAGAAAAGTTATTAAGGAAGGAATTACAAAAGAGACAAAAACCAAAAAATCCGACATTTGGCATACTCCAGGAGCAGTTTCTCCCATTAATCTGATATCCACGCACATGAAACTGAAGCCAACGGTTTCATATGAGGTTGCCTACCTTTACTCTCTTCATCAAATTGGCAGTAAGGTGCACTTGCGCCAGAGGGAATCTTGCATTATCCATATCTGACACATCACTAAACCCGGATAATATGATTGTAAACCAATGCTGTCAATAACGATGTGAGGGAAACCCCAAGTACACGGAAAGGAACCATCTGCATTACGCATGTCTTAGAATCCTGTGCGTGCTACACTTCGATATCCATCGAAGTACCAGTTCTAATCTACTCACGGAGATTCATTCCTCAACTTCCCTGCTGTTTATGACACAATTGATAAAGCAGAACTCCTAACGAATTGAGCTCTGCTCTTGCGCTAGACGTCCAGAGCCATCTGAGTTGAACATTTTGGAAGCCTCCTCCAATGATGTTTAGCTCATGACGTTTCTGGTCTTACCATGTAGATGCAGCAATCCCATTTTCATCAGAAGCCTTGACACTGTTGAAGTTTGTTTTGCAGCCTTCAGTATGGCTTCCCTCCTTGCTATGTGCATGGGTACATGTCGTTCTTCCCGCTCTTTCCCAGCAATTTCCGCCATGAGTTGAGTGTCAGCTCCAGCCGGGAAGAAGTCAAACGGAGTCTGGTCTGCAGAACGATCCTCTAGATTGGGCAAAGGAGCTGTTGAAGGACGATTGGTGGATGGCACACCGAGACAAGCATATGGCATTCCAGTCTGTGACCAGACACCATGTTGCAATCTGCATGCACAACACTAGCTAGAGAGAATCTTATCAGCTGAAATGCAAAAAAAATCTGCAGTTAAGACCTCTAGATTGACGCACTCGCGAAGAATTCTGCTAGAACAGGTGATTAATCGTTCTTAAGACTATGACGCTACTAACTAAGCAAGCTGTCTCTCATGCTTCAGGAGATGGATTGGAAGATGCTGAAAGCTTCAGCTGACAAAAGCAGTCGCCTTCGTCGAATACGGCTTCATATTGAAGCCATATTCGAAGCTGCTCTTATGAAGCCCTATCTGGCGGTCTGAAGCTACAAATGATAATCAATTGTGTAACTCGAGCTCTTTTCAACACTGCCTCGACTATTCAGAACAAGCAGACAGAATCAAGGGATTTAAGCTCAACAAAGGGAGCGTTTTACTTAGAACTGTACAATGGTTCAAGACTTGGACCTTGCTGTGAAGTAGGCAGTCTTGTCAATGAGCTCACGAGCCATTTTCTCGAACTTGCTCGAAATGCTTTGCCTCCAAAAGTCTTCCGGTTTAGGGTAGACACGCTCCTCCTCGGTGATCTGAATCGATACGGAAAACAAGTCACTGGGCAAATCCTGACCGGAAGCCGTAGGGTTAATCAGATATAATAAATTGCAGTTGTATGCAGACGTGCTACCGAGACCAGAGTTTCAGTGAAAGGGAGTTGGAAACCGAAAAAGTCTGGGCACGCACATGTCCTGAAGTATCTGTAAATTCCAACAAACTTTTAGTTTGGAACTTGACTCTTTAAAAGAACTGAAAGAACTGCATAGCAGAAGAATCCGACCATTCACGAGGATCGGAGAGGAGAACAGACTGACTCGTCTTCTGGCATGGAGGAAGAAACAATTCCAAAACTGCTTGTTAACCCCGACTTTGCCATGCGCCAGTAAGTTCATTGCCACTCGGGTGCAGTAAGGGGAAAGCGCCTCGAATTGCACCTGAGATGTGCTCAAGATACTGGTAAGTGGCGGCAAATGGAATTTACTTGAAATGACTAACCTCAAGGATCTTTTCGAAGAGCTTGTTGCTTGTGTAAGGTTTCATTGATTCCTTCCGTTCTTGCAGTCGATCCCTAAGGTGCTTCACAACGGGGCTTTCACGAGCACCTGGTCGAAGCTTCCAATCCTTGTTCTTCTCTTCCCCTCTCACAGTGACTCGAGGGCTGATTTTCAGCATGGAAACAATCTGGCAGCACAAAAGACAGAGCTAACAAAGTTTGATGCTCCACAACCACTGGGACAGGTTCAGGTTGTGTACCAGTGCTTCTCAAATGTTGCCTGCCTCTGTCGAGCATTTGAGTGTTCAGAGTTCACGCCGAGATACACTTTGCAAATTGGGTCAGAATCAAGTTCCATTATCCAGAAGCTAGCTTTTATGCTAACTCCTGTACTGATCCGATATGCCCGTCCAACTATCATGACCTATCTATGGGGAAGGAGAAGGGCGATTTGGATGATTCACCTTGCGAATCTTCTCTTTAGACCGCCCATTTCTCTGCACGGATCGAGGACTCAGTGGTATGTACAGTCCATATCTAGCTTCTTCAAGTTTCTTCAATCTCAGCCGTGAGAACATCCTCTTCTTTCGCTTGTGCTCTTTCAGCTCTTTGGGCAATTCGTCTTCGGCGGATGCCTCTAAAATGATCTTGCTCTCATAATTGATGCTGGCCCTGCTCAGCCTCTTGGGAAAACCTTCATCATCAGGGTTGGGCCTCATACTACTCTTCCTGACAGAGACCTCCCTGTTGCCATCATCGACACTGCCCCTGCTGATCATCGAGGGAGGAGGCTCTTCGGTTTTACTGGGCCTGCTTGGCCTCCTCAACGCCGCTGCTCCTCGAATGGTCGGCATGTCTCGTCCTTGACGAAGGCAAACTTCTCGACACAATGACTGCCTTGCTTGCAGACGATTAAGACCTTTTCGGATGAAGGACAGGAGGATCCGGATGGGCTTCCTACATGAACGTCCTGTTTACCACCGCATCGTGCAGCCAGAGGATGCTCGCTCGAGGAAGTTCCGCAAGAGTCACTGACATGATTGCGGACTTCGTGGAGCGTCTGATGTGCCAGTGGCGAACAATTGAAGAAATTTCGAACGAGACTGGGCTAAATCTTGCGACAGCGTTTGTTCAGTTCTGCAGCTTCCAGAGGATTTTCTTCGACAAAACCTCGTGTAGGGTTAGGGTTGTGTGACGTAGCGTTTCACAATCTTAGGACGTCCAGGAGTAACCAACTCGAGGAAAACAGGAACCGGGAGATGATGGTGTAGCTAAGCGGAAGGAGGGTTCTGGTCTACTCCAGTTGAACTTGAGTCTTGAACTCTTCGTGCACCGACAGCGTTCTCAGGTTGTAAGATTGTCGATTTTTCTGCTCCCCCATCTGCATCTCGACAGTTCCGATGAAGACATACAATCATCGAGAATCGCTCGCAGTGTCCCCATCACCACTCCTCAGTTCCGAAGCTTAAACAGGCCAGTGAGAGATTCTATCACCATCAGCATTCTGTGCTTCTTGGTTATTGACTAACATCCGTATTGGGCACCCCCTGACCCAGACCCTCGCCTCGATCGGACGAATTCCGTCTTGCTTGACGGGAGAAAACCGATTGCTTCGAGAAAGAATCGCGCTCAGCAATTCACAGGATGATCACCCTGCTGTCAGAGACTTCCTCGGACGGCGGAATTGCGCATGAAATAGACTGATTTCTTCGGGTGTTCCCGGGTTCGATTTGAAGCGTTGTCAGCGATGGATAGTGTGAAGATGTTGGTAGGGCAGGTGGCCGGTTCCGCCTCTGCGTCCACCGAAGAGCCTGGATTCATGGAAGAAGTTCAAGGCCGTTTGTCCATGTCTCGAACTCATGTAAGCTCCTGGACCCACCATGAAACGAAACAACTTCCATTATCAATAGCATGGGGCAGAACTCCGGAGCTCGATGGACACGATCACCGAAAGAAAGCAAATTGGGTGCTTCTCAAAGGACAGAAAAAGAACTCGGATTCTTGCAAGCCCACCTCGGCATGAAAGTTCAGACTCGATGCTTCGACCGGACTTGAGAACGTCGATCGATTTCCTTCAAACCCCGACGATTCACATCTAGTTCTGATTTTGTGCATCACCATGAAAAGTGGACCAATAAACACAGCGATGCAATTGTTTGCATTGTGCAGAGGATGTACGGCTTCGGTGCGTGCATGGCTCTCGGCGTTATATTCCTCTTCATAGTAAACAACTGCCCCTGCCTCTGCCCAGCAAGAATCTCTCAGCTTGTGGTCCGTCCTACTGTAAACAGCAGCAGCTGGTACCATTTCCATTTCATCACAAGGGCTTGCCATTCCTTAACCAAACGTAATCCGATGCAGCCAATTTCGAGTTCGGTTGTACTGTCGACATTCTCTTCATCACCGTGGCTCATACTAGTAACATCATCATTGCTCGACACCAGCACTCTGTCTAAATTTCTTCGGCTGCTCGAGCCAACTCGCACATTTCATGTTGAGGTTAGATGCACTGCACCGTCGAGCTGCTACTAGTTGCACGAGACTTCAGATACCATAACAATTTGGACCGTGAACTTATGATGGCCGCTCATGGAACCCATCCAGCCAGCCAGCCAGCCAGCAGCAACGCAGTAGTTTCTGTTGTGGTGAAATGTTTGTATGAACTAGAAGCGAGAAATGTTTTGCTGCCGATGGAGGAAAATTGACTCGCTGTGCTGTCTCTGCTTGTGGCTGCGTGGCTGGCTGGCAGTCGACGACGTTGATCATCATGCCGGAGAAATTCGCCTTCACATTCACAACAGCCAATATCCTGCTGATGGGAAGGTGAATTCACAACATCCAAGAGTAAAGGCAGGCAGTCAATCGAGCATCTCCTCGTGAAGTCATGCCTTTTGAGATAGTCCATGGATCAGATTGAAAGATCAGATTGAGAGCTCCCAGAATGCATCTGTCAGCATTGTTGCCCGACATCGTGTCTTCCTTTGGCCGCCCCGGAAATCAAATGCAGAAAAACATAAATCCACGCAGCTGTATCGTTTCATCGAGCACTCCGATCAAAACATCCAGATTTGGATTCTGATCTTACAAGAATTGTATAATTTTGTAGATCAGCTGACCCTTTACTCATAAACGAGTGACCTTATCAGCTACTCCTGATTCCGATGCTTGCATGGGCAGCGCAGCACGATGTTCTTGATAGGCCCAATCAGACAGCTGAAGATGATGTTCGATCCCGTCCGAATGTGTGCGACGGTCTGTTACCTTCTCAGCTTGGTCATGGCCTTATTCTGTGCCCTCAAGGTACTTCGCTCTCCATCCTCCATGTTCCAGTTACAGCTCAAAGCCAGCGAATCGAACTCACCAAAACAGAGCTCCGGAGTTCCGATGCTTATGATCTTTTAATCCTTCCCTTCCATTCCATCCGCCGTAGTGTAGTGCAGATGAGCAGAATAGAAGTTGCTGCCTCTTGCTACCAATACACATTCTATACGTAGCTTACTACTGTCCAGGCGTCAATCACTTGGGAAGAAAAGCCAAGCTGATCCAATGTGCTTGAAATGTGCGGAGCTGCTGCAGCTCCACAGCTTCTTCCTGACAGTCATCGCCATTATTCTTGAAGCCATCGCCATTGCTTGGTAAGCCTCGTGCAAAATGATTCTGATATTGTCGGAAGAAATTCATACCAGCACACTCGAAGCGAAAGTCGCCCTGGCTTTAGATAGGAGGGCGCTTTATTAATCAAGAAAGTCTCACTCCTGTTATCGAGAAGAATCATGAATACGTAAGAATGAAAGAATGGCATAACCAGCTTGTTGGAAAACTCAGAGTTGCTGTTTTCTGCATGCAGGTACGCGTTGAGCTACATCCCATTCGCGAGGTCGATGGCTAAAACTATGCTCCACTCTTGTTTCCCGAGAATATTTTAAGCTGCGAACGCATTCAAAGCTTCGAACTCGAAGTGGAGATGGATCCTGGAGGGATTGGCAGCCACTGAACAGAACCATGTCGTCCATCGATAGTTCAGACCTGCCCGCTGCTTCCACCCATCTCTTCCTTTCAAACGAAAAGGCTCCTCATCATCTACCACGTATTGCTAATCAGTTGTGTAATTTACATTTGTGACGACTGAGATGTCAAGAGTACTGACGGATTTCAGGTAGCTGGTCCAACTGAATCGGTGTGCTGGAGGAGCTTCTTCTGAATCACAGAATACATATCACAGACACATTGCCTCTCCATCGCCCATTACTCGTTGACACCAGTCATGACATAATAGTATTCCTCACAGCGACCTTTGTGAGCTGAGCTGAGGAAGAGCTGATTGGAATGAATTTCACGTTTTCAGAGCAGCCACGTTTTTGCATTGACTCGCGTCTTTTTACAGTGCCGGCATCTCGAGAGTATATGCATGCAAATGATTGTTTCCTTAAGATACTACTTTACGAAACTACGTTCGTTGCGATGCATGGCTGTATCACCTGCACACAATTGTGGCGTTTGGAATGGCCGATTTTATTAAACACTTGCGTTTTGAATAGCGCTTTATGGAGCGAGCAGTCATCGGTCATCATCATCTAACATTGTTTCTGTAATGCTAGGCTTTGCAATGCCGCAGTTTTGCTGCTAACGGTGTCGTGTAGTTTGAGCGCTGATTTTCCCTTTCGATACTATCCGTAGAAAAATGGTGTATTTATCGTATTCTCGGTTTCTAGTTGATGCACGTGATGCATGCAATCGTCATATCCGGTGTCCTAAATTTGCATCTACTTTAATTTATGACCTTGAAAAATATATTATATGCACGTTATCCATTTTGGATGAATACTTTGCTTGTCTGAGTTGGTTGCGATTATCTCATTTCACAGCTGTGCAACTATTTCTCATCAATCACGAAATCTAGCTCTCTGGAAATTAAATATTCTTTGATTTAATTAGATATGTTGAAAAAAAACTTCATAACAGGATAGAGAGTAATAAAATCCATCTCAAATAATGCAGTGAGATCATCTGAATAAAAATTTAAGTCTAAGACAGATTCAGATACTCCACATTCTATGCAATCTTCACAAAAATTAGAGTCTAGACTAAAACAAATTGGAGTTTTAAAATAACTTCATTCTATTCATTAGACATTGAAAGATCCATTCATTTACGTTTGATAACATTTGTAGATTTTCTGGGAATTTATTCTCAAGTTTTTCATGTTAATCTAAAGGACAATGAATGTCTGATAATCATTATCATGCACACTATATAATCAGTCACAAACTATGAGCATGTTGTAACTGATTTTTTTTTCCTTTCGATTGGACAGTTTCTAGAAGTAAAAAATTGTCTTACTTCTGAATCAGATTGTAGTGTACTGCTTTGAAAAAAAATATAAAAATCCGAATAAATATATTGTTTTTCCGTTAATTTTAAACTTGATTACATCTGGAGTAAAAAATGATCAGCCGAGTACATTCTTTGAAGTATGAAATGTTCAATTGACAACGTCTTTCAATGCATAATCTATGAAATATGAAAAAACCGTGGTTCCGTATCTTTACAGGGTACTCTTTACTATAACGTCGTAGTAAAGTTTTAGCGTGAATTTTTGAAAATATATACCAGATTTACATATAAACAAAATTTTAGAGATACGTGGAAATTTCCACCTTTATTTTATATCTTCTCCGTTCAATATAAAGGATTGAAAGTTCAGTATTATATTCCAGAAGCTAACTCAAAACTGAGTTTGCTACCATTAGCATATCGTGGAATAAGGTAATTTGGTGATGTATACTAATTCTGTTTTCTTATCAATTTTTATCGATAGATTAAAAAAAAAACATTTGTGAGCAACTTATATATATATATATGTAATTAGGCACAAATGTAATTGAAAATTGGCAGCGTGATTTAGATTTGAATGAGAAATTTGCTTGATAGTACCCCGTCAAAAAGCTGACTGCTTGATGGGACCCAATACGTTCTATTTTACCCGATGTGACACTTTACGATGTCAGTTCAATCCACCGTCACCGATGTTCTATTGCGAGTTCTTGTAATTGCTTTCAATCCAATGAAAATCAATGCGGCTCTTTGTTGAAAAGTGACTTTACGGACCAAAATACGCAACTTACGCCCATACATTATAACTGTAAAATCATTTGGGTACGTGAGAAATTGGATTCTTGCACTATGAAGATGGGGAGCCATGGGAAATTTGACTAAGTTAAATTCGGGAAGTTTTTTTTTTTTTTTCATTAAGTGAAAACAAAGCAGTCACAAGAACATAACTAACGGTGACCAGTAGGAGGGTCCCATATGGTAAAATGGAACGTATTGGGTGCCACCAACCAGTGAGCGTTCTGATGGTGTACCGTCAAGTAAATTTCTCAGATTTGAATACGACCGATAAAATTGATACTATCAAGAGAGATTTATATGATTACTATAATAACCGAGGAGTGTTTTGTAAAGAGGTACTCGTTTTTTTAATTAAATCACTCATTCCTGTAAGAAATTAATATTGTTTCTCCTCCTCTTATTTCCCATTCGCGTTTTACTACAATCTTTTCTCATTCCCAACCACGAACTGTTATTGTCTGAAACCATTACTCGTCGCGCTTGAGCTGGTTGATTGATGTCATGATAGAGCAACATATAGCACCCATTCACATTACAACCAAATCGGAGAAAACAGAGTAATCATACATATTTGAAAAAGTACTCGCTAGGTCAATAGCATAAGAGTCTTTGTATTAACCTTTTCAATTTGCATATGGTTCTTTTATGCTCTTGAGTTGGTCTCAGATTACCTGGTTATTGTTGCATGTGTTGTGCTTATAAATTCAGTGACAAGACTGAAGATGTGATTGACTCAACCCATCCTGTGGATAAACAATCATTAGTGAAGAGACACAATCCAATGTTTTCAACTATATGTTTGTACCTTTATTATATATTCTAAATTTAGCAAAATATACTAAGTATGAACAATGACATTTTTGCCATAAAATGTTTAAGAGCATAGTAAACTAAAATATAAATATATCACTTTGATGATCTTATTTTTGAAGTCTTTTTCGGTAGAAGATATACATGTGAGATGTGAGTAAAGTGTTCAGTCCATGTGATATGAGTCATGACATTTTATATTGATTCGAATAATCATGATATATGTACATCAATGGTTGAGTTCTATGAGGTGGAGTCGCATACATTTCCCATTGTGCTGCTATCATGCATAGCAGCATGTTGTTGTAGTATCCATTTCATCCATGTACCACTCGATTGGGTCTTTAATCTGTTTGTTATTTGAGTTGGTGTCCGTAGGTCTGTGAATCCAAGAGATCTGGAAATCATAAGCCGACGTCCACCCTCTTTGCTATATTCGCTATACAGAGTTAAACCTCCCGATAGTGACGCATAACCGTTCTAGGGTTTTATGTCACTATTCGGAGGTGTCACTCACAAGAGGATGTCATATTTTTTCCCGCGTTATTTGCGTTTGCTGGGCTCCTCTTTCTCTCTCGCTGCGATCTGTCACAGTGCGTTCGGTGAGGGCTTCTTTCTCTCTCGCTGCGATATGTCACAGTGCGTTCGGTGAGGGCTTCTTTCTCTCTCGTTGCGATCTGTCACAGTGCGTTCGGTGAGGGCTTCTTTCTGCGATCTGTCACTGTTATTATGCATTAGGTGGCCAATTTTTTCTCTCGCGACGCAATCTGTTCCTGTTCGGTGGGAGTTTTTTTTTCTCTTAATCTGCATCCGTTATTACTCACTCATGTCTAAACGCAAGCGTTTGGACGTGAAGACAAAGCTCGAAGTTTTGGATTTTCTGAATCAGCCCGGAGCCACCCATGAGAAAGCGGCATCGGCATTTTCGGTGGCACGTACAACTGTTTCGAAAATTTGGAAAGAGAGAGAAATTATCAAACAGGTGTCGTTAGAATCAAATCGAGATCGGTTTAAAAAGATATCTACATCGACACGAGTTCAACTTCTTACAGAAATGATGCAACAATGGCATGTTCGTGTTGAGATCGATGCGCCCACGCTGAATGTGACGGGTGAGATGCTGAAGAAGAAGGCTCTGTTTTTTCGAGACAAAATTTTGCTCGACTTTGCAGAATGTTTGACATCTTCAGATACAATTTCTCTACAATCATTTGTTGCGTCTAATGGATGGCTGGAGAAGTATTTGAAGCGCATTTCAACATCGAGTAAGAGGAGGTGCGGAGAACAGAACAGTGTTAGTGTCATGGAAGTGGAGAAACGTCTGCAACAAATTCGTGAAATGTTATGCGACGTACCACTCGAATGCATCATTAACATTGACGAGTCAGCTTTACAGCATCGCACGACGTCATCAAGATCGTACTGCACAGTCAATTCAGATGGTCGTGGAGTGAAGCGAAGTAAAGAACGAATTACAGTGACGCTTGGAGTTAGTGCTTCAGGTGAAAAGTTCATGACGCAGGTGATCACGAAGAGTGCTCGTCCACGTGCTTTGAAAGGTATTCCTGACATAAGTAAGGCGTTCGGAATTATTTATGATCATCAAGCTAAAGCTTGGCAGGATACATCTTCCTACATGCGTTTGCTTGACAAGTACAACAAAATTGCCAAGGACAGACACTGCATCTTCTACGTACTTCAAGACAACTGTTCGTCTCACGTTTGTGCGTCTAAGATTTTAGACCCATCGGGATCAACAGATTCTTTTTTCAGGTTTGAAAATCTGTGTATCATTTTTTTCCTCCAAATGCTACTAGCGAATGTCAACCTCTGGATCAAGGTGTCATACGATCTTTTAAAGCTCATTTTCGTCGTGCTTAGCTTTATCATTTAATGTCTGAGTATGAGATGTGGCAGGCGAGTGAACGTGCTTCTTATTCTCAGTTTCCGATCAACGATCATACCCATCTACGGAATGTACTTGGTTGGGTAAAATCTGCATCGGATAGTATAGAGGAAAATACTATTCGAAGGTGTTTTGTTAAAGCCAACTGTCTACCTCTTGTATCTAACGTAATTTCGAATCAGGATATAGATAGATACAGTAGTAGCTCAAATCAGGCTCTAGATGATTTGATGAAAACTCTTCAAGAAATTCGACTCAACGATTCTTTTTCAGCGTCCTTGGGTCTTGATGACTCAAGTATAGAAGTAGTTGCTGAAGAGCTTATTGACCTTGATGCTGTAGATAATACTGGTGATGATTATATTGACGATATAAGCATCGTCAAATCGGTTTTAGAGCAACATAATCTCTTGCACAGTGATAGTGCTTCGAATGAGGATGATTTTGGTGAGATTTCGCCTTTGGTGACAGTAGAACAAGCGAATCAAGCAATCACTGACTTGATTAATTTTTTTTCCATCAAATCGTTTTTATCTACAGAATTACAGAGTACGCTGCTTTCCAATCTCCAAAGAGCTCGTCGTCCTTTGATACATCAACAGAACATTGAAAAATTTAGAAGGTTGAGACAGTCGACAATCACACTGTAAATTGTATTTCTATGATTCAATATACTTAATTTTCAACAGTGTCCATGTGTGTACCTTGCTTGCTAACTAATTAGTCTTTTGAAACTCCATGAAAATTTCTGTATTGCATATTCGTGAATATGGAGATGTTAACACCACAGTGATGGTGAGTATGGATGTTTAGTACAGAGATCAGTACAGTTCTGTACGTGAGATTTTGTGGATGAATGTTCACTTTGGACACGTTGCAAGTGCTGTGTCTAAAAGTGTATATTACTTGATAAAGCTTGGGCTTCACGAGCTTTACTAGCTTAGTGACGTTAATACCTGAAGAGCCTAGACTGATTGGGAAATTTAAAAAGCAGGAGCGATGCACATTGCATGGAGAAAATGTCCTTTGTACAGATTCTGATGTTAGAGATTGGCAAAATAATACGTTACAGCCTTTTACTGGCTTCATCATTAATATACCTACTTCATTCCACGTGAAAGCCGTGTGTCCTGCATGCACTGAGACAGAGCTGGTGATTTCATAAACTTGAAATGACTCGAACTGACCACATTCTCTTTCACATTCTTTCTGTACCTGTTCCTACAGTGACTGCTTGACGTATGCTTTCACCACAAATTTCATGTCTGCTGCACGTCACTGATACCAACGAGACTATCCCCGAGCCAGCAAATCCAAGAACATCTGTTATCTCATCATCAGCAGGGGCTCTAGGCTTGCCATTGCAATCACAGTTGGCAGTCTTATGTTTAAAAGAGCAGAAACGAACATGTCACAACTGTGGGTGGTGCTTGACCAAGACTCTGGATCCAAAGAGCTGCAAAGACTCGATTCGGAATCAGATGTTGCCCACGGTTCATACATGAGTTCCCATCCTATGTTCCAACGTTGGACACGTTGCATGTTCACGTCAAGTTGCAACACTTTGCAAAGTGAACAGTGAAGTGTTTCTGTGACAATTATGATAGCAATTAAAGCTCAACACAGTCACTATTGAAAATTCTAATGACACTATTAACAATAGTGACGTACTGCTATTATTGCATAAAATTTTCCATTAGAAACTAATGGTTCTTCATTTTCATGTCACTAATGGGAGTATGTCACTCACACGAGTTGACACTATTGGGAGGTTTAACTCTGTAGAATAGAACGAGCGCTTGATGTGCTGATTGGGCCTCCAACGGAGTGCCGGAAGAGGGCTGCGGGATTCTCTCGGTAGACCACGTCAACGTCAGAGAGAGTGACGTGGAAGCTCTAGGAGGGTTACAAATGACGTGGAGATATGCCACGCGCTTCGGGATGTGGCCCTCGTGGATTCCGGCTCCAGGAAGCCGGCGACAACCGTAGGGGCATGCTGCTCGTACAAGTCGCTAGGGGAGCACGCGCCGAGAGGTTGTTACCGGTGGATCGAACCGGGAAACTGGTCCCCGCCACACGCTACAGGAACGGTTTGCGTGTGCCTCTTTGTGCGGAACACAGATACGAGTACTGACCCTCCGATCTCACATCGACGGTCATTACTTGAATTCTTTTCACGTCCCGTAGGATAAGGCCGCGGTCGTCGCCCCTCGCTCAACGACTGACCGACTTCGTACAAGAACCTCGGGCCGTATAAGACATTTCCTGCGTCTGACGGTTCTCAGTGACCGGAAATAATCCTCGCGTTTCGCTCACGTACCCAAAGCACGATAATAATCTGCTCAATTGCAGGAGAAATATAAGCTGGAGACGGTGATCTCTGGCAGCATTCCCAATTCCAAAACATATATATATGTCGAGTGTCTTATATTGGAAACATTAAACCTCTCTTCGAGAAAAGGTTCTCAGTGACCAGAAATAATCCTCGCGTTTCGCTCAGGTACCCAAAGCTCGATAATAATCTGCTGAATTTGCTGGAGAAATATAAGCTGGAGACGGTCATCTCCGGCAGCATTCCCAATGGCAGAATATATATATTTATGTCGCGAGGTTTAGAGTCTCCAATATAAGACACTTATATGTAAAGCTGGAAGTTGGAGCCTGGGAGCTTTTGTCTCTCTGTAATATATGGTCAAACTGGAACGAGGTTTAATAATCTGAAGTCTCCGGGCTCGAAATTCCTTCGAGGACCCGTTCGATATTCTCCCGAGAAAAGGTACGACGTGTGTCTGTGTAAGCGGGGTATTGGTGGTCGGGGGGCGGCGCGGTAGAAGAACAAGGAGTAAGAACAGGGGCCGGAAAGCTGCTGGAAGGAAAGGATGGACGAGGAGGACCGGCCGACCGACGGAGGGAGCGGAGCAGATCCAGAGGTCGGACTTTCGTGTCCGCGGTGGATCTTTTGCAGCGCCCGACGGACGAAACGTGGAACCGGGAACTTGTTAAAAGAGTGGTCCCTACAGTTTCCTCACTGTACCTCCCTCCCTTCCTCCCTCCCTTCCTTCCTTCCTTCGTTCGTCCCTCTCTCTCTCTCACTCGGACGATTGACTCTCTGGCGCCGGAGCTGGAGCTCTCGGATCTGCTGCAGAGGACCACTGCTGCAGCGCATTCCTTCTCAACTGTCCAGATCCCGGAGGGCAGGGGACTGTAGGCCGCGATTCTGAGAGAGAGTGAGGAGTGAGGAGGTGGACGGAGAATCATCATCATGTTGACTGGATAATCTTCAATTCGAATCGGAATTTTCGCTTCCCCCCCTCCTCTGCTCGGCTCTGCTGCTCGTGAGTGAGTTAGTGGGTCGGTGGTCAGGGAGGAGGAGTTTTTTATTCGTGCGGGGGTGGACTTTTTTTGGTGTTGGGTTTTGTTTCTCGCTGTGGGGTTTAGGTGAGATCCGGGTTTTGCTGTGCGATTTGGAGAGGTTCGGATTTCATTTCGGACGTCGAAAGCTTGCGATTGTGAAGCTGAGCCGAGCAGGAGGTTCTTCGGGTTTGGCGATTTGGAGATTTGAGCCTCCTCGCGGCTGAACTTTCCGAACTGCTTGTTCGAACGCTAGCATACGTTTGGAGGCGCTGGACGCTTGTATGGAAGTTTTACTCTCGCAATTCGAATTCACCTCTTCGCCAGTGTACCTTCGCTTCTCTGTGTTCCAGTGACTGTTGCGTCGAGCGCCTCCTGTTTCCTTTATCGACCGAATCCAGGTGAGATTTGTGGCAGTTATTGTTTTGCGTTCGAGTACATGATCAGGCTGATCAGTATGCATGCTCTATTGATGCTGAAATTAGTAGATGATTTCTCTGTTCCTGTCACTTCCGCTCGAATTACGTGCTCATGATGGGTCCAGTTTCCCCAGTTTAGTCTCTCTGGCTCCGTCCATATTCGCTTGACGCTATATTCCATACGCTCCTTCGATAGAGAGATCTTTGAAGAGTCATGGTACCGCAGCCCCTGTCAGACAATCTAGTCCTCTGGCTGAACCACGGGGTGAATATTTTTCTGAATGATGTAGAATGTTATCTTGAGCAGTGTGCTCGAGCTATTGATTGATTATTAGCTGTGACGACAGCGAGCCGCCAGAATTTTGGATGTGGGTCGTTCAGTACTTGAAATGAGTATGCACAACTTTGTCCTGGATCGAAATCAGCTAGTAACTCAGAAATTCCTAATGCGCAGGCTTGACTACGAAGCTCTTGGAAGTCGGAGACTCACATGGCTCAAGCATCGGCAGTGACTTGCATTACACGAGGGAGTTTGAAACCGGAAGCCAGAAATGGGATTGATATTGGACAAAATCTGCGATCTGGGGGATCCTGCCATGCATCGTTCAACTCCAGTAGAAAATTTCCATCCAAAATTCTTGAAAATCTATCAAGAAATCCTTCAAAAGCTGCAAAGAGGACCGATTATCCAGTAGTGAGGTGCGCGTGGCGCGGTGTACCAGTGTCAGAATCGGAAGGAAACCTCACTAATTTGAAGACATGTGATCCAGAGAGCTTGAGCTACAAGCTCTCTGGTGGACCTGCAGTGGAGTTCAAACTATCAGATTTCGAACTCTGCTCTCATGTCAGCGTCGGTCTTGCTGGAAAGGTAACGCTGTCAGTCATGAACTCAGCTTTTGTAGTTGGTTCTTCACTTCCAGCATCGTCTTTAGGTGTGACACCTCTTCATCTCTTGCACTGAATCGACTACTTTCCTCGTACTAGCGGTTTTACAAGTCCTTTTGTTTTTTGGCTTGTTGGCCACATTCGTTCCCAATGGAGAAGCCAAAGTGTCGGTTAGAGCATCATTGATCCTCACATAATGGACTTCGCATCTCTCTCTGTGCAGGGTGACGAGGTTCTATTCGAAGGTGTGGTTAGAAACCCTGAGAGGTACAGCTAAACTTGTCAAATACTATCACTTGGCGTTCTCTGCGAGATTCTTAACAATTCAAATGTCTGTCTGTACACAGTAACGTTCTGTCAGTGTGGTCTTATCTTCAAGCATTCACGTCCAAACGGACACTCATATGCCCGTATCACCTGTTCTGACCGAAGTTCATGTCGATGTGTGTGCAGTCCCTTGAAAGGAATGAGGGTCGTTTTGCGCCAGCTGGCCAGTCCCCGAGCTCAACGTTGGGGTCACCGAGCACTTCAGGTACAGATAGTTTTGCATCAGTGCCTCTAGATGGTCTATTTCAAGCTATCATGTGCCGAGCTCCGTGGCAGCTGCCCTTGCAAGGGGTTTTGACACATCTCAATGTGACAACTTTCGAACAGGTCATATCGAATCTAGTACCACAGCAGCACATGTACATGTCCTATGCCACTCGAGTCCACGGATATATTCTGGCATCTGGAGGTTCTGATCAAAGTTCGACGCTCACGCTAGTGCATGGGGTAAGTACTTCAATCCCTGAGTAATCGAGCTCACTGCACAAAATGTGTTTGACAAGCGTGGAATAACAACTGTGCAAGAGGATGGAAGTACATGGATTTCAGAGGAACGGATTACGCATCTGTCACGATAGTCACTCGGTGGGTAGGCATGTATTATTTACACCTTTTGGGTGTCTTCTCTGATCTTACGAATCACAACGTTGGGTTGCAGTATCATGGAAGTTATTCTCTACATCAGTGGTTACACTCTGAGGACTGGATGTCTGAGCTAGAGTCGAGGTTGTCTCTGGATGAAGAAGTAGCTCGAAGAGTAGGCGATGATAGACTCGGTGGTCCAGCAGCCCACCGGCACCTCCGTCTTGTCCGCATCCTCATGCGTGACCTTCTCATCGGGGTTCGTTTCCCTCTCTCTAATTCTCGATAGTTTTCAGTTCTTTTTCTTGTACTTTGTGACTACAATCAATTCCTTCTGAGAGCTTTTTTAGAGCTAGTGAGATTGAGTTTCTGTCTTCAGTCGTGCAGTGAACTGTCTGTCTAATTTGAACATGTTTGTCACGTGGGCAGGTCAATTACTTGCACAGTCGTGGATACGCCCACACACAACTACGACTACAAAACATTCAGATTAGTGAGGCCGACAAACATGTGAAAGTGAGTACGATGAGTCGTAAGAAAAAATCCTCATGGATATCCTCATTCTCCTCAGAAAAATCTCCGTCCACATGTCAATGGACGTCTACCAGAGGGTGCTCTCTTGCGATATGCAGCTAATTCGTGGAATTTCGCGTGCATCACAGGTCGGTCTCCTCGGAAATGCCGCAGCTTTTCCTGAAAATTCCACCGACGGTACAACGACATTGGGAGGCAGCATACTCAAGAACGCAGATACTCGGAAACTCATGATTGCATATGATATGAGGTTGGCGATCGTCCAAATCTCTGTTTTCTGTTTCAATCACTCGAAGTTGTTGAGGTGGTTTCTGACTCAAGAAGATGCAAGTTTTTTCGGTAGAGACGATTCTCACTACGGGTTTGCTCTTTTCAGATGTGTTGGCTTTATCATGGCCAAGATAGTGTTGCGAGAATTCATGGACCCATCCATCTTCGCACTTTTGAAAAACTTTCTCAACCAGGTTAGCCGAGCTCACCTCAACCTCCACAAATTTGAGTGTTATCGTTATCTGCTTGCAGTTTGTCTCGGATGCAAGATCACCATGCAGCTTCTTCTCTTCCCATCAACTGTTGCTTTGAAGCTGTGGATTGACAATGTGCACCGCTTGCTATTGTAGGGACATGATCCTGCCGGCCTTCGCGAATTCCTCCTACCTATTTTGAACAAGGGATCTCCTGTTGACAATGTTGGCATTCAGGTAAGATCAGAAATACGAAGCAGAGTTTCGCAAGCTTGATTTGATTAGAAATAGTGATTAGCTTGAATTGATTAGGGATAGTGGTGTAGAAGAGCGCTGCTTACCGGATGAAGTGGCTGCATGTAGTCCGATGAAGTTGCACGAGGATTTGTTCTGACAAAACAGGCTGAACAGATACTGGACCGCGATGGAGGCGCTGGATGGAATCTCCTGGCTTCGATGCTTGCAAGCAAGCCCGCCGACCGCATAGGGTAAGCACGTTCTGCAAGGACTTGAGTCACATGAGGCGGTTTCTAGGGATCTGATCGCTCGTCGAAGTTGACTTACATGAAAAACCTCTTGTATATCTTTGAACCGATTACGAATTCTTGCGTTTCCCCGCGAATGCAGGTGCAGAGATGCACTTCGGCACCCCTTCCTGTGTGGACCGATGTGGCGGATACAACCATCTGTCGAACTAACGCGGTGGAGTATAGGATCCACGGCAGTCCGAATCATAGAGGAATATATTTATGGACCTCAGCAGGTAAGCCGCTGCTACTTTCACGAAATTTCTTGTTTTGAGAGCAAGTTTAGAAGATACAGCTGCTGGTCTCTCTTCTCCGCATTTATGTCAGAGGAGAGGCGAAGAAAATTCGAAGTACAGGATTTTGTATGCATCTCAAAAGCTGATTAGCTGCTTCCAAAGACAGAACAGATTGGTTGTTCTTGTAGGGAATGTATCTAATTATTGATGTCATTGGCTTTTGCAGCGAATTAAACTTTCAAAATTAGTAGAGATTATGGAGCGAATGAATCCAAACAATAATGTGAAGGTGAGAGATCTACCTTTTCCTGATCTGTGGATCTCCCACTTGCATCTGGATAAAATGTGCCTTCCAAATGTCCTCCTCGTCTCAAGCCAGTGCTTCCCGTGAACTCGAAACTTTCAGAATTGTTGAACTTGCCTCACACACTCATCATAGCATCGTCGCGGAAACCTACAGGACTGGACAAAGTTGGTCGGCGGTAGATGGCGTCTTCTCTATCACACTGGTCGACAGCTTGGACTTACTGTGCGTCAGGTACGATCTGTTTCTCCGTGAATCTCCGAGTGATGATGTCGTACCTTGGGCACTAAATTCGACATGATGACAAGGATGCAAAAAGGGTGCTCTGTCTGCTTGCTTCTGAATCCTCGTCTCCCTTTACAGGCTGCACCAGCAGTTCTCATGGGCGATGTAACATTGAACTTCGAAGTGCTCTCCGATGCATCGCTGTCGCTCAACGCGGACATTGGATTCTCCGTTATGGAAGGTGAAAATTGGCCTCAAGATAAGAAGGGGAAGAAGGGATCGCTGAATGTGCGTGCATCCTCCGTAGTTCTGACCGATGCCGAGAGAGTGTACCCAGAAATAGACGATAAAGAAAACTCGAACCGACGGCAGACGAAGGTGGACGACAATGTGTCCACACCCAAGAGAAGATCGCGACAGATTTTGCCGGACGAACCTGGCCCTGCATCGATGCCGGTAGTGAGACTTGGCTACCCCGGGGAAATCGACATGAGTATGAATCTGGATTTCGAAATCGAAGACGATGCTCAGTTTCAAAGGATAGTTAATGAAGTGCAAATTCTCATACCTCAGGAAATGTTTGACATCTCTAGTCTGGTGTGCGGCACCTACGTCGATTCCCGACTCATGGTTCTGAGAGGGGTGACGGGCTCCGCTTGTCTATTCGTTCGATCTCCGCGAAGTGGGCCGGTGAAGCTCCTGACGTGAAACTGATAGTCGTACGGGATCGAAGCAGAACTGCATCCCTGTTAGGAACAACAATCCGATTCTTTGCCCATAACTTGATACGAATTTGGGTTTTAATTGTAGAGCCTTCGAATGTAGCAGCAGCAGGCAGCCCTTTTAGTTGTAGCTTGAAGTTGATGGCCACAAAATGCGCAGTTTCAGGTCGGGCGTGTAAAGTGTATTGTAGTGGTGTAGCTAATGAAGCAGTGATCATGAGCGAAGCACAGCTCATGTTCAGAACTGTTGAGGCTGCGAATGTAATTGTGTAATCTTTGTAATCTATAAAGCAACACTGAGCCCAAACAACAGCGGGTTCAGATGAAGTAACTTCCACGGAGTTCATCCACTCTCCGTCCCCGTGCATGTACAATTTTCACGAATGAATTTCATCTAGGATTCTCTGCTGTTACTGTCTGTCGAACACTCTCGGTAACTGACTTTGCGAAGGTTCGATAATAGCACACATCTTACTGGTCCTAAATTTGATCACTCTCAGATAAATATAATTTCTTCCAGCTTAGTTCTGCCTTTCCTCCAGGCTGAATTCGCAAATCTTGCGAATTTGATAATCACTTTAACTTATCTGCCACCGAGAAGTTGGCAATTTCATCCTAGGTTACAATGCTGCTCCTACAATGTTCTGATCTGCCCAAATTGCTGGACGCGACTGGACAGGAATTGTAAATTGCAGATCGGCCACCTTGTACGCCGCGTATCACAGTTCACGCAGTCCAACAGCCAAATGTGCACGAGAAGTCACACCACGAGAGGTGGGGCAGACGGTGAAATGGATATTATCGTGGGCGGAAATGAACATACTGTTCCTCAACCACAACAAGCTCCACTATTGAACAAGCTCCCATTCCATCAACCTCATTCATCGAGGAACTAATCAATTGCGCAGACAGTACGAAGTAACTTCGGACACCACTTCCAGTCTCGTCCTGTCCAGTGCAGAGCCCCATAACGGCCTGGACTCTGAGAAGCTTCAGAGACTCGCGATCTCCCACTGAAAAAGTGAGACCTGTAGGAGAGAGAAGGAAGGGCTGACATCAAGCACGGAATGGAGTTGTTGCGGAGAGTGAGCGAGAATAAATTAAAGAATGTGATGCCAATCAAGGCCCACTGCATACTCAAAGTCTTTGGAAAGGAAACATACGAGTATGTCTAGACGCAACTGTAGGGATTTCCCGGTACAGTACGAAGTACGGGTCCACGGATCGCTCATCCTTCAGCTGCTCGATGCATCATCTTGATCTTGAGGGGCCATGTTGTAGTGACCATCTCGACCGCACTCTCGTGATGTATGGGGTGAGTGGAAAAGCACGTCGCGGGATCCAACTTCGAAACTGCCAACAGACGTAGCCAGAGGTTCAGTCATTGGTTCAAAGAGTAGCTCCCCCATTCTACCCGCTCGGTTTCATCCCTGTACTGCTTGATGGGTCTTCCCATCCCTCGGTTCCTCCGAGTTCTGGGATGTATGTATCTATCTAACATTCGGGACAATCAATCAGAAAGACAATCAAAGGTGAATCGATAGAGACGGGAGATCCAGGGTTGCCATCATCATTTTCGTCCATTAAAGTTTAGATCTATACCTTGGGATCTATAAGAAAATGATAAAGTCGAGATTCGTGTGTGTATAGATGCTCATGCTTTGGCATACGCCATCCATGGCTGCAAAATTTATGGGAGAAATCTCTCTAACTAAGGCTGGTACTCGCTATCAAATGGGGTTACAAATTGTGTACACTACTTGCCGGATTATACACTTTCTTGCGTTTGAATTCGTTGGCAAAGGCCGGCCCTATAGAGTTAAAGCAACTCTATAGCTTACAAAAGGTGTCCGACCAAATAATCACTCTGGTGATTTAGTCACGTATACATGGAAAACTTGAGAAAACGCGAAGACCTACCACATACTTCTATGATCGGGTTGGAGGTATTCACTTCTTGGTTTGGCTCAAACGATGCCAAGGCTAGAACTAAAGGTATACACACGGCTGCATTTGAAGCTCGTCTTTCTTTCTCGGAAGTGATGGATTTTAGAATCTTTCGTGGATACCCTCGCGACTCCAAAATAAAATGCATGTGCAATGGGCAAAGTGAATTCCGCTCAAAGGATTCGATATACTCAGATCGTAGACGGCAAACATGAGCTCGTGCTTACCTAATAAGAGAATCAAACAAGTCTAATCTCATGTTATTCAGGATAATCGAAATTGTCAAGGGAGGCCGTAATCAGCTCCAGGAACTTATCATCCGAAAACCTCACCGAAAACTCCATGTTCTGAGAGTCAACAGCACTTTCATCTTTCGAAGCATAATTCCATAATCACAAACCTGATGGACTCGCTTCACCTTTCGTAGATAACGATGACGCATGAAAGGCAATCTTGACCACTCGACGAACGACTCGAAGCATACGGTTTGGAAAGAAAGATATCAGCAGAGCAGGTCAAGGCGTAAGATGCAGAGATGAGTAATCAATACAACAAACAGATGGCACGAACGAGAACCGTATGACCGGCCATACAACCATCAACAGATTCCGAAACAAAGCCCGTATAGATATATCTCCCGGGCATTATACACGGAGGCGGCCGCTGGAGGGTTTGAATTGCGACTCTCGTACGAACCGATCTGCCAGACGCCCCCGATCGGAAGATTGGGTTCCAATTTGTGCTGAAGTTTCTATCTTCTGGCCGATTCTATCACACATCATAATAACGCGACAGGCATGGGGGAAATCCGAAACTGCCCCGGGGCTTTTCTGTCAGCGCCGAAGGGGCCGAAAGCGAGTCCATGATTTTCACTCGTGGCGCGCCTGTCAGCGCGAAGGCATAGAACATGCCATCTAGCGCCCAGCGGTCCTTCGAGGCTGCCCTGCCCTGCGCCAAGTTCAAATATTTAAAATTTGGATCGTTTGCCAGCGCAACCGCCTCTCGGCAGATGGGCTCATAACGTACCCCAACGAACGTCGGAGCCGGTTATAAGCGCCGGATTTTTTTTTAATTTTTTTTTGGCGTTTGCGGCGGTGTAAGTGGATCTTGCGGTGATCGAGAATTCGTCGTCGTCGTGATTGTACCATGACGACGACGAATGCTCTGCCGCATTGTTGCATCTTACGGCGTCCGAGGAAATACCGCTTCTCGTGGGACGGGAGCAGAACGATGTGCGGGACGGCAAGCACTATTGGGGCCTAAAACGTCCGGCCGGAAACGACCAAAGCGCTGTTGCCCGCCCGCTTTTGGGTGTCAGGAACGGACGTGCAGGGTTTGGACATTTCGGTCCGGCGCGGATGGAGCGGGAGATCGTATTTGGAGGGAAAGGAGTTTGAGAGCAGCTGAGGGGAGTGTGATGATCGACGGTGCGATGCGTTGGATCTGCGGACGAGGACGAGGACGAGTGGCAGCAGCCGGCGGGCAGCGCGAGGAGGCTGGTTCGCTGCCCGGACCTTTTGATGACGGTCGGCACCTGCTGACGGGGCTCGCTTTATTCACCCTTTCCCGGCCCTGACCGCCTGGCCACCGGACAGCTCTGCCGCTATAACTACTACTACGACGACGACGACGTCGTCGTCTGGATGTCGGTGCGCCTAACAGCCTCACCATGGCGACATTTGTTCGTATAGAAACAAAATGCTCTAATATATCCTAAGGATAGCGGTCCCCACGACACAAGCATTATCACAAGCTTCGAGTGTGTTGGTGGTGATCACAGAGAAGTGTTGGGCAATTAAAAGCACAATAAAACCAAAAAATTAAGGTAACTAAGAGTAGGGCGGTGAATGAGCTAAAATTCAAAAGATGACAAAATTATGAAATCCGATGTTCGGTCACTGGAATTAATGTTCCCGCATCCAGGAAAACATAAGAAAGTAAATAAATGAATGTCAGGCCTTACGTAACGTACGTTCCCTGTTCGGATTTACGATGTTCCGGTGGATTTGCCGTTAAATAGCCCTAGTACTGTACTGTACCGCTACCACTGTAGTCGACCGGTTGGTGTTAGAGACAAACCACACCCCGACCACGAGACTGTAGCCGGTCTTCGGAAGGCCGGGCCGGGCCGGGCCGGTCCCAACTCCCGTCTATCGGAAGCCGTAGATTCGTCAGATATCGCGCTGGTGCTGGAATTAAGCCGCGATTCTGAGTGGGCGCAAGCCCGACTCGGAAAACAATCTCGCGAACGGGGATCGCACAAAGTTAACCAGAGTTCGCAATCTTCTCGTCGAATCCGGGAAGACTATTTTCCCGTCCCCATGTGCACAGCTGCTTTCGCTCTCCGGCCTCCCTCCCTCGGTCCACCGCCTGGGCTCGTGCGGCGTCCCGGTCACCGCTTTTAATCGTCACCGCTTTTAAGAAAAGGTTTGTTGCCGCAGTTTCCGGACGCTTCGAAGGGCGCGACGGAGGCAAATAATGACGGATCTCGTCAACGCCTCGAGCGTCCGTCAGTCCGCTGATCTGCCCTCGGACCTTTTTCGTCCGCGGCGGGAACGACCTTCTTCCACAGATTCGCGACTCCAGCCTTCCCCTCGAGTACAATATACAATCGTTTAAGTTCGCGAAGTTTATAATTATCATAAATCAAACATGGTCAATTAGTTCGTGGATCGATGTGCTGAAACACGAAAAACAGTCCCTTTGCTTGATAAATCTGTTCCAAAAATAAAAGAACATGTTAATTCGGATACATTAACCTTGATAATATTCATCATTGTGCGAAAAATCATATAAGTTAATCCAATTGTGACCAAGTTTAGATTCATCTTCTTTGGATTAGACATAAAATATATTGATAATTTTTATACGATGAAAATAATTCAGAAATTAGTCATTCCCCTCAAGAGTAAAATTCTAATGCCCGTTCATTGTATTAAATAAACTAACCAGAACTTACTTCAACCCTTAAATCTTCTTTATATTACTAAAGTCCGCACCAACCTTCGCAGATTAGATCCCACAGACTGTATATACTCTACACAAACCCCACGTCGCCGAACCAGATATCCGGAAATTTAGGTCTCGCTCCGTGCCGTCGCCAAACCGGCCACGCCGTAGGGACGTCGCTGGCTCGGTGGGCAGGTGTTGGCACATGGCACATGGGAGCTGATGACTATTGGTCGCTGGCGCGCTAGGTCTGGGGTCGCAGAGCGCAGCGGGAGGAGCGTTTTGTCGTGGCTCGCAGGAGGAACACGCGTCATTCTTTGGCGTGCGTGACATTGTGGGGAAGCCCGCCTGCTTCTTAAGCCGCTGCGAGCCTTTGTTCGAACGCTGAATTTCTCAGCAGCCGAGAGTCCGATACAGCCCACGAGCGATCGATCGAGCGAGCGAGCGAGCGAGCGAGGAAGCGCAGGCAGGAGGAGGAGGAGCTCAATACGAGGACAGGCTTGCAGCATTCTATCCCACCGCGCATAATGCGATGCGATGCAGGTTAGGTTTCGGGTCGGAGTGCGCGAGTCGGAGATGATCCGCGGTGTGTGGGAGAAATGCTGAGAGGTGCATTTCGACGGGGAATTGAGGAGTTTATGGCTTCCACCTTGAGGGGAGGATGAAGTTGTGCGTGCGTGTCCGTGGGTCCGAGGTTTCAAATGGTGGGTTAGTCTTGGGTGTCGTCGGAGCTGTGTTTCATCGCGAGCGCGTCGAATCGAGTTTGCAGCTGTCGTTCCTGTGAGCTCTTGTGCGGGAGCATCTTGTCACAGATGGTGTTAGGTTTGGTATGAAGCACGTCCTTCACTATGGCACCTCCAACTCCATCTGCCTCCGTGTCCGTCAGTGAAGAGTACAGGATACTGGTCGATAAGTCCTACAGTAAGTTTTCACGATTGCGAGAGTTTCCTCCGTTTGGCCGAAACAAATGGGACACCTACTACCATAAGGCATTTCAGGTGTATTCGAAACTTTGGAAGTTTCAACAGGAAAATCGGCAGAAGTTAGTCGAAACAGGTTTGAAGCGATGGGAGATTGGGGAAATTGCGTCTCGAATTGGGCAGCTGTACTACAACTATTACCTGCGAACCAGCGACTCCAAATTCTTATCTGAATCGTACATTTTCTACGAGGCGATCATGAGTCGCGAATACTTCAAAGACACTGGGAAAGATACTACGCTGGCTAACAAGCAGCTCAGGTTCTATGCGCGCTTCATCGTCATTTGTTTACTGCTGAATCGGAGGGAGATGGTTCACCACTTGGTCCGTCAGTTCCGAGTCCTCGTCGACGATTATTGCCATTCCTTTCAGGTGTGATCTCACAGTTCCAAGTTCTCATGTTGGTAGAGATTTCTTCTGAGAGTGTGCGCCGTTGTCTGTGAAGTACTCGGTACTCAGATAGTACACAACTTGGATCCCGAGCTGATTTTCACCGACCAAAACTGCAGGGTAATGATTCCAAGGAGTGGAAGCTGGTTGTGCAAGAAATCATGCGATTTATGAAGGCAGACGCTCCATGTGACACCAGCAGACCCTTGCGATATAGTGTCCTACTCGATCCTGCAATTCTTCCCGAGGTCTCAAGCGCGGAGTCTGGGAAAAGTTTACGATTACAGGACGCAATTCTCGCAAGCTATTATCACAACGAGGTTGTTGCTCGTATCCTCGGTTGTTTTGAATTCACCTATACCTCTGCTCAACTTCGTTTCTCACCGTGGAGTTGTCCGCTGACGTAAAGAATCTCTTGCCAGGTGAAGTTCAGCGAGCTTACCCTGGACACTTTCAGAATGCTCCAGTCTCTGGAGTGGGAGCCTAGTGGTACGTTGTACAGGACGAAGACTGTCGACACTGGCAGTGCGTCTGGTAACGGACCAACTTCGTTGAACAAAGGCAGTCTTCAGCTGCAAATACCTGATCCAAGTTTGCCTCCCAATCCCCACAAGTATATCTTGTACCGGCCAACGGTTCCTCAGTTACTCCTGGTATGTGGACCCTAGTTGTCCATCCTGTCAGTAGTCAAGTCATCTCGCTCAGCGTGGATGTTTGCATAAGAGCAGTTTATTTTGATGATAATTTTCTCATGCGATTCTACAGCCGACTTCTAATGCCTGTTATCTCTTATTTGCCAGGCATTGGCCACGGCATGCGAAGAGCTCTCCTCCGACTCCATCCTCCTGCTCTACATATCTGCGTCAGGTAAGCAGGGCCTGCGATCAGCTAGGAGTAAGCCCTAGAAACTCCTCAGGAATTAGACCATGGTCAGTCATAAATTGCTGTGTATTAATTATGTGCACTAAGCTCAAAGGAAACTCTTCGCTTGAAATTTTCCTGACACTTGTGTAAGCGGTCGTTGCACATGCCGGCGTCAGGGCCTGCATGCTGTGAGCAACCTTAACGATGTATACCATGATACCCTGCACTGTGATTTCTGTACATAATCTAAGCTTAGAGGTAATTCTGTGCAGGAAAGCCCCCTCGCAGTTCCCACACAGGTAATGCTGGTGCTTCAGGATCGGATTCGCACTTAGATTCACCAACTGAAGCGCCGAAGACTTCAGGTTCTCATGATTCGTGTATTGAGCCTGCGCAAGAACAAAATGGAGTTCTGCCTGGTTCTCACATCAGCAGCCCTCGAAGTACTGGAGATGTTGTACCGGGTATCAACTCTGGTGGACTGTGGTTGGGTGGGAAGCGAAGTGCAGGTACGTTTTTCACCGCAAGGCTGTCTCTAGTTGTAAATTTAGACTTTATATGAGTCTATGTCGGAGGAAATTGGTCTGAACGTCGAAGCCAGGCATTGATTTTAGCTGATGAATTCTTCCTCTTTGGATATTGAAAATGTGGACCGAGTCGAGGCTGATTAGAAGTTGAATTCTAATTTGCATCCTTTGATAGGAACAATGTCAGGCGATGTTGTGCATTGTGATCCATTCTGCCAAGGCCCAGTTTCTTTCATTTCACCAGATTAAGTGTTTTACCAGCTATCTTTCTCATCTATTTTCTGTACTTCGGTAATGGGACTTCAGAGATCCTTACTGGGATAACATCTCCATCTCAGGGTCGTATGTCTTTGCACTCTTGTTGCCTTCGAATTCGTTACTTGTAGCTCTAGACATCTGACGATGACCGTCTGTTCTGATTGTTGGTGTGGCGTACCTTCCACAGGTATCAATTTTCTGTATCCGAGTGACCTTCTTCCGTTCACGAGGCGTCCTCTGGTTATTGTGATCGACAGCGACAACAGTCCTGCCTTCGAGGTAGAGTGTACCCTATGTTCACTTTACTCCATTCAAATGTTTCGTTTATAGCTGTGACGTGACTTCTGTCTCTATCTGTCTGAAGTTCTTGACCGCACTTTGTACTTTGTGTACCGAGCTAAAGACGTTATCCACTGCACTCCACGGCACACTCGTGGAATGGTCGGTCTTCACCTGCAGGTTATTAGTGGCCAGGAAAGGGGAGAATCGGCAGCCCTGTTGCTTTCACCGACCCTTCAACCAGTCGATGACAGAGGATCAACAGCCACTTCGTCTTCAGCCAACGGCGGAAATTTGTTCTCATTTTTTCTGACAGCACCTTTATTGGCTTTCTGCCGAGTCATCGGTGTAAACTCATCAACATTACCGCCGGTCAGTAGTAATCCACCCTTTGTTTGAGTTGATGGCCTTTCCAGTGAAAAACTGTGCACAGTATCTGATAATACCCGCTCAATTTCATGGAGACTGCCTCTTGAACAAAGTTGTGTGTTCTGCAGGGTGTTTATGAGCAATTGGAGAAGCTCGTCTCACAGCTATCATCTCAATGGGGAGATCACCTCGCGTCATCATCGACAATACACTTTACCTGGTCACGCATCCTGAATGACTCCTTTCTCCGACAACTAATTTTCAGGTACTTCATATCTCTTTCATATCTATTGGCTAGACAAAGTAGGTGCGCAGATAAGTTGGCAAATCTGTGCTTAAATGTGAGTCGATTTATCAGTGGTGTTGATCCGGGTAGTTTTTTTCCCATTTTCTGTAGCGCAACCATCGGTTTAACGTCTGCATGCAACCTGACAAGCAGCGACTGTGTTACGCAGGTTTGCCTTTTGTCGAAGTACTTTCTGCCTCCACACACTCTTTCGCAACAAGCAGGAGTACATACCACGCTGCCTTCCAGTCCTGCCAGAAGAGGCATCACCAACTTCAAAGATTCTGGAGACAGGAATCTTTAAGTTAGCCACGAGGCTTGGTGTGATAGATCAATTTGTGTTTACAGGACCTAACGCCCACACCAACGGGGCTGTGAAAGTTAAGGCGCAGTCTCCTCCCTTGAGCGCTAGAAGTCAAGCGACCAGTACCGGAGGTGACATTTCAGACGGGAGCTGGTCCGATTCTTCCGAAGTAGTCGGAGGAACGAAAACTGGTTCTGTTATCGAAGGTAGGTAGGTAGTGAAGGTAGTTTACAATGCCATGAATGCCAGGCGCACGGTTGTGATATTGTACCCTTAGATTTGTTCTACCGGAGTCAGCTTTGAGATCGGTGAGCAGGACACACTCATCTCCTTAGTTGTGCATCTTAGTTGGCCTGAGATTGGAATCAATGTCTTGGATGGAGGTCGCTCATAATCTTGGTACTCTACCGAATCATTCTACAAGTGGCAAAGAAAGGGGTCATCAAGCTTAACACATCAGGTATACTCATCGATTGGCCCCCGCGAATCTTAAGCAGTTGATCCAGCTGCTACATCCTTACCTCATTTTTGTAAGAATGTAACATGTGCAACTTTTATTTAAAACTGTAACTCTGAAGTTGCAACCTTCGGCTTAAGTTTGTAAACCCATAGCGTACTGCGTGGATTCGATGATCGTGTGTCTAGTCCCACTTCTGAGTTCCTATTACCCAGAGATAAGAGGAACTTGCTTGAATTTACACCGTACAGCACTTACGTAGTGTACATCTTTATCCACGTCAGGTGGAAATTAACTGGAAAGAGTAGTCTCTGTCCATTTCTCAACATATGCTGTCATCTACTGGCTTACGCACAATACATTCTCAGTTACATTTGGTGTATACTTATTTGACGAGATTGAAGCCTAATTTTTGAGGTGCAAATTTGAGCACTCAGTACTCGTTTGGCCCATGACGTAGTTTAGATGGTGTCTATGACCAGCTTGTGACCATTCATAGCTTTTTCCAATCAAAAATTGTATTTGGACAAGTGGAGTATGGTTCACTTGATTACGTTCTCTTGGTAAGAACTTCACCAAGAGCTGTGTCAACTCAGCTCCAACGTAGCAAAGAATTTAAGTGAAGAAAATTCGCACGAAATCTATCAGGTGAGAACATATAAAGATAACTTTACCATATCATATCGCAGTCTGAACATGAATCTTACGTAGCATTTAAGCCTCGTAAAATCATTTCAAGTACATTGCTATTGTCCAATGTTTGTACTATCTAATCTAATGTGGATTATTATTGTTGGTTCATTAAGTACTTCGTCTTTGTCCCTGTGATCCACCTACCATCTAGAGCGCATCTGCTTAAAGACTTTTGGGTACAAAACCTCCTTTACGTACACCTGTGTAAGCGTGCATCCCAGGTAAGCGCGCACAGTTTTCTCCGAAAAGTGGGGATGAAGATTGATTTAATTTAAAACGTCATATATTGTCATTATGAGCAAGTTTTGAATATTCTTGTAATTGAAAATCCATTTTTTGTTGATAATCCTCATCTGCCGGCCTATTAGTTTAGTTAGAGAAAACTACTTAATGGACACATGTTATTGCTTGATAGGACCTATATAAATCCATATAACACCGTCACCAAGTTCTAAAAAAAATTCTCTACGATCTCTAGAGTGGGGAAGTGTTCACCTGGAAGTTCCAAATTTCAATCTATCTTCCTTTTTCTGTGACCAGCTCTTCGTATGACTTTGAGATCCTAGCACTAACTTCGGATTGGATCTCAATTCAATATGCTCGAATTCCATTCGAAATTGCAAACTGCAAGTAGATGTTCTTTCCAAGAAAGAGTTCTCTCAAAGTGCAATTCTTCGCTAACAGAAAACAATGTGCGAATTATCGTGGCTTCCCGAGATGATAGCAACTAGAACTTTTATCGTGCAATTGATTGTGGTTTACCAGAGACGATTGCAATCGTTAAGCATGGAGGGTCTTATCAAATTACAAACTTATCAATGACTATTTGAATTAAGTGCGTAGAGCAGCTCGGTGTTACGGGACAAGACGATTGATTATACTACAGAAGAAGACATAGTTCCAACCTTTGTGCTCTTAAATGCTCTTTCATTTGCTAACATCCACTGCAATCCGAGGTTAGTGTTGAGACTAGTGTTCGCATTCGCGTTGATGTCAAGGTAATTACAAGAACTTTGTGACGGTGTGAGGTTGGTGGGGTTTCGTTAAAACGAAACATGATAGGTTCCATCAAGCAATTTGTGTTTCGATGAGATTTCATCAAATAATTTCCACGTCTAGTGAGTACGCCTAAATACCTAAATTAGCATGTCTAATGAGGCACCTAAATACCTAAATTAGCTTTGTTTAGTCGCACCAAGAAATCATTGTTTAGACGATGTGTAAATGTGAACCTTATTTAACACTTTGAGTGCACATCTGTGCTTGAATTGTTCAATAAACATCTAGTACATTGTACTCCTAATTAGCATTCCAAAACCTTCCCAAATGTCACTCCAGGTTTCCAATTCAACCATGTACAGCAATCCCCATATAAACATCACTAGGGATCAATTTTGTTCAATAGACAACTACTACATCAAACCCTCCTAATTATCATTCCAAAATCCGTTCAAATGTACCTCAGGGTCTCCAATTCAACCATGAACGACAAATTCCATATAAACACCATACACATACTGATATGCAATTCTTTATATCATACTTGGAACGTGGAATATGTTGTGAACAGCAATTAGTTTTTTGTCATTGTTGACCACATTAACATGATTTTCAAAGTAGTCTATTGGCGTTGAAGTTTTATCATGTTTTAATAATCTCCTTGGAAATTTACAAAAGTGTAGCTACCAAATTCAAACCTGAAAAGTACAAACAAAACTCGTAGAGCAATATCATTAAAACATTAGGCTATGATACCTGAAAGACAGAAGTTTAATATATTCACAATATAACTGACTTTATTGAGATAAAGATAACTATATTTTTTATTACAGTGACAAAAAGTTAGAACTAACGTTATTAGGATCAAATATACGAGATTGAGTAAGAGATGCAGTTCTAAAGTTAGAATTAATGTTATTAGGTCAAATATACGAGGCAAGATATATTTGTACAACATCTGCAGTGGAAAAAACTGTTGTAAAAATAGTAGCTAACAACGGAGCATCTTCCTCTTCGATCTCTAATCTATCCTTGCAACACTACAATATGGCTTCATACTCAAAGTGAAGCCATATACACTTAGACTTAGCCACAAAACACCTCCCATTCCTCACAATAAACAGTCATAATGCGACTCCCACACAAAATAGAATGGAAGCATAAGTACTCGCACCGTTATGATATAGTTTAGACGTTGTGACATACAATCGCCAACATTAAGCAAGCCGGCTCATCTGGCATTGAAAGGTTGTACTTTTGTAATAGTTAAACTAAACTAGCATGTATGTACCATATTGTATACATTTCATATCATATTGGACAACAAAAACGTCCATGTCGTGTAAAGCTTTTAGTAATTCACAATTGTATATGTTGACTTCATGATACTCTCTAAGAATCATCACCTTTTAGCTTTAGAAAAATCTTCTCCCTAAGATCATCATATGTTAAGTGGAAAACTTTTTACAATTTTCCTTCCTTGTCTCATACATTTTTTATAGTTTTTTTACTAACATTGAACTTGCAAGCTAGAGCTTTTTTATTGGAAGTATCAATATTTCTCAATTTATTTCACATTTCTGGTAATCATTTAGTAATTTAATTTTGGTTTTTTGACATTGCAATCAAATCCAAATATTAAAAGATGATTTGCGTAATTAAAAATTTTGTCATTAAAAATTTGAATAACTTACTAGGTAATGTCTGTATAATTTTTGTTCAAGTTTTAAACTCAGAAAGACATCTCAAAGTTATGTACAAATCTCTTAAAATTTTACTAAATTATTGTCAATAGGTTTTTCCTATGTTTTTTCTGAAGACTATAGAATTTCAATAACTATTTGTTGATCAAAACGAATATGGGTTCATTTATATATAATCACTTCAATATTAAATATTAGCAAAGTTAATCAAGTTTCAGATTTTCCGACAATAATTTTGACAACTTTTTCCATTTTTATTAAAAAATTTGCGTAAATACGCGACTACCGGATAAGTATGCACAATACTTCCAATATCAAGTTGCGTATTTAGTCAGGAGACACTATACACAAAGTTGTATGTAAGGTAAGCATTGGTCCAATGCGTACCTTATCAAAAAATTAGAGATCTCATATTTTTAGTTCAACATTTCATGAAACTTCAATTGCCGCAAGGTTTTGAAGATTGTTGCCTTTGATTTACACTGACATTTCGGACTTTACTAAATAACAGTTTCAAAAAACTTTCTAAGATTTTTAGATTTTATTTCAAATTCTTTTCAAACTTTGGAGAAGAGAAAGTGTTTTTTAATCTCAACAACTTGCTTGTAAAATGATTTAAATGACCTAAATAAAAGTATTTTTTCTAGATTTGAATTTGGCTCTTGAGATATAAAAATATCATCATCTTTATAATCGTTGAACATCTCTTCAATCATTTTCATTGTCTCCAAAAATTCTTCAATGTCCGTCAAAGTTGAGGTTGCAAATATTTAACTCTTTTCATTGTCCATGTGAACAAAACCTTTAGGCTCTTTTTGCTCAACATACAGATTTAAAGATGTGATAGTTTCTGCAACTTCGGTCAGTGAATATTTCATCTTGTTCATTCTTTCATGATCGACTTCTAACATTTTTATTTCTGCCTCCACAAATGCATTTTTTATAGAACTTGGTGACACGAACGAACAATGTTTATTTGATTTAACTCCACCTTGAACAAATGAGTATGCAACTCCAATAGCATTGTGCTTTAATCTCGGTTTATTTTTAGATTTGCTCTCGTTTGTTTCATAACTTTTTATAGCTACTTTTTAATATCACTAACGACATATTAGCCCACTAGAGCAATTTTACTTGAAGCATGCATCTTTTTTAGATTTTTCATGATATCGCATCGCTAAAACTCATTGATGAATTTTCCGTCCGATTCTTTAAACATTGTAACAAGAATAGACAATTAAGAAGTAATGTTTCTAAAGCACGCAGCTACCAAATAAATACGCTCTATATTTCCAGGTTCAAGTTGTTTACTTTAGGTTTCAAGTTGTTTAAATTACAGATCTAATTAAACTTTTATGATATATGTTGTAACATAATACATGCACAAAAACTATTATGTACCTTTTTTCAATAGAGTATGTGATCATCTATGCAAGTAACATTATTTTTACTAGACATGACATGTAAACTTTAAAAAAATTGTTTGAATTAAAATAATATGCTACAATTTTTGAATTTGAAATTATATCAATATGAAAAAAATGATTGAAAATCTACAATAGCAAGTGAAATTTATTTGATTTTTAAATGAATTTAATGTTTTATTGATATAAAATATTACAATTTTTTGAGGTTAAATTAAAATTTTTGTTGTGAAAATTCATGATTATGCATGAATTTGAAAATTTCACAATAAAAAGTGAATTTTTTTTAAAATTTAGACTTTTTACAATCTTTTATTGATAACTATAATGTACTTGTGAAAAAACTATAAAGAATTTATTGAAATTCATGAAACCTTTTCATAATTCTAGTATTTTATGCCTAGTGTATTATTAAGTGTGGTTAAGTCTCATAGGCTTAAGATTCAGTTCTCACTAGATTCAATAAAACGGTTGCCATGATGTAGGTTGACAATTGTCAATCTATGACTATTACAAATTTGATATCATAATTAGAATAGATAAATAAAGATTAAGAGTGAAAATACATCAAATTTCAAAAATAAGAAGAATTTGATGTTCTAGTATATTAAATAAAATATTAAAATAAATATTAAAATAAAAAATAAATTTTCATTTTGCATCACAAATTTTTAAATTTCATGCACAATCATTTTATCCATAGTAATATTTTTCTGCTGAAGTTCTCATTGTTCTCTTTAGCCCTCTTCGTACAGTTTTTTTCCAAAGTAAACGAGGTATTTAAATGTTTTGTTTTCTTCCAACTAACTCAAACTTTAAATATTATCCTAAATTTAATTCCTTAACATAACTTAAAAATATGAAATATTATTAGTGAATAATAAAAAAACAAGTTGGAAGAAACTATACTTAAGTATGCATATGATTTTATTTTAAAATGAATCGTAATAAAAGTAAGAATAATTCATTCCTTTGAATAAAAAATTCAAAGGAATGAATTCATTACAAATTTATAATATATATATATATTTATTTATTTATTTATTTATTTTTAAGACAAAAGTGATAACGTAGAACAGGTTTGGATGTTCTGATTTTATATTCTAAGTTATGTCGTAATAGTTTGGAAAATCAAAATTTGTAATTCGAATCTAATTTTATTTAATTAAATAGTAGTAGACGGTGTAAAAAAGTAGAATTTGTAATGTATATTGAAAAAGCTATATCATGTATTTTTTATTAATATTATCTTCAGTTCAATAAGAAGATTTATGTATTTGAGTAGTTCAATTGATAAAGTAGTACTCTAAATTTCTCATTATTCTTTTGGTCCTTTATTACAAATAATATTTGGTAAACTCCCTCATGATATCTATTTCGTCATATCAATATAATCATCCTACAAAATCAATGTCATTATGGTGTCTAATCACCTGACAATGAACAATGTATAATCTTTTGTCTAAGGCATAGTTAATTAAGGATAATACATTGTCTTTATAAACATTAACCAAGAAGCCTTCAAACTTTTTCCCACATTGCAAGCCCACGTTATGTACTTCAAAGTATTCCGACTGTCTGTAGACCTCTTCAAGACAACATTGACCCATATCCTTTGTCTATGGGCGAGTGTTTGTTGGTACATACATGTCTCTTCGCATATTTTCCACGACAACTCAGTACTAATAAACTCCACTCATGACCTTGACCTCATATCACAATATTTCGTTGCACGAATCCAATCGAGTTTAGCTCGATTAGTACATCCCAGTGAACAAAAAGGTGCGGAGAACATATATATCTATATTTATAAACAACATGACTCCACAGTAAGCGGTAATCCATATGACAAGTCAAAGAATGATCGAAAGCGTATTTGAGGAAATACCAGAAAAGTACCAAGATTTGTGCATATCATGCATGAAGCACTCACAAGGCCAATAATTCATACAGATAATGTTAAACTTAGGAGCGAAACTGGAAACATCTCCAAATGTTGATGTAAGAAGACAACTTCCATAGTCAGGGAACCAGGGTTCGAAGAATGAGCAGGCCATTTGATTCAAAAGACGGACGAGAGTCATATTACACTAATTTGTCAAGATTTGATGCCTAAATGAATTAGAATTCGCGATCTACCATCCCTCTCTCTAAAACCTGTAACTATGAAACTAAGTTGAAGTTCCCATTTTACATTTAATACAGTAGACAAACCTCTAAAGGCTACTCTGAATGACCACCTATATAATCTAGGTGAAACCTAACAGATAACATAGATATACAAGCTAAGGCCGAACCTCATCACGTACAGGAAGTAGTACAGTGGTACAACTTCTACTGCGTTCTGTGCGTCCAGAAAGCGCCAACAAGGTGTTGGGAATTACAAGCAATCCAGACTACGTATAAATACTTTGACTTCCAATCAAATTTCCCTTCTATCTATCCGAGGTTTGATTTTACAACCTCGTACTTGAGGTAAAGTACCCTTCCTTCCCAACATTCCTTCCTTCCATTGGTCTCCTTTCTCCCTGATTTAGAAGAAAGTATCACATCTGCATGACAATGAACAATTACGGGCAGTTCTGCTGGTGGAAAAGTTCCACAATCTCTACTGTCTTCGTCGGGATACTCATTCTGATCGAAAATTAGAACGGTGAGAGCTGGCTACACAAGTCCCGTACAACACACATAAGTGAAGTCTCCAGAACAGAGCCTGTTTTGACATAACGAAGCTTCACTCAGAACACATCCCACTGGTGGTTACTCCAATTTTCCAACGTCGGCAGCAACCGTCATTTGTATGCGAAGGTAACTTGTGTACTGGAAAATCATTCCCTTGTCTTCAAAATTTCTACGAGCTAGAACCCGCACAGCGCCGTAAGCCTCCACCCTGCAAACTACGCACAGCTACTCTGATCGCTCCAACCGCGCTCAGTTGCTTCATCTGTGCACTCAAACCACTACCTTCTTCCACCTCCTCATCTGCAGCCATGACTTGAAGTTGCACTCCAACATAGAAGGCCACCTGCCAGACATCAATTTATTGATAAGAACCTGATTCCACAATATTAGCTCGTACAGGAACAGCAGACTTAAAACTGTGCACATGAAACTTTTTCTCAATAAAAGTTTCAAATATGTCAGCCACATACCTTGCCTCCACAACTTCTTACTGGAGAAAGGTGCAACAAGTTCCAAAATGGTCGCCTGTCCTTCCTGTTTTAGATCGTTGCCCAATTAATCATCCACAATTTGCAGCAAAGTAATATCACAAAGAGAATCAATCATCTTCAGAGACAACTGCAGTCGCAAGAAATTTGCAGACTAGAGTAAGAGAACACCAAAATATTTTGGAATATCACAAGATCAAAATCATACCTGTAGTTCAGAATTCGTACTGAACAAGGTTTATCCTGTCTGATACTCTCGCGAATCTGAAACAGCATCGTAAACCGTACACGAAGCCGTAGCTTTTAATACCGAGACAAACTTTTATACGACCAGGTGCTCGAATGTGCAAAAAGCTTGCCGTTATAAAACAATAGATCAGACAAAAAGCAAAATCGAGTAGCTGCTTCATCCTAAACTCGAAAAACAAGACAACTTTTTACACCGTTTTAGATGACTGACGGTCATAACATTCCCCATGGACAATCTACAGATTGAGTCAGTTTAGGTTGCGTTTATTCACAAATTGTGAATTATGTCAGAAAGTTATCTAATTATACACTATTTTTTCCGTAAATAAAGTCTAAGATCACCTCAGATCCCCATTAAAATAAAATAAAATAAAATAAAGAAATCATGACGTCAATTTTAGTTTGATCGCGATGTTCGAATGTGGAATTCGTCTACGCTTACTTGAATACATTCGATACATTATAATCTACATGTAGACATCGGAGTCATTGATATGAACACGGCATTAATATGTCACTGCCTTGGGCTCAACGCAGCATCTGGCTTGAAGCCATCCAATTCATCATCCACAAACTCAAATCACTGTAATCTATGAGGAAACAAGCAATATCAAGAATAACTGCGACCAATTTTTTAAATCACCAAGCATACCTAAAGTGAGAAGGCTTTATGACTCTCGTTAAGTGACCACTCACCAACTAAGAAATCTTATGAAAACTGTTTGCGCTCGACTGGCTATTGCTAATGATGACATATTAAGCAGCTTCAAGCTAAGCCATGCTTGTCAAGAGGCTGATGAACGGAAGGTGAATAGAACCGCCTATTGCCCACGACATAGCTAAGCTAAGACCTGGTCCGCTTTTACGCCTAAGAACCGAATCAACTGAGATCTTGCCTAAATATTTTTAAGAATAGTCGGTTCCGGAAGAGAAGAATGAAAACGAGGATCTAAAGAAAAGAAAAAACCATAGGCTCTTGAATGTATTTATGGTGTGATCTATACTCAAAGAGTTCTTGTTCCCGACACCAAACTTAAGCAAGTACTCGTGAACAATTATTAAAAAATAAACTAATTTTGTTCTTCGATTCGAGTCAATTTTCCCTGATCATCCTCGCAGCAGCTACTGCTTGTTGGTAGTAAGGTATACACGCTTGACATTGAGCAAAAACAGCCAATATTCCAAAGCCATTTCACAGAACTGGACCTGAGTTGCTGAGACATGGACAAATTTGAAAAAGCGAGAACAGTACCTGCTCTACTGCGGCTGGATCAGTATCAGGACCTTGCAAGAACCTGCAATTTCGTCCAACGACCTCCTCTCGACTGTACCCTTCACGGACAGAAGAGAGAAGTTTAAGCCAAGCTTACGAAAATCAAAGTGCTTGACAAGGGTAAAGAAACTTGAACGCAGAAAAACTGTAAATTTCCTGTGAACTATTCTCACCAGTCAGATGTAGGAAAAGATCACTTGCATGAACGATCGGCATGTCTGGAAGATTCGGATCAGCCCTGCAAGCAACAAGAGATACAATTAACAGTGACATCAATGTGTATATTTCACCTTCTCAGATATGCATGGCCATGTAAGGAAAGATAAATGACAAACTATGCACTTTGTCACGGACACTTTATCTTAACCTGTCAAATAATCAAACCAAGGCAAGATAATTGGGAAGTCTAGGCTCATCTCCTCCGAACGTTCCACGAATATATACAATCGTAGAAGATCAGTCTGAAGGTCAAGTTATAAAGGACATGCTAGGAGATTGCACGAATGCATGTACCACAAATGCATGTACCATGATATTTAGATTTTTTTTCTCCAACACCTCTTCACAGAAGAGCTACCGCTGGCCTGCAACAAAACAACTGCAACTAAGGCCATGTATAATGGGCTAAACTTCATTCTCCACAGAAATTTGGCTTCTGCTTGGATCTTGTTTGGCCCATGGCCAATCTGGTTGCAACCTGGGTTCCATTTCTACTTCGTAGTTACAAAGAAATAATACTAGAATATTGGTCACTGGTTAATGCTAGCCTTGGCCGTATGCACCGTGCCGCAGGAAGCACTTGCTACTCGTATCAACCCTACTCAATTGAGCACATGAGTTACGACAGAGCGGAATTCATTCAAGCAGACCACAACCTAAGATGATACTGACTCACATTCGAATGATACATGTTTGCATTTCTCGAACGCTTAGTAGGACATCGCGGAGTAAAATTATTAAGGACACATCTGCGGATGACATAACCATTCTATTCCGAGTGTCCTTTTCGTTGAACAATTTCAGACAAAGAAAGAGAAACTTACAACACAAAACTCTGCTGAATTCGAGTCAGCGACAGCATCAAGGACGAATTCACAACTCCTTCAGCTGGGCACTCAGACAGCTGTTTACACCGCTTCTCATCTACTCCTTCCTTCCCTTTACTGGACGCTACCAGCTGAGATACAAGGCACTTCACGGCATCCGTTGCCTTCACTTCCTCCGTCCCTTGGGAATTGCCTTTGGAGTCTTCGGCAGCTGAATGCCGGCATGATCATCCAGAGACAGATTCGAGTTTCAGTAACACAGTGTGACCAGTACAATCACCGCCTCGCATTCAAAAAAGCACAACTCCCCCCAAATCCCGGCGCAGTACAGAGGAGAACGTCACATGATGACATATGAGCCGGTCAAAAGCAAAAAAAAGGAGCTCTAACCTGACGGACCATTCGCCGATAGTTGCTTGAAGCTCTCTGAAAGACAATTCGACACAGTCTTCGGAGTAATCAATAGCGGCTCAGAGACGGCATCATTTTCTACGTGGCTGCCAACTACTAGGGAGAGCTTTTGAGGAAGGAGAGTTTGCGAGGACACTAAACAACTAGGAATATTATCCGTGGAAGCTAACTGGGGAGAAATGGGAGTTTGGACTCCAACAAAATGGATGACGGTTCCATCTGCTTTGGAAAACACGGGGGCTAAGTGAAACAGATTCCAGAATGGCCTTCCGTCTTTAGTGTAATTCAAAATCCGCACTTGAGCTTGTCGTTCTTCACGAATGGCATCTCTCAATTCGAGCACCGTCCGGCGGTCGGTGTCAGGACCCTGCAAAAATCGACAATTATGCCCAACGACCTCGTCCCGAGAGTACCCGGTCATCTTGAAAAACCCCTCGCTCGCGTACACGATAGGATTGTCAGGCAGACGCGGATCGCTAATCACAAAACTAAACTCATAATCCTTCAGGGCCTCCCTGACGGTGTCGGCGTACGTATTCCGCATACTCTCCACCAGCAGATCCATACTTTCTTCCTCCTCGTCAATCTTCAATCCCATTCCCATCACGCGGCTCAGCCCCTCGAAGGAGCCAGCAAATCCTCCGGCGCCTTGCGGCCTCTCGACCCTCGCACCGCCGCGCCTCTTCTCGCCTCGGCGCAATCGCTCTCTCAAATCCTCGCTCCCTCACGGTCCTCAGCGGCGGAAATTCTCCCAATCGCAGCGATAGTGGTCTTCCATAGCTCGCTTCCTTCGGGGCCTCGGGACGCCGACCGCACGAGCGCTCGAGCAATCGATCGATCAAGCGAGCGAGCGAGCGATGAAGGAAAGGTCTGCACGCTGCAAACCCGGGATTATATGCCACCCGGCTTCCGGCCGTGCGGATGCGTGCGTCACCGCGCTTCCCCGGCACCGGCGAGCTCCACCGCAATTTGCACGCCCCGACGCGTCCACGCTGGACGTCAACACATTCGAGCCTATCCAACTGACACGTCTGCACCGTCAGTGCAATGAATGCGTCTGAATCCGACGCCGCAACTTGCTTGCCCCTTCCCTTCGAATCCTCCCTCCCTTTCGCGTCCCAGCCCCTCCGAATCTTGCCGCTGGATTCGACGATGACATCTTCATCGGAAAATCCCCGAACTAGTTAATGTCTTGGATTTATTCTACCTCCTTTCCTTTCGATTTATTATGGGGCCTGGTCCGATCGTGTGAAATAAAACAGAGCCCTGCTCGCTCTGGGCACCCATTCCTCCAGGAGAAGAGAATATTTGTATTGACTCCAGTCGTCCAATTATGACGAGTGTGCCATTTTCCTTTTGCTCCGAGGGGAGGTGCATGAACTTCAAGTGTGAGGTTGCAGTACGTCAAGCGTGCGACATCATTACTTCCATGTCAAAAGATCGCATGGAAAAGTTCCGTGTTTCATTTTTTTCACCCAAAATTGTTAATTCTGGACTTAGCCTGCCATATAGAATATTTCACTTGCTCTCGTGACATTTAAGGTCATCAACAAACACCCGAATCAATTTCTGTACACATTTTGGATATGACGAGATAATTCGCAAGCAATCATAATACTAACTTATTCTATTGACCAAAAAATACAAACTCGCAGTGCGTCTAGACTCTCTCCAGTAAGTCTAGTATGTTCGAATGGAACTAAGACTTTCAAAACAAGGGCAGGTAATTGGGATTTTCTCAGATCGAGTTTGCTGAAACCCAATACTCTACTTCAGCCGAACCTGCTGCGCTTGATGATGAGAAGGACCTGAGCACCAGGCGGATGAAGTTGTGCTAGTCCAGAAGTCGCAACTTCTGGACTAGCACAAGATTGTACCATACAGAAGATTTAATTCGCTTTGGAGAAGAGCTTGATGTTTTTTGAGCTTGAACGACTTTGCACAAAAGGTAGGATGACCATAAAGACACACCCTCCAAAGTTTAATTTCAGCACGCATTTGAAAGTCACAGCAGTCAGAAGCCTGCAATTGGGCTGGTTCTGTTGGGAATATTGTCGAGTCAATGTCCACAATCAACGGCACATTTTCATTGCTATATATATATATATATATATATATTTTCACATATATAGTTTGAGATTTACACTCTTTGATTTAAACTTTGGATTTCATAATGAATCTATTCATATTCAAAATGTTAATTCAGTTAGAAGAAACATTTTGACCAAACAATTGACAAAAATTTTGTTTTTGGAGTATGGTGTCAGCGTACTTCATATCCGTCTATTCTGAAGAGATAAGCAGAGGAGAAGTTTCATAGTGCTACGGGAGAAAAAAGAAGAATGTAATACTTTTCTTGGAGGAGGAGAAAAAGTCGAGCATGTTTTGTGTCTACCTCTAGAACAGATTTTTGTGAATACGAGAGATTTAACCAGAAATCCTCTTGAGAGGAAGTAGCTCTAAAATTTAATTTTTTCACATGAGTGAAAAAAGTAAAATCTCTTTGTACAAACAACACAAGTTCAAATCTATATAGTGTGATAAAATAGAATTAGATGGGGTAGTAAGTGTTGACGAGCTAGATGATCGAGCAGCTTGCAAATCATCTTGCAGATGTTTTCTCTTTAGTTTTACGACTTAATGCCGATCGTGATATGGGACAATGATCAAAGAATGTTGAACAAACGGCCATCAACACATACGCAGATGTGCACGTCAAAGATTGACATGTCTTGATGAGTGATTCTATAGCCGGCAAGCAAGCACGTCCAAACATCGTGTAATTCAAGACATCCAACATGACTTGCATGTTGGCGTTGACATTAACACGGATTATCTTGCCGTCTTGTGATTGTTGAGGTTCATCAGTTTCTTGTTCCCAAACACGTCCTTATGTTTCTCGATCACAACCTACATTTACCTGAACTGTGAGAACGGATGTTGCATATGTGTATTAAGTTGTAGAAATATCCAAATAATTAATGATGATTAGTTAAAACATTGCTAAGTCTAGCTTGTTTTGACTACACTAGTTAATTACAACTAAGTTTAATTATAATATTTATATTTGTGGAATAATAAGCGGAACTCTAAAAAATTGGAGTGAGCATTTTTATTTTGTCTTTATAAAAGATTTCAAGATATTAAAATTTTGACTATTAGTGTTGAGTATGATTGGTTTGACTAAATATATGAAACATGATTGTTTAGATTAAATCTATTGTTGACTTATTGGCTAGGAAACTTCTAGAAGTTATAACGCTTGCAATGGCATGTTGACTCATCAAACTCAAATTCCGAAAACTTCTAGAAGATTTAGGTAGGTCAATAACATGTTGCCATATATAGTGGGTTAGTTAAACCTACCTAGAGAAAAATGAATTATGAGAAAATATCACATGTTACTATGGTGATTTCTCAAATATTATAAATAGAGAGTTAGAGGAGCGCCTTTGAAGTAAGTTTGGAGAGTTCATGTGTAGATAATTGTTTCATGTATGAAAGAATGACAATTTTTAGTATTTTGAAGTTTCGATGTGTATGTGAGTTAGAGTGATATATTGAGGGATTGTGTGAGAATGTGTTTGGGCTATGAGTATGAGGAGTAATCCTAGTCTTCTGGAATCATGATGAGCTATTGCAAAATCATATGAGATAAACCTCAGTGAAAGTCAGCCCGGAGGTTCCAGAACGACAAGCCAAGTGATGAGTGCTGTAATGTCAGATTGTATAAGATCGCGTTGTTGACCTTGACCACGTTTGAACGTAGACGGCTAATGGAACAACTTCACAATGTTGTTTTTAATGATGAAATCCATCTCTTCGTTGTTCTTCTCTAGCTCCGGCTTGAAGAATATGTTGCCAATGATGATCTCAATAATACCTTTTGATATGAAGATGATCGACACCGTCTGCATTAAGTTAAAATGTCAAAGTTTTGATTCTTGGATTATAATTTCAAGGCTGAATCTTATTCAAGTTTATCTCAAATTGCTTTGCGGTGGCTCATCATGATTCTAGAAATTAAGAATTACTCCTTCTACTCATAATTCAAACATCTTCTCACACAATCTTTCAATGTATCATTCCGATTCACATACACATTGACAATTCAACATGTTGAAAATGGTACTCCTTTCATATATGAAATAAGTCTCTACACTTAAACTCTCCAAACTTGCCTTAGAAGCTTTTCATTACTTCTTTATATATATTACTTGAGAATTTACCATTATAATAAATGATAATTTCTATGTGATTTACAAATACAAAGATAAACCATAGTAAATTTGACTAATTACCAATATGTGGCAACATATCATTGGCCTCTTAAATCTTGTAGACGTTTATAAATTGCTCGATTGAGGTGGCGACATGCCATTTGTGACTTTAGAACTTCTAGAAACTCCACTTGCCACTAAGTCAACATTAGATTTAGTTTGACCAATAAAGTTCACATTATTTAATTAAACCAATCAAAATTAAACATGAAATCAAAAATATTTTTTCTTTGAGTCTAAAATATTGTACAAGATAAAATAGAAATATTTACTAAAATCTTCTAGAACTTGTTTAGTTATTTCGCTAGGTATATACATTATAGTTTAACATAATTGTAATTTGATAAATTTAATCATACTTAGCTAGATTTAGTTATAACTAAATTAACCATGAATAACTCATTTACTATTACTATTTATATTTTCACACATATAACATACGATTTTACGGAACACAATTCCTAGCATTAAAGTTTTTTTTTTTTGGCTATAGTCTTGTACGAACCGAGATGACCCGCATAATTATTCTTGCAAAACGACGGATTCTAGCATTTTCTTGGTTATTGAAAATCTTGTATTAGATGAAATGATTAGGGTGCTACAACGTGAGATGACCTACAATGTTCTTTTTGCAAAATGATAGATTCCAATATTTGATGTTGATGGTACAATTGCACCCGCGAACATTGTCACAATGCTACTGTGCTTGGATTGTGTGATCTTGAAGCCTAATTCTAGCAAATGTTTTTGTTGAAACGACATTGTACAAGACGGTGTACCGCTGGTCTTCTTCTTCACGGTTTGCACCATGTCAATTTGACTCTGAACACGTAGAGGCAATCGAAGACATGGACATGCCAATTACTATGAAAAGCGATCAAACCAGACCATACACACTAGGAGCACCATCAATATCACTCCTTGGGGCCAATGTAAGTCACTTGTGAAATTTACTTATTTTAGTTTGACTCATTTTAAATTAGTCGTCTATTTTTTGAATGTCTAATTTTGTGAGGCTAGGGTTAGATAGAATTGTTTAGGCTCCGGCTCATCAAAACCACTATTGCATGGACTGAGTATCAATAAAAGAGGTGATTTTGCGTTGAATCATTAGTCTCAATAATATTACAATGCATTAAGTAAAAGTACAGTAATATGTGGTACTATTATCGAAAAAGAGAGTTTTACAATGGCCTTGTGTACAACACAATGAGATGGTATGAATATCGAAAATGTGACTCACACTCATTGAAGTAGGTAGATGCAAGGTAGTAGGGATGCAGTATCATCTGTAGGGTATTCGACCAATCAGATAAGTAGGGTGAGGACTACCTGAGGGATAACTAGCCCATCCCTTATTTTAATGAAGACTAATTCTCAATTCTTACGTTACTAGCAACTTTACGCCAGTCTCTTCACGTGTTCAGCTCCAACGGAATGCTCATGAAACTGCATCTCCCTCCGAAAGGACTATCTACAGGTCGAGGTCTACGATACAGGAAATAATCCGTGCTCAAAGGAAGATCATATATTCATAAGGTTCATAGTTATTCGTAGCGTCATTCAAAAGTAAGACATCGAGGCAAGAATGTAAACACCAAGCGAGCAGCAGCTGACTTTCATGTGGACATAGGATTTCCCCTCGAAAGGTAGTGGGAGATTTCCATCACAGATTGGTACCACCGAAATCAAATACACTTTTGTGTAATTCTGTAATCATAGAGGACTTTACTTTGAACTAGTACTCATCAACTGAGTAACACCTCTAATTTAGCTAAGAACTATACAATGAATCGCTATCAGATCCGATAATTTCTGAACATGTCGATGATGCGTCATCTAAATCACCTATACATTCGTCACCTTCTGGTGAACACGTAGATGCCGCATCTATATCACCTTCTTCCATATCCACTTCACTTACCTGTGAGCAAGTAGACGCTTCGTCGTCAACATCTTCAGCTTCCTTTTTCAGTTTGATGGACGGTGAGCTTCTAGAGGGCAAGTCTTGGGCTGGTACATTCTTCAGAGCAACTGTTCGTTCGTTCTTATCTACCTTCTCTGCGGTGGTTTTAGAGAATTTGGGAATTCGAAGTCTTTGTCTCCCATTGTCATTTTCATCGTCGTTCGAGTCTTCTGCCCACCATTCATGGTCTGAAGAGCTATGACTATCAGCAACGTCCAAAACTCTATTTCGTGAAGCTCTCTCGAGTCCAGCCCCTTGTGGAGTATTTTGACTTATTTCAGGCTCAAGTGACAGCGGTTCCTCCTTTACAACGTGTCCATTAGTGGCTTTCTCGTCTTCGCGTTGTATTTCATCGTTGTCTTGCGTTTGCATGGCCCGGGTACGGTGAAGGTGCGTTTCGGCTTTCAACGTGGCGGTCTCCTGCTCTTTCCTTTCATTGTGGCACTGCACGAGCTTCTCTTCCAGTTCATTCAACACCAACTTGAGCTCAGCTTTTGCCAGTTTTCTTGTCTGCACACGTTCGAAGGAATACGTTCAGTCCACATTAATATTCAGATTAGACCTTCAGACAGGGTGTGGACCCTCCACTGACGATGGAAGAGCAGACAAGTTGTGTAGCAAAAAGGATTATCATGGTATGAATTAATTAGTGGTTACTACTCTTACCTTAATAATCAGCGCCTTCAAATGTCCAAACACTTCGTCATCCCCAAGGGCATGCTCATAGAACTTGAATGAGTCTGACAGTTTCCTTAAGGAACTCTGAGTATAGTTCAATTGTGATAAGCAGTACGCAAGGCTTTGCCATTGTCTCGACTCTGTAATCAAGTAAGACGGATGTCAATGAGAACTTTGCTCCTAAGAAGTTTCTTCACCCGAAGCAGGGCACAGTGATTACAAGACAAAGATTGAAGACATTTAGAATGCCAGTGATAAGAATACAAAACCAAGATGAGAAAACATGAGAGATATCATGTACTGAGCGAGAGACAGTCTTTGGCAGTAACATACCAGATGTGCCTAAGAACCGATTGCAAAGTTTCTCGATGAGGCCCTCCATCTGCTTGCACTGTTAACACCAAACGGACAGGTCACAGGTTCATTAGTTCTCGTACGATGTGCGAAGAGAGTCCGAACAAATCCTGCACGGTCTGCGAAGAATAAACTAATGGGTAAACATAATTTACTTGGACACTCTTTTCAGCTAAATGGGTAGGTAGTTGGGCCGTAAACGACCGAACGTGTTAGACATGTCAACATCCAGCTAGAGCCTTGCCGAGCTGACCTCTCCCCAAGAAGCAACTATACGTTTTAACAATGATATACCAATCTATCAGAACTCATGTTCAACTCTATAAGGACCCTAGAGACTAACCTTTTTAATAGTGCCCATCAGAAACTGCATGATTGTGTAGAAACTATCTTGAGAGACTTCTGCGTTGCAGGATAGGCGACTCAAGATGTCTGGGAACAGATTATATATGGGGTTGTTACCTGCGAACATACGTTACCATGATGTTAGTAGGAGTAAGCGCATGTGGTTCTACGATCTAGCATATATTTCCCCTTCTCTCAAAAAGTCGTAAACTGAAACATTGAAAGTAAGCAAGAGATTCGAATGTAAGAGGAGATTTCTCCAACTGTGGGAAAAATCCATACAATTTAACGCATACCTTTTTTGGAAAGCTCGTGAAAGAAAAGTTTAACTAGATCCGAGATGCGCTGATCTTCATCCTCCACATGTATGGCCAGCTCACTGATGTGACCCTTCACCTGAAAGCAAAGAAGCAAGAAGACATAATCCCTTTGGGGAAGGATCCATGCTCATCTTAAACATTACCATCTCAGCAACCCAACAGAATGTGGTCAAAGAGATTGGTGAATAAACCCGTTAATTAGCGATTCTTATTTAAGTGGACTAGAAGTTGAGCTCATGACTGATTTTGACCACATAATTCGAAAGGAAATCAAATCTTCTTCGTCTTTTACTTGAAACATTATGGCTTCACTTAAAACAATGCATCGACACACTACCAGATTTCGAACACAAGACAAGAAAAACACATGAATGTCGAAATCAGATCAAAGATAAGAGTGATCTCTAACCTTAATCATGTCATTGAGGATGAGATGACTGAGAACCAGAACGGAGTTCTTACGAACAGATCCGGATGAATCATGAACTCGGGCATACATATGATCCAGCCATGGCTCCAGCAAATTTGGAAAACGAAGCGCGAGATCGCCCAGTGCAATCACACAGTTAGACCTTATGGCATCTTCCGAGGAATTTCGGGCTATTGTAAAGAGAAGCTGCAGATTCCTCTCACTGAAAGCAGAGACAGAAGTGTATTAGAAGACAAGCCCGCTGCTGAGTTAGTCAACGCTTCGTAGAATGCTCCTTAACTTCCTGCCATCTACGCAACGAGAATCCACGATCTGGGAGTATATTGAGACGAAGTTCCTGTCTATGCAGTCGGATCAGGATGCTTCCATGCAGTTCCATAATCTTCCCAAAAAGAAGCTCAGATAACAGGGGTGTAGTGTACCAGAAATTTGCGTCAATTGCCATGAGTTTACATAAGGCCAACACTGCTGATGATTTTAATTTCGGATTCTGCACGAGAAGGCTCAAACGTCAGGAGGTCGATGGTAAATTTTGACTTCCAGATTCAACTTTTTGTTCAGAAAGAAAACTGAACTTGACTGTGGCATAAACATTTTGTGACGAATCAGTTCCTGCAAATCTGACAAAAATTTCAGTTTAATGTAGGAGCTGCAGTGCACCTGTTGCAAGACGCCTGAAGCTTTGCAAAGTTTTACAACGATCGGGGCTATTGCTCCAATTAGGAACGTCCGGTTTTTTACACCAGACACTATTTCTTTCTCGGCTTGCTCAACTATGTCGTCAAGTTTTGCATCTTCTGAAGCATTTAGTCCCAGCTCTTTAGAAATGTTTTCTTCCTGGACAGAGAACAACTTTTTCAATATATAAACACGTTTTTAAGGCGAATTCTGATGAACCATCTGATTGACAGAGTAACATACAGCCTTTCATGATAACATAATAAAGTTTCCTTTCCAGAACTGCCCATCAGCTGCAAAGGTTTTGGGTAAGATGTGCAGAAGTGCAACAAAGGTATTTCTTCACATAGAAGCAGAAGTTCAGTATTACCTGGTCGGCGTGATTGACTTGCTCTTGATCCTCGATTTCCTCCAACTCTGATGCAGCATTTGCAGCAGCCTTCTCTCTATCCCCACGCTGTTTGCGTAGCCTTTTTACACAAGACTCGATATAAACGAGGTGTTTAAGAGCTATGTGTGCCGCAACAAAGAGAAAGCGACTGAGTTTCTCAGCGTTTATGGAAGAAAAGTCATGAAGTAGGGAAGAGTTGGATCTATTTGAGTTATCGGGAGAAACACCAGTTTGTTCTGAATGACCATTGTTTGTTGGCAGACATTCAAACACCTCTTGGGAGAACTTTACCAGGATCGTAGACGAAAAGGTTTCTGGCGTAGGATGCAATTCATATATGACATTAAGAGCTTGTTCTGTAGCAGAATATACGCAAACTTCTGGAAGGCCGGGTCCAATAATCAAATTGGACAAGATACTGAAGATTTTGTGACTTGCTCTGATGCTCATCCTGTCCTCTTCTGAAAGACGTTGAAGAGCAATACAAGCATAACGGGCGAGCATAACATCGTCCTTGGCCCATCGACCAAACCCAATATCTAAAATATTTTGTATGTTGGATCGTAGAATTTTAGCATTAGACTTTGCGGCCATGCACAATACAGCAAGCGCCCCACGGCATTGATCAGGTGTCACTGTTGGAGCGTTGAAAGTGAAGATATTCCACAAAGCAGATAGCTGCATCATCAAGGACATGCTGAGTCAACATTTCAAGTCCACAACAAGTACAGGCAGTGAAATCAAGCTGTTTCAAACAAGCACATGGTTTGCACAACAACATAGATAAGTACCGTGCCGGGCGTGATATCTCCTCTCATCATACTCTTTCCGACCAACGCCTCAATTGAAGCGAGATCTCCCAGACTAGCTTCAAGAGTTAGTTGGACAAGACTGGTAGCTATTTCGGACGGAGCACCTTTCAAATACAGGGTCTTGAAAGCGTCGTCCACAGCAATACTTATCACCAACTCCTGAGAAAACACCTGAAATGGCGAGATACAACCAGGCAATGAGATGGCAAGTCATACCATGTCACAAAAGTGCTGAGATGAATTCCACGGTTGGTAGAGTAACAGGTCACATCTTTTACTTGAACACGTTTCAAAATTCCGTTACAAAGCACAAGCCCGACGAAAGATGCATCAGGTTTGATGTAGACGTAAAAGTCAACAGGATTTAGCCCCTATGTGAGGGCAAGGATTTTTCTTAAATTGACAAGGAAAAAGGAGGCAGATAGAGGAGGTTAGAAGCAGAAAAAGGAGCGAATCTTACAAGGGGCATTATTTTGCGTATGCATAACTCCGAACCATCAACGTCGAACTGCCTGCAAACCATAAGAAGTTGAATCGCTCCATCAACGTCTCCAATCGTTGAGGAGGCTAGCAACTGCCCTAGCATTGGCATGGTAGATGCTATGCACTTGGAAAACCTCAGAGCTGCTTCTAGAGAAGCCACTAGTGCCCGAGTCTGCTCCAAACCACCTAATTCCGAGGCAAAGCGCGAACCAGTCGTAAGTTCTTCAGGAGCTGCCGTTTTGACGGCATCAATGTCATCCTCAACGGGAACAGATGCCGCTTGAGCATCAGGATCGTTGGTTACTTCCTCGTCATCTCCTTCAAGTCTTTCAACGGTGTCTTCAGTTAAGCTGGGATCTAGCTCCGTGCTTTCATCCTCTCTACGAGGATCCATAGTTCCTAACTTCTCTTTGTATTTCTCGTAGGTAGCTTCAAAGGCGGCTGTACGCAATTGGGGACCAAATGGGTTATACTCCAACAGAGTTCCGAGCAACTGCAGAGCACTTTTACGCACAATAGCTGCATTATCCTCAAGGCGGCCAGCTGCTAAATCTGACACAAGATTCCAGTGTCCGATTGAAACTGCATGTTCCTTGCACAGGTAAGCCCAAGTTCGAAGAACATGCTTTCGTGTGTGAGCAGATGTGTCTCTGCTTCTCTCTATTAAGATATTAAGCAGAGTTTGCTCATTTCGTAGACGAGAACCCTCATTGGATTCTGATTCACTTGTCTCTTTGATTGCTTTGACAAGAAGAGTTCCAATCAATTTGACCAGCGAGTTCCTCATTTTGTAAGACTTCCCATCTAAATGGCACATGAGGACGCTCAAATTCATGACCATGAGTTTAGGAAGCCGACCACCTAACTCCTCAAGGAACAACCCAACATTATCTGCCCCTGCATTGTCACGTTCAAAGTTACTGGGGTCAATCTGTCCAATCGCTCTCAACAGGTCAACTGCTAGGCTACTGGCAGCATACTGGTTCTCCGCCAGCGAAACGAGCTCTGCAAAAGGTATCGGTACGTGTTCATGCTTGTGTAGCATATGAATCATCGTAGCAACAATCGAAATTTGGTAGTTGTACTTGATTGCACTGGCAGAGATGATAACGTACAAAGCCTCTTTGCAATCCTTGTTCTCGGCTTTCTCCGTGATCTCTCGACTTTCCATCATCTTGAATGCTGCCCTAGTGTGCATCCCACCAGATTGCTGCTAAGTAAACAAGCTGTTGAGCAAGATATTACACTGCAGATCTTTGCTTTCGAGACCCTACCAAAATGGCATTTATGAATCAAATAGGTAGCATACTTTGATTTAAATTGTAGACGAGGAATGTGGTACGAGAAAAATGAAAATAATATCTTGAGTTATGACAATGCATTACTGACTCATCACTTGCTTTCCTCTTTAGGCAAGTGACGGTAAAATATGCAAATGCATAGCAAAAAATGCGAAATGAAAAGAAAGTGAGGATGGAATAAGCAACGTTGCGTGCAGCTTGTCGAGGGAAGAATTAGCAACATACTTGGCCAGAAACGCAACAAAATTCTCATCAACCTTTTGGGATTCGAATATACGATGAAGATCATTTTGGACAGCTCCGGCCAGTACTTTAACACAGCGAGTTCTTAGTGAACCCCAATCCCACGCTTGAGGTACATGTTTCTTCCGAGAACGTCCCTGGAAGTTGAATTGTAATCATCAGAATTAAGCCAGAAACGGAAAGCTGGACATAATTGTATATAAATGAGGAGTTTTGACAGAACCTTCGGAGCTCCACGAGCCACAGACATTTCAGCCGCTGGTTCAGAATCTGCTTCGTCCGTAGTGAGCATGTACATCAAGAAGTATGCGTATATTTGCACTGCATTGCTGTGTGATCGACATTGGTGAAGCAGGTCCAACGGGTCTTCACTGCAATCTTCAAGTGACTGAATAAGAATTGATGAAGATGCATTAAGCTGGACGAAATTTGTACACATGCTGTCCATCAACATTCCCCTCGCAGGGGGCTCCAAGTGCTTAAAGTCTCTGTTGCAATTCAATTCACCCATCGAAAGATCAGTAAAGGCATACAATGACCAAATTGTTTCCGACTAATCATCAGGTGACAACTTTCAAATTACTTGGTACAATCTTAGTCTATACAGTAATCTTGGGTCCATTTAGGAGGCGCACCTCACAAGCGAGTAGCTCTGATCGAACAGGCTCTGCTCTTCAATCGAAAGGACGTCTTTGTCAGCTAACTCGGTCGCCAAACCTGCGTTGTACCGGAACATTTGATAATTTGGAGTGAAACATTTCAAAGCAAGCACTCTCTCTTGGAAGTTCCGCCTTAGCGTCCAAGTCTTTAAACTGAAAAGCCATCTTCGACATATGTAGTTTCAGAAACGACTGTCGTCACATTGCTGACAGTGGCCAGATTGCGAAAATTCATGACAAGCGATCACCTTTCACAAGCTGATGAACCTCTCCGGGAGACAGATTCTCAACCTCCACAACTTCATGAACATAAAGAAAGTCTTCATCATCATCCGGCGGCCTCATCAAGTCTTCGATAGCAGCCGGGACACGAAATCGAGGAGCCATTGGCCTTCAGATCGGTCTCCAAATTCTGAAATTGACAACGCCTCGAGCAAAATTCCCGTTGACGAGGAATTGAAAGTTCCCGGGGATGAAATCAGCCTCTCGTCGTCACTGGAGAGAATGTCTCGCACCCTCCGCTCCGGGACCTCGTGCAAGAAGAGGCGAACCAGGCAATCAAATCTGGAGCATCCGAAGCAATGCTGCCATCGCCATCGCCATCTTCCGGGCGCAGTTCACGAGAGAGCTTCGAGCTGTACGAGAACGCCTTCGAAAACCGTGACCAGTTGCAGTGCTTTCGGGAATCCAGCGGAAAGCAAATTTTCAAAAACTGAACGTAAGCGCGGGAGTGAGAAAAATAGAGTACGCAACGCTAACCTGACCTGACTTGACCTGACCTGACTGTGGTGCTTCGCACACGTAACACTGGCCACAGAGGTTACTGCGATAGCTCTTCCGCAGTTGACTTTTGTACACGATGGAACTGGTAGGGTTGGCCACGGTCGGGACCGACGGTTAACCGGTTAACGATCGGGACCGGTTAACCGGTCCGGACAAAAATTTCCTCTGGAAGCAAAATCAGACCAGCGAGGTACCCAATTCGTGACTCGGTGTGATAAAATTCGCGAAAAATTTTTCTCCCGAATTGGTACATCTCAGCCCGAGTCTCTGAACTCTGAAAGTGGAACCGTGGGCTCATTTGAGTCGCGGCCACCTCTTTCCCTCCCCGGACGCAAATCCCCTCAGGGTCCGTACCGATAGTTAACCTGTTAACCGTCGGGACCGGTTAAAACATCGGTTAACCGTTAACCGATCGGGACCAATCCTGGACCGGTTAACCGGTCCACAAATTTTCCGGACCGTCGCCAAGCCTAGGTACTGGACAGTAGGCTTGGCCACGGTCCGGACCGACGGTTAACCGGTCCCAGATTTCTCCGGACCGGTTAACCGGTCCGGGAAAAAACTTTCCTCTGGCAGCAGAATTAGACCAACGAGCCTCGCTAGTCTAATTCTGCTGCCAGATTAAATTTTTTTATCACCTAATTTGATCACCCAATTCGATAAGTGGATAATCCCTAGCATAAATCTCGAGCTCGGATGTGTTTCTCCAGCTTCCCTGCACCCTGGCGCAAAGTCGAATTCTCTCCAATTCGAGAGCGTTTTCAACCGGGAGGATTTTCAACAGTCCGAGTGAGGGCTCATTTGAGTCCTTCGCTCCCAGCCACAGCCCCTCCCGTCGGTCACGTAGGGTCGGGACATATGGTTAACCGGTTAAAACCTCGGTTAACCGTTAACCGATATGGCAAAATGCCGGACCGGTTAACTTACCGGTTAACCGGTCCGCACATTTCCCGGACCGGTTAACCGTTAACCGGACCGTGGCCAAGCCTACTGGACAGTGCTTCTTCTCTTTTTCCCACTACGTAACTTCGTCCATAGGGTCCTAAGAATGTGACGATAATTTCGGTGGCTTAGTGGGATGTTGATGACGAGGTTCTCATGACAATAGTATTCGAGGTTGTTGAACGAATTCATCCAGACATGGGGGAGAGTATAAGACGTGCTTGACAAAAACTAGCACAATCGTTTTGGGAATAAGCTTATATTATCATTTAACTGAAATAATACAAGTTATTTGCTACTCTATATTTGTAATGAAGGTAAGAAGAAATCCTTATTTAGATAGATATGTCTGCTTGTGGTTAGAGCATTTGTTGTCGATGATTATTTCATAACACTCGCCGTCTATAGCAATAAGTTTTATTGTAAGAATGAAAAATGTGTTTTTTTTATCTTTAAAATTGGAGTGAAGTACTCATGTTGATTTCAAAATAATATTCAATAGGATCTCGTGCAATCAACTAATGTAGAATATTGATGGTATAACTTATGCCTTTTTTGGATATTGATCTTCCGAAGATGTATCAGAGAATGAATGAGATGAGAAAGAAAGTGAAATCGTTATTCTCCACAGTTTGAACTAACGCAATTGAATCGCCTTCAAATTTCAGATATGAATCAAGTCAAATATTTTAAGAGAACAGAATTGTGAAGTGCAGCTGAGAATTATAGTTCATCATCATTTTCATCGTTAATTTACGTAAATCTTTCGTACCGAGTGATAAGATTAATTGAAAGTTATGTAACAAAGCACATGATGCATTTATGGCAGATTATAGACTTCAATCTTCATTCTTTGAAGACTAAGCTGTTAGCAAGAAATTTTTTTACTAGGCTTTAGCCATGCACATAGAGATAACACCAACTCTAGACAACATTGCATAAGTACTCGTATATTTTTCATCATGCAAATGACTCAAGAAGCCATTGAAGTAAGGACAAGAATCTTGGAGACCAGGTTTATGGACAACGGATTTACAAAAAGGGAAGTGTTAGATCAAAGTGAAGTTTTTCATCAAGCAGCAATGTACCATTCAGGAATCATGGAACTGTACCATCCGTGCAGAGAAAAAACAGTGATATGGTCCCTGAGGTGACTGTGGATTCCAGCTTTTCGACCTGGAATCCACACTAGGTTCAAGGGTTTAGGGCAGAAGTGGTATTAAAAGTAGCATTTGCCACTTTTGCCACCATTTGGTTAATTGTGGCACCCAAAATTTATTAATTGTGACATTTGTATTGAAAACCTTTTGTGACAGTCTTGAAACCATAAGAGATTGCGCTTATTTCATGAGAACCTGAAGCAGAGATTTTTTGTCCATTGTGGCCAACTTAAATACCATCCTCATGTTATGTTCAAGGAACACCTAAAACCATCAAAAGCTAACGAGAATTCAAAATAATCCATGAACAGACTCTATGATTCTTCATCGTGAGGATACTCAAAGAGAGGACAAAGAGCTAGTACTTTGAAAAGAAATGAGTTCATGGTTCCTGACCGTAACCATGAGAATATTAGACTTCAACTGAATAGTGATAAAATCCACGAGACATGAATTGTATTACTCCTCAAAACATCAACTGAAGATGAGTAAAATCACCTGTCTTCAATCCTAAGATTCCAGAGAAACTTGGTTTCATGACTAAAATATTATTGCATTAGAGTTTTTAGATTACCCTCCAGAGTATGTAATACTCTTTTCTTCCTAAATTTACATCCATGAGATGATCATGCGTTACTTCGATTTCTGTACACAATTGGCTCAAAAACACAGATAAAGGGATTCTCTTTAGGGTCTCTTTCCATTCAATTACAACATAATGACGGCAATGCAGTCTCATGGTTGCTTGCTTGGGATAATAACATTTTTCCATTGTCACTTTGTAAACTTTCCTCCGTGTTTGCAAACTCTTAAAAATGTACTCATTAAATCTCAATTGCAACCAAAGAGTCACTGTAGAAAAATGTTTAATTGTGACATGGGCCCAATTTTAATTGTGGCAAAGGTGGCATTTTTTAATAAAATGCCACTTTTTAATGAAGTCTGGGTCTATCTTGTAACTATATCCCAAACACAATACGCGCACTGGAAAGTGCTGAGAAGAAGAATCCGATACAAGAATATGTGGAACACAAGGACAGTCAAACATGCAGCAGGACACGAATTGCCTGGAGCATTGTGTACTGTTTCAGAATAGTAAGCAGAGTGTCTCTTCAGAGCGGCAAGTTGGACAGCGGATGACTTGGTCCTCGAACACAGAGACATGCGTTCTGTAGCTGCTCTCATTGCCGTGCTATGTTTTCTGTGTGTCGGATCCAGTTTCCCATAAATCGATCGGTGTATGGTGCTAATTTACAATACTCGAAGTAGTACCAAGTTTACAAGTGGAACAATTAAACTGAAACTCTTTCAGTCCACTTAAGCAGATTTTAAGTCGAACTTGGTGTGATGCTGAACCCCACCCTTCGTCTCCTCACAATCCCAAGGTGAGCAAAAACTTAACTTTTACAGAAGAAAATTTCGATGACTTTCTGAAATGATGATTCAGGGTTTAGGGTTTAAGATTTTCAATGGTCCGTGTGTTGGTTACGTTGACTGAGAGAATTATATAAAAATCTACCGGAATCGACAGTGAGTTGGAACTAGACAGTCTGGTTTTTAATCCTTCACTAGATATACATCTGAAGATAGAAATCACATCAACGACACGGAGAAGCAAGAATCATCGTGTTTAGTGTCTCTTGACGTCCAGAGCCACGTAATTCCCATCGTTCCAACGAAGCAATTTTTAAACAAAAGAGAATTATGGCATCAGTAACTGAAGCAGCTGCGGCTAATCGTCATTGAGAGCGATAGAATCGTACTCCCGAACCTCGGAGCGGCTACATATGTTCCCGCATTCTCTGTTACATTAGCTTTTGATCACAGAAAACTTTGATTTCGCAAGGCTCGTCTTTGGACTCGGAGTTTAGATTCGTGACGACCTTTCAAAGTCTTGCAGATCGCGTACGAAGCGCTCAAACTGAAATGCTGTACAAACTAGTCTGCGAAATGTATAGTGATCAGAAGCGCTTGCGCATTAGACATCGCGTCCTGTGCGTGGAAGGGAATTTCGGAAGAATGCCACAAACATCGATCTTAGATCACGGGACTCCGTCTCTGCGACCGAGCAGAGCCACAGGCAATGTCGGACCTTGAAGAGCATCCATGATCCTCCGAATGGCCGCTGGTGTTGATCTGAGGGGGACTGGTACAAATTAGCAGTCTGTGTCCACATCTGATGTCAGAAACTCACGTCCGACGAGTGAGACTTCACGAGCAGGGATGGTCACAGGCATTCTTCCACAAGCTCTCCACTTCCTCCTCATTGAACTCCATTTTAAATATACCAGTTGCCCAATTTTTAAATTTCAACATGTATCACGTTCAAAACTAACTCCCACTCGCTTACTTTCAACCTCCGTATATCTTGCAGTTGCCGATTTTAAACTTCAACGTGTACTACGTTCAAAATTTGAAATGGACTTCGCCACCGTGTGATCGTCGAGAGGTCGCTGCAGGCTCCGGAAAGAGAGCAAGAATTTCGGCTCTCTTTGGAAGTTTAATTCAGCAATCCCCACCCGCTCTTCCCACAAACTCCCCGTAGGAGTAGAGCCACACGATGAATGCCGTGTGCGCGAACCAAGTGTGATTCATGAGCGTAGGAGTAGTGCCACCCGAATGTCTCGTTGGGATGAATGCCGTGTGCGCGAACCAACTGTGATTCATGAGCGTAGGAGTAGTGCCACCCGAATGTCTCGTTGGGATGAATGCCGTGTGCGCGAACCAAGTGTGATTCATGAGCGTAGGAGTAGTGCCACCCGAATGTCTCGTTGGGATGAATGCCGTGTGCGCGAACCAACTGTGATTCATGAGCGTAGGAGTAGTGCCACCCGAATGTCTCGTTGGGATGAATGCCGTGTGCGCGAACCAAGTGTGATTCATGAGCGTAGGAGTAGTGCCACCCGAATGTCTCGTTGGGATGAATGCCGTGTGCGCGAACCAACTGTGATTCATGAGCGTAGGAGTAGTGCCACCCGAATGTCTCGTTGGGATGAATGCCGTGTGCGCGAACCAAGTGTGATTCATGAGGAGTTGAAGGCAAACCAAGTGTGATTCATGAGGAGTGGAAAGCAAACCGCAGCTCGATGAGAAATTCGA